AATATGCACTTCTATGGGATATGGAGGTATATATCAAAAAACATATATTCAAACATATATCAACAAATCGCAAAATTTTACTGATTTAGAATATGTAAAAATTAGCTGCCTAATTTTGCTTTGTAAGGGCAAAAAACCGTCAGAACTTTTCTCGCAACACCACGCAAATGCCTTCCTTTTTGACCAAGTTTCTACCAATTCAAAAAATTTCTTTTGAGCTAAAATAAACTCTGGCATCCTGACAAGGCTTAAAATATCAAATTTCATTAAAACTTCGTCTTACAATGTAAAAAAAGAGTTCAGCGGCAAAAGGGTTCGAACCCGTGGGACCGTTTCCCATCGGATTCTCAGTCTAGCGCTCTGACCACTCGGCCACACCGCTCTCTTTCGATAGAGACTAGGGAAGTGATGAACCGTTTATATTTCTTTGCCCTGAGGCATTCTGCAAAAAATGAAAATGGTGTCTTGCACCATTTTTCAAGGGCTTTCCAATGGTGTATAACACTTGCCATTTGGTGAGGGTTGGTTTGTACACTTCCCGAGAGAATGCGTTTCTGTTTCCGCCGATCTTTTTCCTCGAGAAATATATAGATTTATAATATTAATAAAACGTGTTGAAAGACTAAAATTGGGCAGCTAACTTTTACATATTCTGAATCAGAAAAATTTTGCGATTTTTTTGATATATGTCTCGACCTGTAACTCCACACCCCATAGAAGTATTTTTCTTGTAAAAAAGATACCTTGTTCTCCCCTTACCATTGACCGAAAACCCACAGCCTTGGAGGGAAGGATTAATAAGGTACCTACTCCCTCCTCCCCTAGCCAAGCCTAATTGTTTTCATCCCTGAAATGACACACCTTCTGACGCATTGTTCTCCGTTCCACATAGCTTGGATTTTCACCAAAACTTTGCCCATCCAGAAATGTTTGTAATAAATACTCGACCACAATCGTAATAAACATGTTTACCAACCATAAAAAGCGGTATCGCCTTTGCGTCGGCACGGGTCAACAACCTGTAAAGGTTACTATTCTGCAAATAACAAGACCGTGATTTATTAAAGCAATCAAAACATTATGGCAAATACAACACCTTGGAGAAAACAAGGCTATAACATCTGTACAATGGCTTGGCCTTTGTGTAGAGATGGTATATTTACCACATCATGTAATACCAAAACAGGAAATTACATAGCCTGACTCGTGATTGAGTTCCTCCTGCTTGAAAGCCCATAAAAATAAAACTTTAAGGAAATTACCGTCTGCAGATCAGACGTAATAAAAATTCACATGTTGCGTTCATTTCCAATGGCTGTGGATAAATGTCAGCTGGTGTTTTCGTCAAGAAACCCATAAAACTAACCGTTGGAGATGGATTTTCATGCGATGACCGATGAGAACAGGCTCATGCTGGGCTGTGTTTTTTCGGGTACGATTTTTTCCTCTTGGATGGCCAAAAAAGTCACAGGAAATGTTAGAAAACGCTTTTTTTGTCCGTAAAAACCACTTGGGATATACAGAGTGAGCGATTTTATCCAGTGGCAAAAAAACGTATCATTTTGCATCCGGAAAGTATAAAAAATGTGGCAAAATGCCTCCTTCTCCAAACTAAAAAAACTCCGTTTTGAACCCTTTCTCTCACAAAAAGAGCAGGCGCGGTTTTGAAATCGGAGTTTTTTCCACTTGGAGAGGGAGGTACTTTGATGCATTTTTGATACTTCCCGGATGCAAAATGGTACGTTTTTGGCCAACGGATCAGGTCCGCCACTGTACAGCGATCGCAAAAAAGAGAATATTCAAGAAGCAGAGAGAAAAAGGCTTAAATCGGGCATTAAAATTTGTATTTACTACATGGAAAAATATGAGCCAAAATATCACGCATAGCTCGGGAATGGCCATAAAAAAGTCTGATCCATGTAGACGTGGCCTTCGGGCTGGTCTGGCAGGAAACGCCGGGCCTTACATCTAGCGGGGAAGGCCGGGCCAACGAAAATTTGAAACGGACTGGGCCATTTTCCGGCTCTAGAGAAGTACCAAATTTGTCCTTCATTGACAATGGAAGCACCCCAAGTGCAACGCTCAGATTTTCTTTAGATTTTGCACACATGTCGGGCATAAACTAAATATCAATTCCTAAAAGCTTTAGCTCTCGCTTTGCAAGCGCCGCCGAGATATTGAACGATCTTTGCCGCCGAGAGAGCACACTAAACGCGGAGAGCAGTCATGACTAGTCAGAGAAAAAATTCTTTTTAGCCATAACTTTGTTAGTTTCGTGCGGAAAAAATTCATTTTTTGTGGAAACATTACCCTGTATGGTAGGAATAGACATGGAATTTTTTGTGCCGAAATTTGGAAAAAATTGTCAAATTTTCGCCAACTTTCGATTTAAAAACCTCGGTTGTTTTTGCAAAGTGTGAGCTAGAATTCTTTCATATTTTTTAGAAAAAAATATTCTAAATTTGTGCCAAGTTTCACCAAAATCTGAGAGTCGCACTTGGGCTACTTCCCCTGTGAGCCATGTCAAGTTTTTTGTCATCCATTTTACAGATGGTTATTAATCTCTTTGACCTCTTGTTTACCTCAGATTTTGTTGGCGGAAGCTGTGGCCAGTTCAATCAAAAAAACGAATATAACGGCCAGACGCCTCATTTTTCTCGGCAAATGTGGCATTTTAATTGAAATAAAAAGTAATAGATGGGAAATGTGGCGTCTGAACGCTTCCGTAAACAAGACATTCAAGAGTCAAAAAGAGGATTGGGCATGTATTGGAAATTTTATTTGGAAAACAGCAGTTTATCATAAAAAATATGAAATTTCAATAATTCCGGTGGGCTTCCAACAAATCAACTTTAATATAGTCGTATTGCCGAACTGACAAGGGAAGTACCCCAAGCGCGACGCTCAGATTTTCTTTCAATTTTGCACACACGTCGGTCATGAACTAACAGGGGAAGTACCCCAAGTGCGACGCTCAGATTTTGATGAAACTTGGCGCAAATTTAGAATAATTTTTTCTAAGATATATGCGGGAATCCGAGCTCGCGCTTTGCAGAAACAACCGAGATTTTGAGATAGAAAGTCGTCGAAAATTTAGGACTTTTTGCCGAATTTCGGCACGAAAAGTTTTATGCCTATTTCTACCGTAAAGGATAATGTTTCTACAAAAAATCAGATTTTTCCGCACGAAACTGCCAAAGTTATGGCCAAAAAGCGTTTTTCTCTCTGACCGCTCTCCACGCTTAGCGTGCTCTCTCGGCGGCATAAATCGTTCGATATCTCGGCGGCGCCTGCAAAGCGCGAGCTAAAACTTTCAGGAATTGATATTTAGTCTATTCCCCACGTGTGTGCAAAATTTAAAGAAAATCTGAGCGTCGCACTTGGGGTACTTCCCTTGTAAGTATCAATTCCTGAAAGTTTTAGCTCGCGCTTTGCAGGACCAGCCAAAATATTCAACGATCTTTGCGGCAGAGAGAGTACGCAGAATGCGGAGAGCGGTCAGAGAAACACTTTTTGGCCATAACGTCGCCAATTTTGGATGAAATTTTTTTATTTTTTTTCTGGAAAAATTACATCTCAACATGTTCCTCAAGTACCGAAAAATGGTATGATAGTAATTCTTTGCCATTCCAGGCTTAAAAATCCCTCTGGTTAGCTGAAAGCGTCATTTAGGAATATTTTAACACATGGCTTAGAAAGGAAGTACCCCAAGTGCGACGCTCAGATTTTGATGAAACTTGGCACAAATTTAGAATAATTTTTTCTAAGATATATTCGAGAATCCTAGCTCGCGCTTTGCAGAGATAACCGAGATTTTTAGATCAAAAGTGGACGAAAATTTGATACTTTTTCACCGAATTTCGGCGCGAAAGTTCTGCGCACGTCAATCCAAAATAGAACAAAAAAATTCCCGCCCCTTTTGGTGATTTGTTCAAAACGAAATGTCACAATCCGATGAAAAGCATTTTTTTGTCTTTCTTGTTCCTTTTCGAGAAAAAACAATTACTTCGGGCGAGAAAAAGTGCCGATAATTTCGCGACATTTCGTCTTTCTTTTAAATCAATGAAAACGATACGAAATTTCGAAACGGTTCAGGAAATGCGCTGGATTGACGTGCTTTGCCTATTTCTACCATAGAGGGTAATATTTCCACAAAAAATTGATTTTTTGCGCGCGAAACTAGCGAAGTTATGGCCAAAAATCGTTTTTCTCTTTCGCTCTCCACGTTTTGTGTGCTCTCTCGGCCGCAAAGATCGTTGAATATATTGGCGGCGTTTGCAAAGCGCAAGCTAAAACTTTCAGGAATTGATATATAGTTGATGCCCAACACGTGTGCAAAATTAAAAAAAAATCTGAGCATTGCACTTGGGGAACTTCCCCTGTGAATTTTACTTTTTTCTTTAGCTTCTTCCATGAAATTTGTAAAATTTTTTATTTTCAAGTTCATTCATCAATAATACAATTTATAAATGCATTTACAAAATGAAGTTTGCCAAGAAAAAATCGGGTGATATGATACAAGTTTAGCAATATTGCACCGGTCAAACAGAGTTTTGATATGGAAGACGGTAGAAGGCGTGCAAGAAGAGTGGGATATGTATATATGACATTTTAGACTGAAAAAAATGTAAAGCAAAAATTAAAATTCTTGAAAATTGGGTAAAATACGATATTTTGAATAAGCAGCTGAAATACTGAAAAAAATTTGAAAATTTCATAATCTTAAAACTGTGAAGAAATTTTAGCAGTGAATTTACCCGACTAGACTAAATTTTAATTATTTTTGATGACAAAAAATATAAAAAAAGAGAAAAATTTTTTAGCGAAACATAGTTAATTTACAAGACAGACATAATAAAAACGCATTTTAGAAAAAAAAACAAAAAAAAATTACATTGACTTTTTGTCGGTAAATCGAAAATTCCAGTATTCTATGTATATAAATGCAGGAGAGATGGCTTAAATACGTGTTAAATTCTACAGTATGCTCTATAGACTCTCTAAACTCCCAGCAACTGCACCTCGCTGCTCGCGTTGCTCAACGAACATTGCGCTTGCACAGTAATGTAATCAATTCCATGTTCATGTTGCAGTTTATGTTGGGCCTGTCGAACCACCGCACTCACGTCCGCACCCGGCTGAATATCCAAGTGGACGGAGATTGCGGTCGAATCAAGCTTTAGCGACCAAATTCGCAGCGAGTGGATACTTGAGACGCCATCAATTGAAGTCAGATCTTCATGAACTTTATTCATGGAGACGTGATTGGGAGTGGCCTCCATTAGGACCAAAATCGTATCTTTGAAGATGCCGTGGGTGGTCAGCTAAAATTTGGGGATCATTTCGAGCCTATTTAGAGCCATTTTCCCCATTAAATTAGCGTATTTTGACTTTTGCGCCCAGCCGGAATCGAACTCGCGTCCTTTTGATTACTAGGGAAACAAAACATCCACTAGACTATTCAGACACACGATTCATTTTTTGACAAAAATCAATAAAATACCGTATTTTAGCTTAAAAAACGAAAAATACTCAACTTCTAGCCTAGGGCGCACCTCGCCAATCTCAGAAATTTTGATAAAATCGCAAAATTCCTTACCAAAACCAAAACTCCAAACAAAAATGTGCAAATTGGATCGGCCAACGTAAAACCAGTAAACTTGATGATAACGGCCGCCAATAGAACGCCCATCGATTGCACCAGATCACCGAGAACATGAACAAACGCGGCTCTCAAGTTGATATTTTCCTGGTGATGGTGATGATGCGAGTGATGATGTTGGTGCGCCTCTTCGTCAATGGATTTTATCGTCTTCTCCGATAAATTCTCCACGTTTGAGACTTTCTGGCCATGCCCATGGGAGTGACCTGAAATTTATAGAAAAGTAAAATGAAAGAAAAGAAAAATAAATTTTAGGAAAACAAATGAATTTTTTGTAGGGCAAATTGGCTTACAAAAAAACCATAAATTTTCGGCAAAATTTTTATTATTATTTTTATTAAAATACGTTCAGGAGAAGATGCGCAAAATTCTTACCATGATGATGATGTGAATGAGACATTCCGAAATGAGAGTGGCCAGCTTTTCCAAAGTACAGACAGACTCCCATGACCATATTGAAGACAACGCCGATTCCGGCCGTTATCATCATCGTATCGGCCTGAAAAAAGGTGAAATGAGTTAAATGAAAAGCCAGGTGATATAAATTCTCTTTTTTTTAAACTTTTTCTTATCAATTTATCGTTTACAACCATTTTTTTGGCAAAATTCAAAATTTTACAAATGCAAACAAAAGTCGTATTTTAGGCCAAAAAATTTTCTAAGATTAGCATATAATGTTCCTTGAACTCTGTTTTACAACATATTCTACGAGTACATACATTTTTTTGACTTTTACAACCCTTTTTCAAATTTTTGGCATTCTGCATCAACCCCTAAAAACCTCCCAAAAAACTTCAAAAATCGCTTACTTCCACCTCCAAATCATTGGTCAATATCCTCTCGATGGCCATGTAAATCAGAACTCCCGTGAGAATCCAAATAATCAAGATGGAAGTGAGCGCGCCCAGCACTTCGGTCCGTTGAAAGCCGTACGAATAGCGGGCGGTCGGCTTCTTCCTCGCCAAATGAATCGCCGTGATTGAGATCAGAAAACTGCCAAGGTCCGAGATCATGTGGAACGCGTCCGAAACAATGGCCAAAGAGTGGGCCAAATATCCTCCAATTAATTCGGCGATGATAAAGAGTAATGTGAGAAGGGAGACGAATATTAGTGTGCGCTCGGCTCGACTGAAAATACAGGGTGCGCCAAAAAAAATGGACAAAAATAAAAACGTTTGTGTCTCGCCACGAAAAGCGGTACGAGTAGGGAAAAAGTGACCATTATGACCACAAACCAGTCACTTGCAAACCCTTTAAATCCCTTTTTTACTTTGCCTTCACATTTTTGCAATATGGACAAAAATGCGAAGAGGTACCAAAATGTGTTTTTATTTTCTAAAGAATTTTCCCGGAAGAAAATTGTTTGTCGTTGTGGTTCTCTCCGTACAACTGTCACCCGGACTTCATATATGTTTAGGGATGTTGGCAGCATCCAGAGGTTCCCAGGAAGCGGTAGACCCAAAACAGAAAAGGCTCCGGCTCTGAAGAAGAGCTTCAGAAATCGGACTGACCCAGATCTTTCCAGGTCGTTGGAACGAATGGCTTCTAAATTGAATATCTCGGCTTTATCGGGTAGAATAATTGTAAAAACCGGCATGAGATGTCCCCCATATTCTATTCTATGCGGGCCATGCGTTGATTCAACAGAGAGATGCAAGACACGGCTTCAGTGTTTCCGAAAGTTAAGAAAAGAAGCCACTGACACGGTACTTTTGCGGGCTCCCACCTGTCCCCCTTTGAACCCTCCGATCTCCGCTGAAAGCAGAGGTTTCAGCATGAAACTTTTTGACGCTATAGAGCAGACGTAGATTTATACAGTAAGTGCCGTTTGAGCGAGGTAGGATCAACCGCAGCTTTGCAGCATATCTTTAAAGAAAAATCTCCGGTTTTCGTCCATTTTTTGGAATTTTGTCACTACCTCCAAGCATGACGACGCTGAAAAGCAAAAAATCCGTGTGTTCAGTAAGTCCTCAGCCGGGAATTAACTCAAAACTTTACAGTTGCCCGAAGCCTCATCATTTTCTCACTACAATATTTTTTCTGGTTTTCGGAATTTCGGGTTTTATTTTAATGCCTCTGCTACTCAAGTTTGGATGTCCATAGTATTGAAATGAAAGGTTACTAATACTATTCCTTTATGTATGTGATAGTAAAGATCCTAACGAATTGGAGAACTTTTATTTGAAGTTTTCGTGACGCCTCAAAAAATATTTATGCCTCACTTTCCAGACGACACGCTTTCGAGAATTGCGATCAGAACATGGTCAACTTGAACTCCCAAGAAAAAAGTTGAGATAAAGTTATACCTCCGTTCTTACCGCTAATATATTGCTTGAACGTCGCTATTTATTCCATCTAAACGTTTCCCCAAATACCTTGACCCAGAGCCAGATATTGGCAAAAAATTTTTGTCCATTTTTTTTGGCGCACCCTGTATAAATGTCTTAGGGGTTTATGGTTGTATTTTGGAAATCATATTCTTGGTCTTTTCAGCGTAATTTTTGACAATTTTTTTTTCGGTTTTTAATACATTTTTTTCAGTTTTTATTCAAAAATTTTTGAAAATTAGGATTTTTGAAAAATTTACGTGAAAAAGCATGTTTGACTTTGAAGGGTCATAACTCGACGTAGGATTGATCATTTTTAAATACCTTTTTTTTAAACAAAATGGCAACTACTAAGGAATAAAACGAGCTATTGCTCATAAAAATTGAACAATCCTATAAAAAGTTATAAGCATTTTACATCCGCGAGCTTAGCTGAACCACCCTGTATGTAAAAAAAATCATCAATTTTTGTGAATTTTCAAAGTTGGAACATTGATGTAGTTGGACTAAAGACGTCTAATTGACTTCGACTGACCATGAAACAAAAATTCTCATCTATTTACTAGCCAATGTTTTGCCATTTGCCAAAAACCTACCAAAAAATTTGACAAAAATTCATGGATAAATTTTAGGGTAATTTGCACTAGAAATTAACCATAAATTTTCGTCACAGAAAAAAACCGGTGAAACTCGGCGATTTACTCGCTGATGGGTGAAAAGAGGATTGATTTTTGGCGTTTGCACTGTGCAGAAAAAATAAGGGTGCGACAGCCCAAAAAAGCTTATTTCACGGGGCAGAAAGCAAGAAATTGCACAGTGCAAAGTGAACTTTTGTTTTCGCACAGAGCATGTCGCCGAAATCAGTCCGGCGACATTCTGGAAGAACTAGTAATGCTTGTACTAGTATTTTCATAAAGTTCATAGACACTTGTTGCACCTGCTTTTTTTTGGGTTTCTGCACTGTGCGAAAGCGAAAATTTCAATTAAAAAAACGTTTACAAAGCTTTTTGCTAAAGTTTATGAATAGTTTCTAGTGTAATTTGCCCCATAAATTTTTCAAAAATTTTCCTATTTCCAAAAAAAACCCTCAAAAAATGAATAAAAATCGATTTTTCTGGAAGGATTTCACTCACCGCGACACGTCATTTTTCATACTTCGCTGGAATGCCATCTCGTAATCGCAGTGTTTGAGCGGGAAGGCCTTGCGTTCCGACTTTAGCCCCATGATTCCGACGGTGTCTGAATGTGGGCGGGGTTCGGGATTATTGAGCTCCTGAAAAGAGAGAGTTCGTTTAGAACAGTCATGTAAACTCTATGCAAATTGCGAGAACGCTAAAAATAAATTGGATTGAAGGAATCAAAAAAATATATTTTTTTGAAATTTTGAAAGAAATTTTTTTGTAAAAAAATTTTTTTTTTGAAAAATTATATTTGCGGAATTTTTTGGTTTCAAAAAATCAAAAAAAAAATTTTTTTGAAAATTTTTTTGATTTTATTTTTGTTATACATGTTACATAAGGATGTAGGATACAAAATTTTGAAATTTGCCAATTGGGACAAGAAAAAATAAAAAATATTTTTTTTTTAAAAACTGCACGTCATCACCGTGGTCCCCAATTTTTTGGCGTTTGAACCCCTTATTACGTATATTTTATTATCAGTCTGTCGGGAAAATAACGGCGGATCGTCGCAGCAAAATGCCTCGCCTCGCCGCTATCGCGCACCAAATCTCAAGCCGCGGCTTGCAGTCGCAGAGCGATGATGAGCGACTCCGAGGCGCGACGATCCGCCGTTTTTTTCCCGACAGACCGATACGCTTTTTCAAAAGTGCAGAGACATTTTGTCGTGGGCCGCACCGTGCACAAACCTCCTTTTTGCGGGGTGCATTTGACCTTTTGCACTGTGCAACCGGATATCGCTGCGACGCAAGCTTTTCTCAGCTGTGTCGCTGCGAACTTTGGGCGTGCGAAAAGAACTTGCACAGTGCAAAATGGATTTCGTCGCGCAACATGCATGGTGCGGTCCGAAAAAGGCCGGGAAATGTCTCCGCACTTTTGAAAAAGCGTAATACTCAGAAATCCCGCAAAATTTCAATTTCAAAAAAGTGCTTTCATTGTAAAATAAATTTTTATTTTTCAATTTAATTCATTTTGCGACTGTTTTGCAGCGTAAACAAATATTTTTTCTCATTTCTTTTAACCCTAAATGCAAATCCCCGCAGAGTTTCTGAATTGGAATTCCAAGCTCAATAAAGTAAAAAAAAATATATTTTTTTGAGACTTATGGGGCATAATAAATACTAAATTATTGAGGTAATGGAACTCAACGTTTAAAAAAAACAACTTGACGTAAAACGCTAAGAATATAAAAAAAAAATATTTTACGAACGTAACCCCCAAATAAGGTCAACAGAAAAGACTTCAAATAGAAAACCTGATCGCTCGTTTCGTCGTTTTTTCGAAAACTTACTCGAATTTTCGTCAATTTACGACGTGCTTCCGTACGAATCGTTAAAATATTATTTAGAAAAATGTGTAGGCTGTACAACGAATTGCAAGATACCAAAAAAAATATTAGTTATACTAAGTCGCCCAGAGAAAAAAAAATTTGACAAAAATTCATGGATAAATCCTTGGGTCATTTGCACTAGAAAAAAACCATAAATTTTCAACATAGTAAAAAATCAGTGAAACTCGGCGACTTACTCGCTCAGTAATATGTTTCAGAGTGAAATAAAGATTGATTTTTAGCGTTTGCATTGTGCAGAAAAAGCCAGGGTGCGGCAGCCCAAAAAAGCTTATTGCACGGTGCAAAAAACAACAAATTGCACGGTGCAAAGTCAACTTTTGTTTTCGCACAGTGCATGTCGCCGAAAATCATTTCCGCGACCTTTTTTTCGCACCGCACGGTGCATGTTGCTGGACGTCATTTTGCACTGTGCAATTTCTCTTCGCACGCCCAAAATTTACGCCGCCTCTGTTGACAAAAAAGCTTGCGTCGCTGCGATAGTTTACTTGCACGGTGCAAACGGTGAAATGCACGGTGCAAAAAAAGGGCTTTGTGGACGGTGCGGTTCACGACAAAAAAGCAGAAGCGACCAAAAGATGATTTTTTATAAAAGCGTTTTGTTGTATGGGGTTTCATTTCGGCCTAAAATTGACCAACAGGGTTTGTTGTACGGAGGTGAAAATCAATCAACAATCTTTTACTTGGTTTTTATATTACTTGATAGCCAAGTGAGACAAAAATAAATCGGCTAGATCAAGAAAGACATACAAAATGGTGTTAAAAGTAAAAAAAAAGATGCGAAAAATGGGGTTAAAAAATGTTGTGTACAATTTACCAGTCATACTACACATTAGCATCCTGTTTTTCAAGCTTGTTTAGTAAATAGTAACTTGACAAAAGTTTAGGAAAGTTTTTGCGCTGGTTCGAAGTGTAAAAATTTTAGTAAATTTTCGTAAATTTCGATTACCCTAGACCATTTATTTTTCTATTTTTACCTTCCTTTCACCCTGTAGATTACCTTAGAACAATAAAAAATCAAACTCAAAGTCCTAAAGACCATTTTTCAAACAAAAAATCAACTTTTTCTCCTATTTTTCCCCTCTCAACTTCCAAGTGCAGCAAAATAAATCGGCAAAACTATTTTGTCGACAAAATTTCATCAGCAACCCACTTGATCAAGCGAATGACCATGAAATCACCGATCACTCTGAATCGTTTTCTATTCGCAATGTGAAAAAAACGTCTTTTACTCACTGTTTTTTGGCGAAACGTCACTGGATCCGAGCCAGTTTTTCGCATTCCGAGCAACGGCGATGACATTTTTTTCAGCTGAAGGCGTGGTAAAAAAGGGTTAGAATTGGAAGGAGTGGAGGGGATTAGAGGGATTTTTGGGTCGCACAAGGGGGGATTTTTTGAAAATTTTTTTATTTTTAACATTTTTTTTGAAATCCATTTTTTTATTATTTTGATTTTTTAATAAATAAAAAATGTAAAATACGACATATCTTACCAAAGTGCGATTTTATTTTCTAAAATACGAAAAAAAAATTTTCGAATTAAAAATTTTTTTTTATTTTTTTTTTGAAAAATATTTTTTTTGTTACAGTATGACTAAAAAGACAAATTTTTGAGACAAATTTTTCTCTCAATTTTACTCAAAAATCAAAAAAATTATTTCTAAAATTTTTTAAGATAAATTTCTTTGATTTTTTATTGTTTTTAATAATGTAAAATACGGCGGTAGACGTCAAAAAAGTACTTGATTTTCTAAAATACGAAAAAAAAATATTTTTGAATTACAAAAAAAGTTTTATTTTTTTTTCGAAAAATATTTTTTTTGTTACAGTAAGACTAAAAAAATTTCTTTCGAACTAATTTTTCTCTCAATTTTCCTCAAAAAATCAAAAAAATTCAAAAATTTAATTTTTTTCAAAAACAAAAAAAATCCCCCCTTACCCCACCCAAGCCATCCAACCCCTCCAAACACCTCATCCCACCTTGCTCGTCAATCTACAGTAGTTAGACAGTGAATACCTCCGTGAGAAAATCCAGTCCAAGCGGTCAACGAACCCCAAGGAGAATCCCGTTTCTCTCAAGGATAATATGTAGGTAAGACAAATGCAGGCGATTTTGCGCAATCTGAGTCAACGAAACGCGATCTATCCCACTTTTGCGGTGGGATGGATGTGGAGCGCGGTATGAAACCACTACTTCGAAAACGGAACGCTACTTTTTTCTGCGGATGGAATAGGGAATTACAATGGGTAAAAATCCATAAATTTCGGAGGGAAAATATTCAAAATGGAAGGGTAAATAAAGAGAGGGGAGAGAAAATGCTTTGAAATTTCTGTTTTACAAATTTTACGTCAGTTACAACAAGGTTTACAGGCCTTTATGACAAGATGAAAATTGCCGAAAATTTAGGAAAATTTTTGCACTAGATCGTAGTGTAAAAATTTTTGTAAATTTTCGGGTATTTGAAAAAAGTTAAAAACCGGTAAAATTCGCTTGTAAAAGGTTCAAAAAGGTAGTCGAAAAAGTAGAAGAACGAGAAAAAAGGCTTGTAACTTTTTGGTAAGCTTACTATTAGCATTTTCATAAAGTTTGTAGACTTTTTGTCGTGCCGCACTGTGCAGGAAAGAAAGATAAACTACACAGTGCAAAATGTTTTGAAAAAAGCGAAGTGCACAGTGCAAAAGTCTACGCACTTTATGAAAATGCTATTAGTATTTATTTTCATAAAGTGCATGGACATTTGTCGCGCCCCGCACCGTGCACAAACACCTTCATTTCTTGCACTGTGCATTGGATTTTTTTTAGTTTTTGCACTGTGCGACAAGATATCGCAGCGACATTGATCAAAAATCTGCACAGTGCAAACGGCTTTTTTGAGGTTTGCACAGTGCAAAGGGAAAAAATTGAGGTTTGCACAGTGCAAGTGAAAAAATGCACTGTGCGTTGGCGACAAGTGTGGGAAAGAGTTCATGATGCACTGTGCGAAAGAGAAAAAATGTCCATGGATTTTTATAAAGTTTTTTCAGGAATTTATCGTCAATAGAAGTCTGTTTTCAAAGCTTATTTGATAAAAATTAATTTGACGAAAATTTTGGAAAGTTTTTGCACTAGATCGTAGTGCAAAAGTTTTTGTAAATTTTCGTAAATTTCCAAAATCAAAGATGACGTATTTTTATGTTTCTGTGACACTGTAGATTACCATAGAGCAATACAAAATCAAAGTAAAAGCCCTAGAGGCCATAGAAATGATGGAAAATCAAAAAACTCCTCAAAAAAATTTGCATTTTCTCCCCAAAGAAATCGCTTATCCTCTATTCAAAAACCGACTTATAACTTCCCTAATATAGCTGCCTTCCCGCGCTGGAACAAAAACAACATTCAAACAAATCGACACGTCACAAACGACGTGATAATTGATAAGAAAGCTGTGAAAGCCCCCCGAATTTTCCACGAGCTTCGATTAAAATCCCATTAAGTTCGCTTTTGTTGTCAAAAAATGGTCTTGAGGGTGTTATTTAGACGTTGTTTGCCTAACAAAAAGGTCACAATGATTGTCCTCTGTGGAAATGAAGTAATAGTGAAAAAATAAAAATTTTGAAATTTTGAAAAAATATGCAAAAAAGAAAAAATTTTGGCCCTTCCCGTTTAATAAAGCCAATTACATTCATTAATTATTCATTAATACTGTTTAATGTACTGCCTAAGCCCAAAAAATGTTGGACGAAAAATGACGAAAGTTTTCCCATTGAGACGTAAGGTAAAAACTTTTGTAAACTTTCGGATTTCTGAGTTCTTGCTGAAACGTAATCTGTATTGTTAGTTTATAGTAAACAACGTCGCAACATAATATTTAGTGGTCTATTGAAACCTTCTAGAACTAAATTGATCATGTTTTTGGTATTCACGAGGAAAATAAACTCATAATTTGTCAAAACCTTTGTTGCAAACAAATTACAAGACTTTGTACAGCGGCGGACCTGATCTAGTGGCAAAAATGTACCATTTTGCATCCGGGAGGTATCAAAAAATGTAGCAAAATACCTCCCTTTCCAAGTGAAAAAAAACTCCGATTTCAAAAGCGCACCCGCTCTTTTTGTGAGGGAAAGGGCGCGTTATTCAAAACGGAGTTTTTTAGTTGGAGAGGGAGGCATTCTGCCACATTTTTTGATACTTCCCGGATGCAAAATGGTACGTGCTCGAAACGACCCTTCAAAACAGAGGAGTTCTTTAGTTGGAGAGGGAGGCATTTTGCTATATTTTTTGATACGTCCCGGAAGCAAAACGGTACTGTTTTGCCACTGGATCAGGTCCGTCACTGTAGGAAGTTTCTGCCGAGCATCCAATGGAAAAGTCGTTGGATGATCGGCGAAGGTCGGCGGAGACTTTCAGTATACCTACTTTTTCTAATCTTAGCTATTGCTAACCTTATTTTTCTTGACCCTGAGCTAAACGGTTTAACATAAAAAGTACGCAATACTGTAAAAACAAAGATCCGTTAGTTTTACGTATCCAGATATTTATTATGTAGTAATAGATGTAAAATGCTTCAAAATAAGGGATAAACTGTCCTGATACCTGATCAATATTTTTATTTCTATTAACTAAGTCTTCTAGGGCATCACCATGCATACAGGGACGAACGAATCAATGAGACCCAAAGTATCATTGACCCGAAAAGTCGTAGCGCCGCGAACACCTTTGTGAATTTTTTAAATAAAAAAAAAGTTTCCCCACAATAGCAATCTATTTCTGAATGACCCGTAAACATTTTTATACCCCCAAAAAATTTATTGATTATTTATTCGCGCCATAAAAGTACTCCAACCTTCCACTAACCCCAACTTTCATCGAAAAATGACGTTTTTTTTCGATTCCGTCAAGATCACACGAAAAAACCGTTGCTTCGATGATCTAACGTCGTCGACACGGTCTGAAACCCTTCCACACCCATCAATTATTACGATTCGCTTCTCCGTTCCCGTCGCTTGTGTGTTCGGCGGTGATAAAACGGAGAATGAAAGGCTCCGGAAAAGTTTCTCCAATTCAGCTGATAAAAGACGCTTAAAATGGACAATAATCCAAAGTTTTGGGAATAGTAAGCAAGCGGAAAGAGGTTTACAAAGGCTTTGCGAGTTCTTTAGCACAATTTTTGGGCAAAAATGGACTTTTATATTATTGTAGAGGTCTAGATGGATGGATAAGATAAAGAGTCAAATTGATGGGTAAAAGTGGAAAAAATAAGGTAGATTTTGAGTCATCTCGGTAGTAAATGACTTCTAGTATCTAGAAAATCACCCTCTGTTGTGATTTTTATTTCATGCCCTAAGGAAAATTTTTTTTTTTTCTTGGCAAAATTTTGACTCCTTTTTGAATTTTTTGCTTTTCATTTACTTTTAAATTGAAAAATCGGAATAGTGGATTGCTTAAAATGAAAGGATATTCAATTTCATGGTTATATCATCGCTTGAATCGACGTATTTTACTAAAAAATTCAACTTTTTTGCCATTTTTTGCGATTTTTCTGCTATTTTCTCTTTTTTTCAAGGGATTTTTGATATCTAAACGATGAAATGGACTACCATTACACTTCAAAATGTAATAATATTATATTTACAGTATTCGATAATAGTTTTTTAATCAAAAATCCTATAAAAATTGCAAAAATTCATTTTCTTTTTCTCAAAAATCAAAAAAAAATCAAAATATCCCCCCTTACCAACCAGTTTTTTAGTCTAATATACCCTACAATACCCCACAATGCCATTAACAACTGCTCTCCAGACCCCCATAAGATCAATAGCCGTCGAAATCAGAAGCCGGCCGCTTCTTAAATCATTACTTTTTACGAGTGCTTCAGCAAATTTCAACTTTTTTATTTGATTTTTTCCTCATTTGTCATGACCTTTGGCAGCCACTTGACCCCGAATTAATTGCTCATTAGTAGAGCGAAGTGGGTAAAAAATTAGCATAGCAGATGAGATAAGAGACCACACAAATTGGAAGGGGAGAGGGTTGATTAAGAATCGGTTTCAATAACAAAATGCAGATAAAAAAGGGAGTGAAATGATTACTGATTATTTTGAGCGCTGTTGTACCTAAATAAGTATAGAAACAGTTTTAAAATACGGAATTTGGACAAGAGAGGGCTTTATTGAGTGGGGGACCTGATCCATTGGCAAAAAACGTACCATTTTGCATCCGGGAAGTATCATAAAAGTGGCAAAATACCTCCCTCTCCAAGTGAAAAAACTCCGATTTCAAAAGCGCGCCGTATTTTTTGTGAGGGAAAAGCGCGTTGTTCAAAACAAAGTTTTTTCATTTGAAGAGGGAAGCATTTTGCCGCATTTTTGACGCTTCCCGGATGCAAAATGATACGTTTTTTGCCACTGGATCAGGTCCATAATCGTAGAAAGAGAAACGCTTCGGATGTGAGACCTGATAAATAAGGTCCAATAGCTTGAGGTTTTGCAAAGCGTTAGTTAAAATCTCCCAAATGTCTTAATAAACACTACAGCTTCTTTTGAAACGCGATTTTTACGGCGAAATTTCCAAAAAAGTCTTTTTTGTCTCCAGTCGCGAAAACAAAGGCGGCAAAAATGATGACATTAAAATGATTACCACTGTGTACATGTATGTATAATACATGTAAAATGCCACCATAATTTCTTTCCATTGTTAACGGTACAATAAGCAAAAAAGCTGTTTTGGGAATTTTGTGCTCCAAGCTGTTGTGAAGCCTCAAAAGCCTCCACAATTCCCACAGAAATTAGCATAAACCAAGTCATATAAAAGCTATGTCTCGTCATCAATTAGAAGATGAATCTCATTTCTCTTTCTTTGTGTGTGGTGGTCTCAATAAACCTTCCTTCTAACTTGTGTCTACTATTCTTCAGACACCACACAAGCCCCGTAAAAGCTCTATTCAAAAATGACTGTGCAGGACCTTGGAAACGCTACCCTAACAATAAGTATCAGTCTGTCGGGAAAATAATGAGAAAAATGTCGCTCTGCCGATGGTGTCATTGAAGTGAAAATCAACTTGATTTTGCCGCAACACAGTTCATTTCCTCGGCGGCGATGCGATTTTTGAAGCGACAGAGTGCTCACTATTTTCCCGACAGAATGATAATTACCTTGTTTGATTATCTCTGCTTATCGCTTTTTGATTTTTCTATTTTTTCAAGCTTGTAAAGTACGTTTTATTGAAGTTAAAACTTCAATAACTTGATAAATAAAAAAGGATGATAAAGAAGGTAAACAAAATTCTAAAAAAATAAAAAAATTAGCTGAGATCTTATTGTAAAATACGAGATAGTTCCTCCGTCAAAAAAGGACCATAAAAATCCTCTTTGATAGGCCATATTGGGTAAATAACCTAGGAATCAACAACTTTCCGCACTATAAAACGCAAAGATCCCATCGACCCGAAAGAAAACTGGAAATGATTACTTTTCCCAAACGGGAAAAGCAATTTCTCATAACGAAATGAATAACTTGTGTAAAGGACACAGTTTAAGATGACCGAGAATGTCACGGAGACCACCGATCTTTGCGTTTTAAGCCTTAAATGATGACAATGATGCACTTGCGCATGTTTGATGTATTATATATTATAACTCTAAACAAAACAAAACAATTGGTTTTATGAACTTACTATTTATAAATCGCATTGTAAAAAAAGAACTTTTTATGACAAAAAATAATAGTATTGGGTAGAAAAATGTGTGGGGCGGGAAAAAAATTTTGTTTAAAAAGGCCAGTACAACTACTAAAGGGTGGCCCAAAAAATGGAAACTCATATTTATAATCATATTTCAGTTAACTAAACAAATTTAGCCAAAGCAGTGATCGATATCAGTATCATAGAACACTTCTAATGACATGTGGAGAATTTAACGATGAAAAAATTATTTGGCTACATCTCAAGGTTTTCGTGGTAGGACCCATGGAAAAAAGTTTCCATTTTTTGGGTCGCTCTGTAACGAAATGTCAAAAAAAAAGTTTTTTTTCTCTTCAGCCGCAAAAACAAGGTCGATAATTGCTACTCCTTCCGGAAAGTCGCCGGACTGATTTTTGGCGTTTGCACTGTGCGAAAAAAATCAGGATGAGAGCGACAGCCAAAAAAAGCCTACTGCACGGTGCAAAGAAAATTTTTGTTTTTTGCACAGTGCATGTCGCCGATTTCAGTCCAGCGAATTTTCGAAAGGCTGCACACCGTATTTTACCAACCTAAATTGGGCAAAATAGTCCTTTGAGATTTCTCTCCTTTTTCTCAACATGTTATGTTTTCATATTTTTTTTTCAGTTCGGCGACTTTCAGAAAGGATTAACATCAGCATACATGCAGAATTTCGCTATTATTTCTCTCGGTTTTTATCGATACAACAGACAAAAAAATTGAAAAAAATAGGAAATTTTGTGAAAAGCGCGATTCAAAAGCAGCATTTTTTTCAAGCCAGAAAACGTCTTCATCGAAGTGACTTTTCGCCCAATAACTTATTGGAAAAATGAACTAGTTTACAATATCCAAAATAGGGACATATTACCCCTTCCCGTCCCACTCAATTCGTCCTATTCAAAGTCCCGTCACAGTCGCTTCCGCCAACCCAAAAGTCAATCACCTTGAAGCATTATTGTAGTCGCTACCGCCACCTTCCCGCTTATGACTTTATACTCGCTTATAGCGCCATAAAACCCTCATTAATGGAGGGGCAATTGGCTGCTGACTCCGACTGTCAAAGATTGCTGATTCGGTTTTTATGAGGAATGGGGAAACTTTGAGACTGTAAAGCACTCAATTCACTGCGAAATTTGGTGGGAAATCGTTAAATTTGCAATTATTTTTTGATTTTTGAATTAAAAATTAAAACATGAGTAATTTCATGGAATACGGGTTGAAAAAAGTACAGTAAGAAAGGAGTTACGGAACTAGGGAAAGAGCAAAAAGTCAATGGGGAAATTGGGTAGGAATGATGATTAATAAGTTGGTTTATATGAATCAGAAAATTGGCTTGCACTTTTGTTGTTAAAAAAAGTTAGCGAATAAAAAGAAGACTTTAAATTTTTGCGATCATTTTGTCTTATAACGTTTTGGCATTGCAAAAAAATATTAATAAAACTGCAATTTTCAGCTTTTCTTTACAATTCGAACATTCCTTGTTTTTAGACGATATACATACAAAAATTACTAATGTGTTTGGTACTTCAAGCCAAGATAATCAACGATCTTTTTCGTCGAGAGAGTCAGCCAAATGCGGAGAGCGGTCAGAGAGAAAACCGCTTTTTTTGCCACGATCAAGCCCAGAGTCGTAGCTGACCGAAAATTTAGAGGATGAGATTGCCTGGAGGGGAGGGGTTACCGCGTAAAAAATCATAGAAAATCAAAGTCAACCTTGGTCCCCTTTACCATTTTTTCTTCGGCCCCGGCCCGAGGGAGTCCAAATTTTCTAAGTTTCACCGATTTCGTGCTCAAAAATTTGGAATGAAAATGTCAAAGGTCAGTACGGGGGCCTCCACAAACTTGAGCATGTCATATTTGGTGGACAAAAAACGGGGTACCTCAGCTTTAATTTGATATAAATTTTATAGAAATTGAAGCATTATTGGCGGAGAAATGCTTGAAATAAGGTTGGGGGCCTGCTGAACCACACTTGTATGCAGCACTGATTTTTTCATCGCAAAATTGGCAGAGATATGACCGAAAGAAGTCATATGTCTCCAATCTCTGACTGCCCTCCGAATTTTGCGTACTCTCTCAGTAACAGAGATCGTTTGATGCCTGCTCCTTCAAAGTGGGAGCTACAATTTTCAGGAGTTGAAGTGTGGCCTACGCCCAACTTGTATGCAAAATTTAACTAAAAAATACGCACTGAAAATATAAATTTTTCTTTCGAAAACATCAAATTTCATAAGAATCGATGAAAAGAAAAGTTAAAAATGAACGGAAAACTGCCGTAGAAGGAGACGTTGCAGTCAACGTGATCATTCAAAGATAGTGTAATGCTTTTTGCTTTGAGTTGTGTTTTGAGGCAGCGGAAAATCGAAACGAACGCAATGTTTTTCGTTCATGAACTTGAAAAAGGTTGGGAAATTTTGCAAAATAAAAGATTTAAGTTAATTTGAGTCAGCAGTTGAATTGAAAAAATTTCAAAAACAAAAAACAATATCAAAAATGGATATTTTTCGGAAATACAATGTAAAATACGCTTGAAAATTGTAAAATACGGTTTTCTATTTAGAGCGTCTATTAAAAAATTAAGAGATTTGAAAATTTTTTGATGGAATATACATAAGATGCCTATTTTTTGGCATTCTGTTTCACGACAAAGCAATGGAAAAGAAAGCTAAAAAATGATCTAAAAAATAGTTCAGAAAACAAAAAAAATGCTAAAAATTACTGTACACCATCTTAAAAGCCTCAAAAACCATCCTAAAATTTGAAAATTCAAATTTCCCGCCAACTTTGAAAAATCTTGGCATTCTGTTGCAAGCCGGCAAACTTGCAAAAAATGGTTTGCGAACGAAAGAATAGTATTTTATACATGTGAAAATAATAAAACAAATTTTTTAGTGGGATTGAAAAAGCCGTTTACAGCAATTTTAGACAAAAATTTTGCAAAAAATAGAAAAAAATTTTTGAAAGATAGATACCCAGCTGTTCATGTTTATCATACGCTTATTACGATTACAATATTTTCTCTTCGCAGTCAAAATATAAACACAAAAAAAAGTGCTGCTGGTATAACAAATCGAATCAAATTTCAAAAAAATTCCTTTTTTGATACATTCCAAAAATAGTTTTTATTTTGGAAAAAAAGTCTTACAAAGAGCAGAAAAACGTCTCAAAAAAATCCTTGAAAATTCACAAGATTTTTTTCTCACAGTTAATTCGATGACGTCACGGAATCAACAGAGTCTGACCTCAAATTTGACTGTAAAAAAATCTGTAACACCGTGGTGAAATTTGGAGTGAAAACAATGTGAAAAGCAGGTGCAAATAAGTCAATTATCAGCGTTACGTTAGGCTACTGTAGTGTAGAAAAGGTTTATGAATAAAATTTTTAAAATACGTGAATCTGGCGCCATAGCTTTTTCATTAAAAAAAGGCACCCAAATCTGGCAAAGGTATGAAGAAAAATTACCTTTAAAACTGCCTTTGACGATGTGCGCACAGAATTGGATAAAAGATAGGGCGAATTTACAGCACAATTTTGTCAGAAATAGGCAAGACAGCAAGACATCTTGCTCTTGTTTTTCAGAAATTATCGAATTTTTTTGACCGGAACATGTCAAAAAAGACATACTTCCAATTTTTGGCTTGCAAGTTTAAGGCTATCAAAATTTTAAAATAACTTTTTTAAAGATAAATATATACAAGGCTCCTAGCTCACAGCTTGCAGAAACGACCGAGATTTTTAGCTCGAGATTTGGTAAAAATCTTTTTTTGCAAATTCTGGCATGAAAAGTTTCATGCATATTTCTGCCATCAAAGGTAATGTTCCCAGAAAAATTATTTTTTTTCCGCATGAAACTAGTAAAGTTATGGCCAAAAATTGTTTTCTCCCTGACCGCTCTACCTGTTTCCTTTTTTCTCTCGGCCCGAAAGTTTGTTGAAATTCTTGACTGCCTTTGTAAAGCGAGTGCTAAAAGTTTCTGTAATTGATTTGTGATCAATGTCCAAAATGAATGCAAAATTTAAAGAAAATCTGAGCGTCGCAATTATGGTACTTTCCCTTGAAAGAAGTGCTTTTTCTGTTAGCCAAGAAATCTTGTCGCTGAACTCTCTTGGTAGAGAGTGTTGCGGACAAAAATTGCATCTAAAAATAGTAAAAAAACAAGAACTAAATAATTGAGGCTACTTTCCTGGTCAAGTGCAAGCTTATCATTAAAAGTGGGCGTAATTGCGGATTTAATTGGAGTTCCGTAAAGAATGTTTTTGTCCTATCTTCCTTCCGGCATAAAACAGGCATGAAATTATTGACGTTTGTTGTTTGATAGTGAATATAAAAGTCCATTCAATAGAAGTATTTGACGGTAAAATACGGTTATTCTTGGTCCCTGCCCTTAAAAAATATGAACATTTTTTTGACCACAGTACTGTACTATACTGTACTATTATAGTTGCTAAAAATACCCTAAAAAAATAATGTTCCAATTTCCTTTACAAGCTCAAGAAAACACTTTCTCTTATGCACAATAATCCTAAAAAAAGCAACTCGATTTGACCCCAAAATTCTAAAAATGTACGCGATCTGCACTCCCTCCCACCGATGATGATTTGAGATGACATTTTGTAATGTTGCAGCGGAGAATACTACAGGAAAAACGTAAACAAAAAGTCATCTTTGAAATAGGAAAAGATAAAAACAGACTTGTGAACAATAAATTTACAGACCTCAGAACAGCAGTTTTCACAATGAAACTCCTCTACAAGGAGTGAAGCAAACATAGCAAAAAAAAAACGATTTCAGAACTTGCAAGAAGTAAAATTTGATTCGGGGCGAACAGAATTGAATAAAAATAATCTAAAATTTACAGTCTTTTATTCTAACAGGGGAAGTACCCCAAGTGCGACGCTCGGATTTTGATGAAACTTGGCACAAATTTAGAATATCTTTTTCTAAGACAGATGCGAGAATCCTAGCTCGCGCTTTGCAAAAACAACCGAGTTTTTAGATCGAAAGTTGGCGAAAATTTGGCAATTTTTGCCGAATTTTGGCGCGAAAAGTTTCATGCCTATTTCTACCGTAGAGGATAATGTTTCTGCAAAAAATCAAAATTTTCCGCACTAAACTGCCAAAGTTATAGCCAAAAAGCGTTTTTCACTCTGACCGCTCTCCGCGTTTAGCGTACTCTCTCGGCCGCGAAGATCGTCCAATATCTCGGCGGCGCCTGAAAAGCGCGTGCTAAAACCTTCAGAAATTGATATCTAGTCTATGCCCGACGTGTGTGCAAAATTTAAGGAAAATCTAAGCGTCGCACTTGGGGTACTTCCCTTGTAAGCCATGTGTAAAATATTCCTAGATGACGCTTTCAGCTGACCGGAAAAAGCTGTGGAAATCAGAAAGCTCGTTGGTTTAAAAAATTTTTTTAAAATACGTACGTCAAAAGTTTGGGCAGGTTGGGAAAGTTGGCCACAACTTACGGAATAAAGCCAAAAGCACTTCGACTTTGGTGTTTTTAGACGCTACTAGGAGTCAGAATCCCAACTAAAATTTGTTTTTCATCGAGACACTCAAGATGAAAAACTGTTTCTTGAGGAAAAAATTACGGTAAAAATCTGCAAAAAAAGTTATTTTTTTTTTTTGGTGTGGGTTATCAGTCTTATAAATGTATAATATTAGGTTTCTAATATATCAATTATGGTCGCAGAATTGTCTCAAGACAGTCATACCGCCGCATCGGGACCTTATACGAGTAGTATAAGGTAACAGAAAAGCAGATTTTTCACCCTCATTCTTTCAGCCGCAGCAGAAAGAAAGTCAATTTTTTTAAAACAGGAAAATAATACGATTTGTTTCAAATGTCACCAAAAATTTCTTTTTTCAAAGATCTTAAAAATCCGATCTGTTTCAACTATCAGAGGTTAAGGTTATCCAGTTGTGTGGGGGGAACCGGCTAATCCCCCCTCGCTCAAAAAAAACTGATACCCTTGACATAAATAAAAACCGCCTTTCAACGGCATTCCCCGCATTTTGGAAACAGGGCTCGGCAGCTTTCGAAAAACGATCAAAAATGGGAAAGAGTGTTACAAAAAAATATGCAGAATAGAATGCGGAAGTGAGTGGAAAAAATGTAGAAAATCTTATAAAAATATTTTTTTGTAAAATACGGGCATCTAGGATTCAAAAATTTTTCAGTCTGAATTTTAGAAAATATAACGAATTTGCAATTTCTGATGATCACACAAAAGAAATTTTTATGTACAGTGTCAGTCTGTCGGGAAAATAAAGAGCACAACGGCGCTTTCGCCGATCATGCCGCTGAAGAGAAATGAAATTTGATTTGACCGCGACACAGTTCATTTTCCCGGCGGTGATGCGATTTTCGAAGCGACAGAGTGTTCATTATTTTCCCGGCAGATTGATTGTCCAAGCAGGATCTCGAGAGTTTTCTTTTAATCCTTATATCAGTCTGTCGAAAAAATAACGGCGGATCGTCGCAGCAAAAGATCTCGCCTCGCCTCTATCGCGCACCAGATCTCCAGCTTCGGCAGCCGTCGCAAAGCGATGACGGACGATTCCGAGGCGCGACGATCCGCCGTTATTTTTCCGACAGACTTATATAAGGATTAAAGAAAGGCCACAAAAAACCTCATAAAATTTTAGCTCGCGCTTTTCAAAAGCATTGTCCTTCTGAGTAGGCGAGACTCCCAAAAAACCTGCATATAACAAAGCATTCAAAAGTCTCAATAGTTATATACTTGAATTTTGTTGTACAGAGGCTTGACTTGACCGGCTATAAATTCAACTAAATAGCTTTATCGATAAGGCGAGAAACATTCAAAAAAAGAAGGTTTCCTTGCAAATTTCAAGTGAAAAACAAAGAAGATTATTTTGTCAAAATTTTGGACATGGACCTAAAAGACAACGTATTTTAAAATTTCAAAAGAGAGCTGCGTAATGGGCGGCTTTAAATCTAAAAATCACTGTGGCTGCTGCAGATTATAGAGCTATATTAGAATTGCCGGCTGCGTTGAAGAAAAATTAAGACAATATCAGTCTGTCGGGAAAATAATGAGCACTCTGTGGCATCGAAAAATTGCTTCGCTGCCGAGAAAATGAATTATGTCGGGAAAAATCAATTTTTTTTCACTTCCTATTTTTTTCCCGACAGACCAATAGAATTATGGCCAATTTTAGCAAGATTTCCGAATCGTGCCCGAGGCGGTTTTTTTTGCAAACGGTTTTACTAATTTTTCAGTTTCAAAAAATTGCGCAACTTTGCGATTTTTACTTGTAATTTAAAAAAAAATCAATGGCTAAAACAATATAAATTATCATAAAAGCCTCCAATTGCCTAAAATACAACATAAACTCCTGCTTAAAATAAAATCAAAGTTCCCTGACGAACATCCCCGCGCTCCCCGCAACACCAAAATACCGCTTCATCGACGAAACGCGCCAGATTTGACGCGCGATTGAACAATTTTCTCTAAAAACTCACGCGAATTCTCGAGTTTTTTATGGTCAGATCGCCGATTATACGGAAACAAGAATGCCACGGAATTCGAAAAATGGCGACGTCACGAGAAATGGGATTTTTGAAATTTCGAAGAACTTTCGAAGGGATTCCCGGGGATTTTTGAAAATTTATGTACTAGGAGGAAGATTATGGGCTATAGTGAAAAATATATAATATTTGAAAATTTGGATTTCTCAAAAAAAAATTTTTTGTGTAGTAGAAGTTGGCTATGTAAAAACAATTTTTTAGACCTTGCAGGAGACTTATATCAGTCTGCCGGGAAAATAATGAGCACAAATTAGTAGGAAATCTTACAAAAATATTATTTGTAAAATACGGGCATGACTGTAAATTCGAAATTTTTTAGTTTGAATTTTAGAAAAAATAACAAATTTGCCATTTTTGTTGAACACGGAAAATAAATTTTTATGTGCGATATCAGTCTGTCTGAAAAATAATGAGCACAATGTCGTTGCGGCAATAGCGTCGCTGAAGTGAAAAGCAATTTGATTTTTCCGCGACACAGTTCGTTTTCTTGGCGGCGATGCGATTTTCGATGCGACAGAGGGCTCATTATTTTCCCTACAGACTGAAATCCAAGTAAATGAGTAAATTAACGATCGTTAAAACGGGTTATCATGAAAAATTTTCAAGTTCAACCACGTGGTTAGGTGCGAGATTCCCCCCATTGAAAAGTCATCACGTTTTACTTCCTGCGGAGGAAAACGTGATGACTTTAAAAAGATGCTTTAAAGTAAGAGGCTGGGCATTTGAACTACTGCCCAATGACACCGATATCTCTTCGACTAACATACATAATTATCTCAGGTAAGACGAAGAAAATTTCACTAAAAAACTCGAAAAAACGACCAAGTTTTCAAAATCGTTCCAAAAATTTGGCGGTTTCGGTTCGAAAATAATTCTTCAAAACTTTGGGAAGACATAGAAAGGTCAACTCAAAATATATATTTTTGAAACTCAATCGGTTGAAAATGGCGGGTCTCAGCTCCAGAAAAATCTAAATTTTGGGAAAATCGGCGGAGTCTCCGCGGAGAAATTCAAAGAAAAAATTACTCGTTTTGATTGGCCCAACTTGTACTCAAAGTGCCAGGATAGGATTTTTTAAATTCATAATGAGCAGAATGTCGTTGCGCCGATCGCTGAAGTAAAAAGTGAAAAGCAATTTGAGTTTTCCCCGACACAATTCATTTTCTATGCGGCAACGCCATTTTCGATGGCACAGAGTACTCATTATTTTCCCGACAGACTGACAAGTTTAGTTTTCCTTACCAAAATTCGGCGTCGCGACACTTGCGGGCAACCAGTTTGCGGGCAAATTTTTTGCGGGCAGCCACTTTGCGGGCAAAATTTGGGGGGGTCACATTTGCGGGCAGCTGAAACATTTGCGGGCAGCTGAGACACTTGCGGGCAGCCTGGGACACTTGCGGGCAACCGACATTTGCAGGCAACAGGAAAAGACAATGACACAGACTGTATAGGAACTTTTGGAACTGTTGCCCGCAAATGTCGGTTTCCCGCAAGTATTGCCTGCCCGCAAATGTCGGAAAACTTCCAAAATATCGAAGTAATTTTCCACCTCCACCTTGTTATCCTCAAGCGCCGATTGCCCGCAAATGTCGGCTGCCCGCAAATGTCGGGAAATTTCCAAAATATCATAGTAATTTTTGCACGTCCACCCTGTTACTCTCACAAACAGGTGTCGGTTGCCCGCAAATGTCGGCTGCCCGCAAATCTTCCAGGCTGCCCGCAAGTGTCGACCCTGCCCGCAAATGTCCCAGGCTGCCCGCAAATGCCGGCGCTGGCCGCAAATGTCGGCTGCCCGCAAAGTGGCTGCCCGCAAAAAATTTGCCCGCAAACTGGCTGCCCGCAAAGTGGTTGCCCGCAAGTGTGCGCCCGCAAAAAATTCGATTTTTCCTGGCGGACACAAACAATTTTTAAACGAAAACCCGTTTTGTCGTCTTTTCGACTCTCCCAATTTTGTGTGCTCTCTCGAAAAGAAGAAAAAAATTTAAAATTTTAGTTTACCGCGAGATTATAATTTATTGCCAAAAATAAATATACAAACTTAAACAGCACCATTTTCAAAGGTCAACGAGAAAAACGGCCAGAAAAAACAATGGACTCACCATCAATGGGTAGGAGTTTGCAGAATGTTCGGACATCATTTTGAAAGGACAGAAGGAGTCGGATTCGGATGGACAAACGATCAAAAAGCACTTCCTAATTGGCCGATATTACACTGTAAACAAAATCACACAGTAAAAAACAAAAAAAAAATTCAAAAAATCCCGTTGTTAAAAGACCAAAAATTTGAAATGCCAGAGATAAAAGGGCTTGACATCAAAATGCCAGACAGCGCAAATTCCAAACCTTTTATACCCCACGAAAACCAGTCATTATTTAGCTAAAACAAACTAATTAACGGGACAAAAATTTTCTTTGAACTCATGAATCAGAGACTTCTCATAGCGTTTCAATTAAAACGTCTTACAATTCGCATACAAGGAATTAGTCAGCAAAATTTTCTTGAATTCAAAAATCAAGGAAATTCCAAACAAATTTTTTAAAAAATAGTAAAAAAATCAATATGCATGTTACTAGTGCGTTTGTAAAGTCGTTTATAAAAGTATATAAAAACTGCCTTTCAAAGGCATTCCCCGCATTTTGGAAACAGAGCTTGGCAGCTTTCAAAATACGATCAAAAATGGGACAGGATGTTACAAAATGTTACATAGATAGAATGCGGAAGTGAATGTAAAAAATGTAGGAAATCGTATAAAAAAATAATTTGTAAAATACGGGCATTACCAGGAACTCATATTTTTTGCTTGAATTTTAGAAATTTGAATTTTAGAAACCATGACTTTGAGGGTTTTGTTGGTCACAGAATATGTATACAATATCGGTCTGTCGGGAAAATAATGAACATAATTTTAAATGACTATCACACAGAATGGAATACGGAAGTGAGTGTAATAAAAAATGCTAAAAGTTTTATAAAAACATTTGTAAAATACGGGCATTACGAAAAATTCAAAATTTTTTCAGTTTGAGTTTTAGAAAAAATAACGAATTTGCAATTTTTGTTGGTCACAGACAAAAAATTTATGTACGACATGAGTCTGCCGGGAAAATAATGAGCACAATGTCGCTGCGCGAATCGTGTCGCTGAAGTGAAATGAAATTTGACTTTGCAGCGACACTTCATTTTCTCGGTGACGATGCGATTTTCGAAGTGACATAATAACAGATAGCTATATCTGCAGATAGAATACGAAAATGAGTCTAAAAGATGTGGAAAACCTCATAAAAATATTATTTGTAAAATACGGGCACTTTAATCTCGAATTTTTTTCAGTCTGAATTTTAGAAAATATCACCAACTTGCCATTTTTGTTGATCAAAGAAAAAATAGCACAATTTCGCTGAAGTGAAAAACAATTGGATTTTGCAGCGACACTTCATTTTCTCGGCGACGATGCGATTTTAAATACCACAGAGTGCTCATTATTTTCCCGACAGATTGATTGTCGAAGCAAGATCTCGAATTTTCTATCAGTCTGTCGGGAAAATAACGGCGGATTGTCGCAGCAAAATGTCTCGCCTCGCCGCTATCGCGTACCAAATCCCAAGCCGCGGCTTACAGTCGCAAAGTGATGATGGGCGATTCCGAGGCGCAACGATCCGCCGTTATTTTCCCGACAAACTGATAATCCGTACTAGTCCTTTCGGAAAGTTGCTGAAGTGATTTCAGTTCGAGCGACAGCCCAAAAAAGCCTATTGCACCGTGCAAAAAGCAAGAAATTGCACAGTGCAAAGAAAACTTTTGTTTTTGCACAGTGCATGCCGCAAAAATCACTCCAGCAACGTTGCGAACGGACTAGTACAGTCAAAAAGACTGTAAAACGAACTAGAAGTAACAAAAAATGATATGTTATGAAAGGGGTTCGTTGTTCGGAGTTTCATTTCGGCCCAAAAATGACTCACAGGGTTGTACGGAGGTAAAAATTAATCAAATTTTTTTACGCACAATGAAACGTATTTATAACTGTTTGAAAAATAAAATCTTATTTTTACTCTATTTCATCAGTCTGGCGGGAAAATAATGAGCACCCTGTCGCATCGAATAAATTCTGTCGCGGAAAAATCAAATTTCTTTTCACTTCTTCGACGTGATCGGGGCAGAGACATTGTGCTCATTATTTTCCCGACAGACTATTACTTTGCGGTTTTCGATGGCGATGATTTCAAGTGAAAAAAAAATGAATATGATTTTCGGAATCAGAACAATCCAAAACCTCTAAATCGATCTATTCCGAAAAAATTTCAAAAAATTACTAGGTCACAATTCTAATTGAGGAAAAACGATCAAGAGACTAAATGTCATTTTTGAAATCAGCACCATCGATTAGCCTAATTTCGACACTTGCATTGAAGCAAAAGAATACTTTTCGTCGCTCCTTGACTTTTTCAATAAACGTTTTTACTATGTAAAATAAACTTTATATAGCAAAATCCCTTCAAAAAGCAGCTAGTTTTAAAGTTCCTTAGAGCCTAAATTAACCATAAAATTATTAAAAACGGCTTTAAAAGAACGCTGGTGAGAGAAAGGAGAGCCCGATAGCCGTTTCCCCCTAAAAGCCTCCTGTTTTTGCGTTGAGGGAGGGTAGTTGATATTACTGATAACAGTCCAAAAGTCCGATCGATGGGAGAGGGAAGTAGCCTTGGGAAGTTTACTAAACGGAGATCAAGGCTTTATTCCATACCAAGTTTCGACAAAATTCATCGCATTTTGAGATTTTTCCTTAAAATTTACAGGGGAAGTACCCCAAGTGCAACGCTCAGATTTTCTTTAAATTTTGCACACACGTCGGGTACGGACTAAATATCAATTCCTGAAAGTTTTAGCTCGCGCTTTGCGGGCGCCGCCGAGATATAGAACGATCTTTGCCGCCAAGAGAGCACGCTAAACGTGGAGAGCGGTCAGAGAGAAACCCGCTTTTTGGCCATAACTTTGGCAGTTTCGTGCGGCAAAATTTGATTTTTTGTAGAAACATTATCCTTTACAGTTGAAATAGGCATGAAACTTTTCGTGCCGAAATTCGGCAAAAAGTCATTAAGTTTCACCAACTTTCGATCTAAAAATCTCGGTTGTTTCTGAAAAGCGCGAGCTAGGATTCTCGCATAAATCTTAGAAAAAATTGTTCTGAATTTGTGCGAAGTTTCATCAAAATCTGAGCGTCGCACTTGGGGTACTTCCCTTGTTAGCGGATATTACAATGGAAATAAGAAAAACAATACAAAATTTCTTTGTATTCAAAAATTATTGCAACATTCTGCCTTGAAAACTGATATTTCCACCATTATCTGCGAAAAAATTTTTAAATGCTGAATTCTCTCCATAAATAGAGGCCATTTAGGAAACAATGACTATAAAGTTTGCTTCCAAGAGGCATCAATTCTTTAGCTTTCACCCATAAATTTCTGGACTGAATATTAAATACATAGTAAGTTTGTTTTGATAAACAATCAGAGATCAGTTGTTTTCATGAATCTACAATTCATATAATCAGTCACTATATGGTAAATAAATTTATGGATTTATGACAATAAAAATTTTGTGTTTGGCTTATCAGTCTGTAGGGAAAATAATGAGCATTCTGCCTCATAAAATCACATCGCCACCGAGAAAGTGGACTGTGTCGCGGCTAGATCAAGTTGCTTTTCTGTTCTGCGACGCGATCGGCGCGACATGGTGCTCATTATTTTCCCGACAGACTCATAGTCAGTGAAAGGGAGTGGACGTTTATTTATGATGAGATTGTGGTTTCAACAGGGTACAGATAACGTCGTGGAGAAAAATGTTTGTGCGGAAGAGCCCCAAGTTCGACCTTCAGGTTCTATATTTCAATATTGCATACACATCAAACGTAGACACAATTCTTGAGAATTCTAGCTGATACATTAAGAGACAACTATATAAATTTAACGATGCTCAGTATGCCAAGAATGAGCAGCAAGAAAAAACGTCTTTTTTGCAATACATGTTCCAGTTTTGTAAGTAAAAAACATGTACGAAAAATGGCATACAAATCATGTACTGCTTGATGAGTTCGGCATATTATGTAATCAGTTCGCAAAGTCGCTGGATTCATTTTCACGGTAGGCACGTGCGAAACAAACGGTCGCTTTGCACCGTGAAACAGGCTTTTCGGGCCGCCGCCCTGACCTTCATTTCACAGTGCAAACGCCAAAAATCACTCCAGCGACTTTACGAACGGACTAATCGCAGATTCAAAGTAAAACACTTCGATTTTCTCTTCATTTTTTCACACTCCCTTTGCAGAACACAGGCCAAAACCTTACAGATTTTCTGCTGTACCTTCGCTGTTTTCATACTCGGAGTTAAAGAAACACTTGACCCATCCTGAGTCAAGTGTTACCTTGCTTAAAAAATGATGACAAAACATAAAAATTTATTGACAAGCGTAATAAATAAAGCAATAAATTATTATGGCCTATATAAAATATAATTCAAGTAGTACTGGGTAAAATACGGAGACATCTTTCCAACTTTGCCTAAAAAGTTTTGAAAATGGAATACTAATTTTTCAGCACCCGTAGAATCTTTTCCAATAATTTTCCCACAATTCCACACAATTTCTAATGCCTAATCGATGCGGTTGTTGAGTCAGACTCCATACTTCTATCATCAGTTCCTCCGCTCGTTCCACAAGCACAATTATAAATCAAGGAGATGCAAAAGATACCACCCAGCAACGCGTGGTATGCCGCATAAACAAGGAATTGATCTCGAACCGCCAACCCAAAGCCACTTTCGTCCACGAAAATCAGCGTCAAAATTGTCTGAATCACCAGCGCGACAAATGTATTGACGCCAAAAACAAAGCCACAAGAGGTTGCGACAGCCAATGTTTTAACGAGATTGATTCTGAAAAGAGTATGAGAAGTTGAAAAATAGAAAATCAGTGGTTATAATATCCATGAGGGTAAATAATTTGCTAATTTTAGAGCTGTAATCTCCGTGAAAATGGCGTTACAACAGAAATTTCATCAACAGCTACAGTGACGGGCCTGATACAGTGACAAAAGACGTTCCATTTTGCATCCGGGAAGTATCAAAAATGTAGCAAAATGCCTCCCTTTTCAACTAAAAAACTCCGTTTTGAAGGGCCCTCACAAAAAGAGCGGGCGCGCTTTCGAAATCCGAGTTTTCTCACATGGAAAGTCAGGCATTTTGCTACATTTTTTGATACTTCCCGGATGCACAATGGTACGTTTTCATCACTGGATCATGTCCGCCACTTCCGACAAAAACAGTTGGATTATGTAGTAAAAAAACCACATAAATGGCCAGCCAAACTGTTGGATTGGTAGCCAAGTCTTCCAAACCGGTCAAAAAAGCAAATCCAACGTTTTGGCTAATTTTTGGTGACTTCATTGAAGCCGCCAATAATTTCCCTCAAATTTGCATAGAATCAAAGGAGAAAGCCTTCACTAGGGAAGTGTACAAACGAACCCTCGCCAAATGGCAAGTGTTATACACCATTGGAAAGCCCTTGAAAAATAGTGCTAGTCAGATCAATTTCCCTATTCTCGTAAGTCGGTACTGCTTTTCGTCAGCGGTTCTATCGTTTCTCGTGTGTTGCCAATAAACTTTATTCGCCTTGTGTCTACCCTTGTTTACATAGCGGTTTGGACCTTGGCGATGATTCCAACTTTTTGGCAAAGCCGAGAAATTCTCTTCTTAACCCATAGCTTCTTTAAACCTTTTGACTAGCAATTATAACCCTTCAATCAACAAATTATCTCAAACAATAGAATATAATCGCTTTCATTATAACATAGGCCCGTTATCAAAGAAAAACGCCAAAATCAAACCTACTGAGCAATAGTAATCGTGCACTGATAAACCAGCTGGAATCCAGCGTACGTTGCATACATCACCATTAGTCTTTTTGTTTGCGACATCCAATACAACAATACGGCTTGCAAGATAGCCCCCATAGTCAAGGAAAACTCTCCCCATCTGAGCCAATTAATCGGCAGTCTTTCTAGGCCGATTATGGCAATCAACGCCAATAATGGGACTATCGCCGTAACGAAGCCATTGAGGAGATCAAGACTTTGAGGGCCTTGAAGTTGCGACCACAAGGCTTGACTGTAGTTTAGCATCTGAAATAGTGGGGATTCGTGCTTTCGCGTATTTTACAAGCCTTATAAGATATACAGTTAAAAAAATGCTTACAAAAAAGTATCCGCAAGTGGAGAAGGCCCACCATGCTGACCATTTGACAGTCTTTATGCCCGAGAAAGACTCTTTGAAACGCCTTTTCAGTTTGTACAACCGATCCATGAAGAATTGACAGTAATTTTCAATTCGAAGAGCGTCTAAAATACGGTCTCTTACCAGTCAAATCTTCAAATTTTTTCAGGAAAAAAGTATTTTAGAAACGCCACAGAACTTCACAAACTTTAGTAAAACGTACCTGCCGACGGTTCCATGGCAATGACATGCCCCCAAGATAGGTTGGGTAAAAATAAAGCCGAGATGAAAGCCAGTACCAGAGATACCAAAGTAATGTAGTTCAGCGAGCTGACTGTCCCCCATTTATACAAAAGAATGGGCTCGGAACTCATGTAGCCGATGAATTGGCCGCCTTGAAGAGCGGCGCGAGTCAGTGCGGTTACTCTGAACACATCGAAGCGTTGAATTTTTAATGAAAAGCCTAGATTCTTGTAAAAAAATGGTTTGGAAATTAGATAATACTAACCAATATCTTGCTGAGATTTTCTATGGAGTCTGTCAGACCAATCAATGGTATAAAGGTGATCAAAAAAGTCGGGACAAAATAAACTCCTTATATATAGGAGCTGACTGATCCAGTGGCAAAAAAACATACTATGTTGCATCCAGGAAGCATCAAAAAATGTGACAAAATACCTTCCTCTATAAGTAAAAAACTCCGGTTTCAAAAGCGCGCCCGCTCTTTTTGTGAGGAAAAAGAGCGCGCCCTTCAAAACAAAGTTTTTTCAGTTGGAGAGGGAAGCATTTTTGCCACATTTTTGATACTTCCCGGATGCAAAATGGTACGTTTTTTGCCGCTGGGTCAGGTTCGCCACTGTATTATCTTTCTTTTTGCGGCCTAATAAATCGAGGGCCTTTTCTGCAAGGAACGGCATTCTGTACTTTTGGGACACAACCAATCTCCGCACCGTTTTCAATTTTTTTCGGAATGTGCTTGCTTTCTTTCTCCATATCTCGCTAGCCGTTTGCGCTAGAAGGCCAAAATTTGACATAGCTATAGAGTAGAAAGCCGGCTTTCAGAAAATATAAACATTGTAGGGCATCCCGCAACATAAGCTTTGCAATGACAATTGAAAAAATTGTCATTTTTGAACCATTGCAAGGGTAAAAGCTTTATTGTTAGAGGACTCTCTCATTTTTGCATATCTCTCTTCTTTCATTTTGCTCTATTAGAGAAATGAACTTCAAGTCGCTAACTTACACTTTATAGTGTTGCCGGTCCACTAGCATATAAACAAACGCAAAGTAAGACATTTCAGTTGACGTGGCCAACCCATAAAAGACTTCAGCCATTTGTTGTGAAAAAACGGATCTGCCAAAAATCAAGAACAGCCATGTTGCGATAAAAGAGAGGCTTTCCAGTATGAGCACCGGTTTATAAAGCAGAGCGTCGGTGAAGAGGAGAATTGGGATGATTGTGAGCATAAAACTGTAGGTCCATATTGGATATACCTATAGTAATATAAAGATATATATAAGTGAGAGGCTTCAGAAATTTTTGTTTGTAAAATACGTGTGTGTCTGTTTGATGCATGTAATTTCTTACCCGCCCATTCAAATCCTCGTCGCTCAAATGTAAGAAATCATGTTGATACTTGTACAGATAGGGCTCACTCGGCCGCAGCTCCTTCAAACAACCGTAGGCGCATAGGAGAAAAGTGGTCAGCTTCCAGTTCATCTCATCGCTCTGTAAAACACGTTCATTTTAATTGGAATTTTGACTTCTTTTTATTGGAAAATGAAGTAATATTAGAAAAAATAAAAAATTTCACGAAAGAGATGGAGGATGACTAAATTTTAAACCGAAAATATAATTGTAGCAGACCACAAGTTTTCGTAGCATTTCGCAACGATAGAGAACGTATCCATGGCATGCGGTATGACTCTCAAAACATTTCGAAACATACAGTTTGTATTGAAAGATATATTCTGGCCTTGTTGGCCAGAAATAAAGTATTTTTTTGCCAAATCTATGCCAATTTTAGCGTGGAAGACATTATTTTTTAGTGGAAAAATCACATGTTTGCTATAAACCGGAGTAATACAGTGAGGGTCTAATTGAGAAAAAATATTGTTCGCTTGTGCTTATCACATGTCGACGGTCATTTTCAATGTATAACCTCACTTTAAAAATGACTGTAACCTCCTCATTTGGCACACTCTCTCTCTCGAAAAAAGAGCGCTAAATATTAGTCTGTAAGGAAAATAATGAACGCTCTGTCGAATCGAAAATCGCATCGTCGCCGAGAAAATGAAGTGTCGCGGCAAAATCAAATTTCTTTTCAATTCAGCGACATTACTGGGGCAACCACATTGTGCTCAATATTTTCCCGACAAAAATATAGTACATAAAAATTTCTTCTGTGTGGTCAACAAAAATTGCAAATTCGTTGTTTTCGCTAAAATTCAAACAAAAAATCTGAATTCAAAGTCATGCCCGTATTTTACAAATAATATTTTAATGAGATTTCCTACATTTACACTCACTTCCGCATTCTATTCTATACAATGTTCTGAAACATCGTACATTAAAGGTCTGTCTGTGACCAACAAAAGTTACAAACTCATAGTGTCTTCTATAATTCCAAAAAAAAATAATGAGTTTTGTCATATGCCCGTATTTTACAAACACTTTTATAAGATTTCCTACAGTTTTAACTTTCAATTGCATTTTCAATTCATCGACTAGATTTGCGTAGCGAAATTGCGCTCACTATTTTCCCGACAGACTGATATTTCAGTCACCGTCGGAAAGTGAGAGCTAGAACTTTCAAGGGTTGTTTTGTGATTAGTTCAGAACACGTACAGCGGGGGGCCTGATCCAGTGGCAAAAAACGTACGATTTTGCATCCGGGAAGCATCAAAAATGCGGCAAAATGCTTCCTTCTCCAAGTGAAAAAATAACGATTTCAAAAGCGCGCCCGCCCTGTTTGTGAGGGAAGCCTTTCAAAGCGAAGTTCTTCCACTTGGAAAGGGAAGCATTTTCCCACATTTTTGACGCTTCCCGGATTCAAAATGGTACGTTTTTTGCCACTGGATCAGGTCCTTGCTGTATAAAGAATTTCAAGAAAATTTGAGTCTCCATTTGAAAGACTTCCTTGTTTAAATATGTAAATTTTTACCAACTTATCATGGTCTAAGAGTTGCGTTTTTAGCACTCCCAGCAAGCTTTCTATTATACTATATAGTACAACTGTATTTGGTATTTATTTTTTGCAGCTACACTAACTTGAAGATCAATACAAGCCTAGGAACTTCAAAATCCTACCTTTTTCCTCATTTTAGGCCCCTCCACAGGTTGGACAGCCATGCCGCACGGAAATAATTGGGAAAGTACGCGAGTTTTACACTTTATACGTTTATAAAAGGCACTACAAACACCGGCAAACACTTAATTGAGTTGTTTTGTAATTTTCGGATCCCAAAAAAGGTTTAGCTTCCATTCCGGAGTGAAAAATCAAAGTTTGCTTTTTGGAAAAAAAGGGAAAAAATAAAAAGTAAATAAAAGCCGCTTGTGTCAACGTGAGGGATTTTTTTAAAGAGCGCTCTTTAGTTTGTTATTAGTTGAGAATTGTGTCGTAAGAGGTGGAGTAATTTTCGAGGAAAAAAGTAGAAAAGGAAGGTAAAAAGGAAGGGGTTTTTGAGTAGACATGACCACCGGGCCGGGCCCAAGTTGAGGGCAGATAAAAAATAAACCTATTTCTTCCAAATTTGTTTTTTTATTTTGGTTGGGGAACCGGACCTTGGGTTGAAATCTTAAGCCCGAAGCCGGCCCGATGAAATCTAGGCTCCGGCTCTTCAAAATTTCAAAATTTTTGAGAAATTTCCAAGGCCTGACCTGGTAGCCCCATGCCTGTTTTTGAGCCATGAAAGGAATTAGAGGCCTTCTGAAGAAGCTAAAAATAAAAAACATAGATTTTGATGATACTTGAAGAAAGTAGAGATCATTTTGTAAGCTCTACGCAAGATTTTTATCTCGAAGTTTGCGGAAACACCCGAGGTTTTTGTCAGCGAAAATTCGAAAAATTTCGAGAAATTTTTGCACGTTGATGGATGGAAAGATGCGATTCTGTTTTTCACCGGGTTAGAAAAAAATCTCATCTACAGTAAGATGTTCTTTGTCATTCGGGGATAGATATGGCCAATAAAGTTTCTCTCTCTGACGTCATCTTCATTTTACGTACTCGACGATTGTTTGGGTTGCCTCGACCTGTCAATAGAGATAACAAGATCGATCAGGCCCTAGGATAACTTATCACCTGTTTTGAGGTATTTTACATGTATTAATGTAATAATATCCAGATAAAAAATGATGGATCTTCATTTCTGGAGCAATTTTTGGTCTTTTCTAAGTTACAGTAGCTCAGGTGGTAACATTTTAAGCACCCGCCAAGTCTCCGCCGATTCTTCGCCGAGAATAAACCATCCAACGGCTTATGTATGCCTCGTAGGCACCTCCTACAACCCTGTTTTGGTTCTCCGCTTATCCTAGACACCTTTATCCAACCTTTTGTACGTAATAATAACTAAATATTAGTGGGCCAAACAGGGCAAGACCGGGCTTTGGTAAATTTGAAAAAGCCCAGGCCTGGCCTGACCTTTTTAGTCTGCGGACCGGATTGCCACCTCTAGCCTGCTCTACGCCCCGTATTTCGATCGGTTTTGTATTGACTTGATTTGTCATCAACCCAGAAAGTCGGAAGGCGAAGTAAAGTGCCTCAGAAAGAATTGTTTTCTTACATTTTTCCGACGGCTTTGAATGTCTCTAGCCACCAACATGGTCAGCAACTTCTTCACAAAGTGTCCTCACAAGATAATATTATGTACTTCCAACTAATTTTGTAGTCAAAATATACTCTATCAGACTGAACTAACAATAATACGAGAGATCCATCAGGAATTTTTGTTTTGAATGAGGAAAGGAGGCAAATCCATCAGGCTGTTTTTTGTAGTTTCTAGAATGTTTTCCCAACTGCAGAATGGAGAATCCGTGACTCAGACGAACATGATGTTTCAGAGAATGGATTAAACAAATTTGCATAAAAGTTTCTGAGGATTCAACGAGAGAAATAGGAGGAATTTCTGGCTATGATCAACAAATCTTAATAGAAACGTGTCTATACATAATAAAGAACATGGTATCGGTCTGTCGGGAAAATAATGACAACTCTGTCGAATCGAAAATCGCAGTGATGCCAAGAAAATGAATTGTGTCGCGGCAAAATCAAATTGCTTTTCATTTCAGCGACGTGATTGAAGCAGAGACATTGTGCTCATTACTTTCCCGACAAACTGATACTACACGTTCCAGAAAGTGCGTAAATTTTTTTTCGGCCTTTTTTTGCACCGCACAGTGCAAAATCAAAATTTCAAAAAAAAAATTTTTTTGAAAAGAAAAATTTTCCCAAGAAAAAATTCATTTTTATCATCTTTCCCCCAACAACTTAGCGGTCTTCATTGCCAACAAATCCATCGGACTTCGGCGGTCGGATAAGTCGAATTCAAATTCCCGCCAATCAACATGAGCAGCAAGAAGAAGAAAGTAAGCTGCATTATCTAGTAAAATAGGGCTCAAATTTTAAAATAAATACAAAAATTCGTCATAATGACATATTTTTTGGAATTTTTTACCAAAAAGAAAAAACAGGAAATGGGAAATTTCTCGGTAAAAAAACGACCTAAGTAGAAAAACAAAAGCTACTATAATATAGGATAAGGCCCGTCTTTTATAATCAGGTCACTTTCTCTCTCATCCAGACAAAAAATAAGGCCGAGATTTGAATAATTCCCCTATTAATCCCCCATGCGGATTTGATGATTAAAAATCAGCGGTATTAGGACTATCTTTGAATAATCATCAAAATTCCGGAAGTAAAAAGGCTGAAAAATAATTTTAGAGCAATGTTTCAATTCCAGGGAGCTATGAAAAGCACGGAGCCGACCAGATTCGAGAGCATCAAAGAGGTGAAACGACCCGTCAAGTTCGACATGGCCGGCCATCAGCTGAACAAGGGGAAGAGCAAAACACCCAACGGATCCAACCTGAAGAAGAAGGAAACTCCTAAAGGTACGTATTGTCTGTTTTTTACCTTATTTTAGATCACCTTGCCTAGTACAATATGAAAAAATTTTAGCGAAAGTCCCAACTCTGAAAACTGACAAGACGGGCCCTGATGAGTCCAGCAAGAAATCCAAGAAGAAGAAGAGACGAAACAAGGCTCAGGAGGAAGATGTGGATGACGTAGAGGCTATTCATAACAAACCCAATCACAAGAAAAAGAGCCCAACCAAGCCTGAGGACGAGGAGAAGCTGACCGCTATCGTTGCTGTAAACGAACCCGCTGGAAAGCCTGTGTTCATGGAAGATACTATTCAAACTACTCCGATCAAACCCATCCATCCTACCGAAACGCCACTACAGTCGGCAGTGGCTAAGCGTATAAATTATTGATCTTGAAAGCAATAAACAGACTTTTATTTTGCTATTTTTGACGTTATTTTGGTCTTTTTTGGCAGAAAATTTTGAAACCCCCAATAAAATAGCCCAATTTTTGATTGTAAAATAATTTAAAATTTATGAATTCATTTCTGACGTCGTATTTTACACAAAAACGTTTTTTTCCATTAAAGAATTGAGCAAAAAACACAACTGCCTCATGCTGGAATCGAACCAGCGACCTTCTGTTTACTAGACAGACGCTCTGCCCCTGAGCCAATGAGGCGCACGCTCCCGGAGCTTTCGAAACCGCTTCTCTTTCTTTCGGGAAAATTGAAATGAAAAGGGCGAAATGGCGCTCATTTCTCACTTTTTTGGATAAAAACAAAAAACTTCTTTCACTTTGAAATATTGTAGACATTCCAAACTTATTTTAGCCTAGGTTTGAATACATCTTACACAAAATTTAGCCTGCCATAACGTTAAACAAATAAAAACCCCGTCAAAAAACATTTTTTTTTCAAAAACAAAATTCAAAACAACTTTATCAACAATCAAATCAACAAATCCATCCAAAACAAACAGAAGACTACCAATAACTTTCAAAAAAAATCGTTGAAAAAATCCGGGAAATTGATAAAAATTATGAAAAACAACGATTCAAGTGGGAAATCGGAGTGATCTTTGGTCTAGATTGATATGAACTTTATAGCTCCTGTCTCTGTGCATAGTGCGAAGAGATTCTCAACAGAATTGAACCTGAAAAAAAGGTCGTATTTGATTCAAAATTTGGCAAAATTCAGGATTTTTCAAAAAAAATTTTTTTTTTCAAAAATAAAAGCTGTATCAACTTGTAAAATACAACACAAAATATTTTTGATTTCTTACTTTATCCTGTAGACCAAGCTTCCTCCACTGAAACCGCTTTCTCTTTCCAATTTTTTCACTTTTTCTTCCTCAAGTTTTCCATTGAAGGGTACTTTATATAAATTTCCATTTTCCGTAGCAAATAGCACCATATCCTCTCCAAAATCATTTTTTCCAAATTCCAGAGCACTTATACATTCTCCAAACTTCCATCGTTGGACCTCCTTGGGTTGATTTTCTTCAATTTTGAAGACGGAAATTTGGCCGTCTCTGGTGCCGGCGGCAAAAAATTGAGAATCTTGATGGAAAGCTACAGTCCAAATGACTCGTTTGAATAATCCTGATACTGTTTGGAGATGAGTGATAACCTCTGGGTTCGATGGGTCTGAAAATAAAACTTTATTTTTCAAAAATTTAAAATTTTATCGGAAAAGATCAAAATTTTGATAAAATCTGAAAAATTTGTAAAATTTTCCAACAAAAAATCGGTAAATTCAGTTAGAAAATTAGCTAGCTTTTCTTTTTCTTCCATTTTCATTAACAAATCATCTTCTTTTCCCAATTTTTCCTCAAAAAATCGTTAAAACTCACCAATTTTATACAAGTTTAAGGTCCGATCTCTCGAAACAGTAACCAAAAACTCTCCATTCTTGCTGACAGCCATGTCAGTGATAGTAGAATTGTGTCGGATCTCTCTTTTCCTCACTTTCCAGTCTCCAATCGACCACACAATCATCTGAGCTTCATCTGGTCTAGATCCCTTCGCTGACGTGAAAACAAAGTCATTGCTTGACGCCGTCACATAGCATTCATTTCCATGGCCATACAGTTTCCGAATTTCTTCATGGGCAGTGGCTCCAGACTGTAGATATTCCTCAATCGTCGGTTTTGAATCGTCGATTTTCTCGGGTTTGGAATTTTCCGGTTGATCGCCTGAGGGGGCTTGCGGTTTGGGGGTGAGATTTAGCGGTTGTATTCTTTCTATCGCTTCTTGAACCGAGAGTTGAGGGACTTGTGCGCCGAAAACTCGGAACATGTGTTCGGCCGCGCCAGAGACAAAACCTTGGCTGAAAAACGACGATTTTTGGTAAAAAAATAAACAGAACTCATAAAAATAAAACTATACAGTTCATATTTTACACTTATATACATTATAAAGACTTCATTTTACCTTAAAATCGCCTAAACTACCCAATAATCAAAAAAAATCCCAAGTTTTCAACTAAAATTACCTTATCTTACCTTCCAATGGAAGTAACACATCTTAAAGCATGTCCATGGACTTGCGGTCGACTTTTCTGCGCCCAATATCCATTCTAAAATCATCAAGACATTAAATGCCAACCATTACAATACCACCTACCTCAAACTTTTTGAAATATCTTGTTGTTTTATCAGCCCCAACCGACAAAAGAACCCGTCCATTGTCAGCCCAGCAAATCGATCTAACTTTTCCAGAATGTCCTCCTATATAAATTGGTTGTTGATTGAATCCAATCGGCGTGTTATCTTCTTGTTCCACTTGAAATAAATAAAATCCGCCAACAGTGTTATGAGCCAAGAAGAAACTGTTTGATGGTGAAAATTGGGCGTCAAAAACTCCGAATAATTCGAGAGCCGGCTCTCCGTACGAGCATACCGAAGCTCTCAGAAGCCATAATTCGGAGTCGGCATTCTTTTCCAGCGCAAAAATTTTGATCGAATTTTCTCTGGTGGAGATGGAGAAGATGTCCTTGCTGTAATCCCATTTCGCTCCACAAATTCGCTCTTGACTAGCGAGGATATTCGAGTCCAAGTGGGCTTCATAATGATTGGAATCATCGAATTTGAGCTTGGTCTTTGACTCCAGATTGAATCCGCTAAAGTCGGCGTTGGATTCGGCTTCCAGAGGTGTCGTTTTCTCGATGCTCCAGATCTGAACTCGACATTCTGTAGCGGCCAAAAGCTCAATCTTTGAAGCATTAGAAGCCGCTGAAAAAATCAACGGATTCGACAGGTATTTTGTAGCCTAAAAATCAAAAACAACAACAAAAAAGACTTACAAATCCTTGAATCCAAATAAAAGACAGCTTCTTTAGAATCCAACAGCTTTGCTTCCCACTCAACACTCTCACTTTCAGGCTTTCGAATACGATTCAGGCCTAATTTCTTGTTTGTTTGCCCGAAAATAACCAAAAATTCTTTGAAATTCTGATCCAAAGACTGAATACCCAAACATTGCACCATTAAAAAGCTACTTAGAGCCTTCATTTTGCTGGAGACATAAGAGTAATCCTCATTGAAGAATCGTATTTCGATAGAACTAAAAGTTGCAAAAGCCAGAACTAGCTGATTATTGTGCTTTCGAAAGGCGAAGGCATCCACCATTTGATTTGCCGTGATTTTGTCTAAAAAACAGAAAAAACTAAATCCCAAGCCTGTATTTTACCTTCATAAACAATTCTATACTTCCACAAACCATCTTCTTTAAAGATCTTGGCTAAAACAATCGTTCCATCGGTTGTTGTTGATATCACCTCAAAGTTTTCGTCAGTTCTCGAGGGATTATCAACCAATCGCAAGGATCTGAACGTATTGGGATAGCTGATGATCGAGAGTATGACTTCAGGCACAAAACCACCTGAATTCTGAAATAAATCGGGGTGAATTATTCGATTCTTTGTTGCACTAGATACATCATAAACGAGAAGATAGAAATGTCAAAATATAACAAATCTGTCGAGTAAATTTATTACCAAACAAATCTACAACCTCCATGCTATCTAAACACCAAGAAAAGAAAGATAAAAAATAAACTTACATTAGAAACAACGCAAACATCGCTTAAACCACAATAAACTAGTCGGTTCTCGCTGACCCATTGAAGAGAACAATGTCTGGGTGCTACTCCAAGCGATAAAAGTCCAAATTTACCGGTATTGCTCATCTTCCATCAAGATTTCAACGAAATTTCCAAAAAAATTTCGATGAAAAAATGTTTTTATTCTATTTCCTGCGTCCCGCAACGAAAACAAGTCAGCTCTTCGGTAGGAAATTCTTTTTTATCTTGTTCATTTTTGCAAATCTCGGTTGGAATTGCGTGATTTCGAGAGCGATTTGTTCATTTTCATCATTTACATTTTTGCAGGTTAGTGTCTCCTCGTTCTTTGGGACCATCTAAGTGTTCATCATGGCTGTAAGTTGGTTTATAACCTGTTGTTTTGTTGGATTTTAGGCCGGCTTTTCGGATTTCGCGGGCTACAAAAGTAGGATTAGTTGATGCGAGGCTACAGCGAAAGCTTGACAAGGATTTTTGGAGACTTCTGAATAGATTTTACGTTTTTATAGTTTTATATAATTACAATTCTTGTTGCCTTGTGTAATAGTAATTTTAAACGGGAGAACTTGAGAAAAGTCACGTTGCTTCTTGATAGTCTTGGTTTTTTTCTTAGTTTACGTTCTCAGCCTGCAAAATTTAGTCTTTGTCGTTTGAGAAAATCCAAGGAATATAGTCTAACGCAACAAGCTAATTTCCTCTAATTTTTCAGACAGTCTACGGAAACTCCGAAGGATTCCGCGTTCAGAAGGTCCTGGTCGCCGCTAAGGTTGCCGGTAAGACCGTGCAAGTCAAGGAGAACGTGCCAGCCGACAAGTTCCCACTTGGCCTGACTCCAGCTTTCGAAGAGGGAGAAACTCGTCTTTTCGGATCCGATGCCATCGTCCGTCATTTGGCTGCTGGAAACAAACAGTATCTGCCTGAGGTAAGAGCTTTATTTTGTCTGTTTTGTTTTTAGACGCCTGTCCATCATGGATAATATAATTTTTACCTCAAAACTTGGAGTTCGTATAAAAAGGCTATTTATAATTTTAGGACCCAGCTCTCCTTCAATGGTTCCAATGGGCCGATTCCGAGCTTCTCCCCAGCGCTCTTTCCTACGTTCTCCCATCCATCTCAGTCGCCCATGTTGACCACGACACCCTCGAGCACGCCAAGAAAGAGTTCCTTGCCCAGCTCCAAGCCTTTGACAAAGTCCTTGCCTCCAAGACCTTCTTGGTCGGAGAACGACTTTCGGCCGCTGATGTTTCTGTCGCATTGAACCTCCTCCCAGCATACCAACACGTTCTGGACGAGAAAGCCCGAAAGAGCTTGGTCAACGTTACCCGTTATTTCTTGACCATCGTCAACCAGAAGGTCGTGAAAGAGGTTGTTGGTGAAGTCAAGTTGGCCTCTGCCGTCGCTCAATTCAGCCAAGATCAGTACAACAAGATCAAGCCCGCTCCAAAGAAGGATGGTAAGGGATTTATTTTTTATTTTTTGGCTTTAGGTTCAGTAGTGTTGAAAGCATGAATTGTATGTTTTTCAGAGAAGAAAGAGACCAAGAAACCCGAGAAGAAGAAGGAAGACAAGCCCAAGCCAGCTGCTCAAGAGCCAGAAGAAGATGAGCCTTCCGCTCCCGTCGAGAAGTTTGTTGATCCCTTCCTCAAATTCCCCGCCGGAAAGTTCAACTTGGACGGTTTCAAACGTGTCTACTCCAACGAGGACACCGACAAATCCATCCCATGGTTCTGGGAGAACTTCGAGCCCGAGAACTACTCCATCTGGTACGGTGAATATAAATACCCCAAGGAGTTGACCCTCACCTTCATGAGCTGCAACTTGATTTCGGGAATGTTCCAACGATTGGAGAAGCTGAAGAAGCACGCCTTCGCCTCTGTCTGCCTCTTCGGAACCGACAACGACTCCTCCATCTCCGGAATCTGGATCTGGCGTGGACACGAACTCGCCTTTGAGCTTAGCCCAGACTGGCAAGTGGACTACGAATCCTACTCTTGGAAGAAACTTGACCCTGCCGACGAGAAGACCAAGAAGACCGTCAACGAATACTTGGCCTGGGAGGGCGACTTCGATGGAAAGAAGTTCAATCAAGGAAAAATTTTCAAGTAAACGGAGAGGTTCACAAGTTTTGATAAGCTCTAAAACCTGGTTTCTAAGCCGAATGCCGGTTTGTTTTTTTATTTGTTTCTGTTGCATAAACTATCTAAACTATGTTTGGAAAATTATATCAAATGATGCTTAGGTAAACTAGCTGTGTTGTACTTTATGAACAACTATACAATATGTTTTTATTGGTATTCTCTATGAACAATATGGTTGATGAAACAATAGGTTAGCAAGGCTTGTCGGTTGGAGCTTTTCGATAGACATTACAATGTTCTTTGGGCGCGTATAAATCCCCGACATTGCATTTAAAAGCCTCCTTGAACTCGGGCGTGTTTTGCAAGGTGCCAAGAACACGCAGCTTGCCTTCTGCGTGCATGTCTATGCTTAAGTTCGGAATGTCCAAAGGAGGCTTCTGACAGAAAAATCGTGCGTAAGAAATGAAGAATATTTGGTCGTTGGTCAGTGACTGCAATTCAGCGAAGGGGAGGGGCGGATTCAGCTCCGCTGCCGCTGCGTACGCTTTGTAGGTGCGGTAAGATGCTAAGATCCCTGAAAGCGTTCGCCGTAAATTTGTTACAGTAAGGGACCTGATCCAGTGGCAAAAAACGTATCATTTTGCATCCGGGAAGTATCAAAAATGTGGCAAAATACCTCTCTCTCCAACTAAAAAAAACTTCGTTTTGAAGGGCGCTCCCTTTCCCTCACAAAAAAGAGCAGGCGCACTTTTGAAATAGGAGTTTCTTTATCACGTGGAGAGGGAAGCATTTTGCCACATTTTTGATACATCCCGGATACCAAATGGTACGTTTTTTGTCACTGGATCAGGTCCGCCACTGTAGGAAGAGTTTTTTCCTCCGGAATCTGCGATGTTCTCTCCCTGCGTCGCTTCGCCGTTGTTTGAAGTGTTGTGAGACGTAATGAACTTGTTGAACTGGTCGACTACACACCTTGCCATGATACCAAACTTTTGTCTCGTTTCTTCGTCCATCCATTCGTTCGCATCTCCGTTCTTATCGTAATGGATGCCATCGCTGTCAAATCCATGGATTATTTCATGACCTACGGAGCTGCCGACCCCTCCATAAACAGCCGAAGCTGGAAAGTCCATGTCAAAAAGAGGGACGTCCAAGAAGGCGTTCAAAATTTCGATTTTGTTTTCATTGAATAGATTAGCGGCGTTAACGACGTATGTTGGATAAGCCATTGTATCGCGGGTTTTGGGCTTCAGAAGTTCGCGTTTGTTCTGTTTGAAGATCAGGAGCGCTAAGCGGTCCTCCTCCTCGGCGTAGGTCAGCGTCGGGTCTAGTTGGTAGGATGCGAACTTTTCACTCAGATAGGTGTCGTTAAAAATGTTTTCGGCATACACGAGAGTCGACCGCATGTTTGCCAACTTTTCGTATGCGAGATTCTTCGAATTTATCGTCCAGTCGACTTCCTCTAATTGAGTCTAGAATACAACACAGTGAGGACCTGATCCAGTGGCAAAAAACGTAGCTTTTTGCATTCAAAAATGTGGCAAAATGCCTCCCTTTACAAGTGAAAAAGCTTCGTTTTGGAGGGTTGAGCCTGAACTCTCCCCCTTTTTCAACTCTCCCCGAAAAAGTCATAACTTTCCCCTTTTTTTGAACACTCCCCCATTTTGAAATTCGAAAAAACTAGGTGTGACATCTTATACGGTGGAAATTTTTTTTCAAATTGAAAAGAATAAGGTGTAAATGTTTTTTCAATTTGAAAAAAATTTTAATCGTATGACATTTCACACCGCATTTTTTTCAATTTTCAAAATTGTGGGGGGGGGGCGGTGTTCAAAAAAAGGAGGGTTCGTTCAAGGTGGAGAGTTCAGAAAAAGGTGGAGAGTTGTGCCGCAACGGTTTTGGAGGGCGCGCCCTTTCTCTCACAAGAAGATCGCGTTTTTAAAATCGGAGTTTTTTCATTCGGAGAGGGAAGCATTTTGCCACATTTTTGATACTTCCCGGATGCAAAATGGTACGTTTTTGCGATTGGATAAGGTCCACTGTACAGCTCATTTTTTTGCCATAAGTGCACTCACTCGGAATGCTTTGAATAAATTTTCCACGATCTCGGCAACATATTGAACCTTGCGATTCCTTTCCTCGGCAGTCGGCAGCGCTCCTTCCAAATAGGCACGTTCAACGAGCGGCGTTAAGTAATGGGCTTTCGATGTGCTTATAATCCTCATTACGCAGTTTGCTCTTTCTTCAATATTGTCGCTGCTCTGAGACGGGGAACTGACAAAATCATCGACAGTGTCGAATGCTGACGTCTCGTTTGGTGCATCACCTAGGCGTTGAGTCGACGTAAACCGCTCCAGATAGTGGCGTAGCAGGTAGAAATATAAGTGGTTGATAATCGTGCGGCCGTCAATGGCATCGCTTTCCAAAAACTTGCTCAGCGCCGCAGTTGATTCAACCGCATCCACTCGAATTTTGAAGTCGGCTGATAGCACGTGCGTTTTGATCTCATCAGCTTCGTCTTTCACAAAGGCCTTCAGGAATTCCGGGAAATCAATTAGCCCAACTTGATTGTTTGCTTCCTGCGCAGTCATCAGCTGTGCTCGGCTGAAGAATGGCCCTATTGTTTTTACATTTAGATCATTACAGCGACGGATCTGATCTGGTAGCAAAAAGCGTGACGTTTTGCATCCGGGCGGTATCAAAAAAAGTAGCAAATACCTCCCTCTCCAAGCGAAAAAAAACTCCAATTTCAAAAGCGCGCCCGCTCTTTTTGTTGGGGAAACGGAGCTTTTCACTTGGAGAGGGAAGCATTTTGCCACATTTTTTGATGCTTCCGAGTAGCAAAATGGTACGTTTTTTACCAATGGATCAGGTCCCCCACTGTAAGCGATGGTGTCTGTAAACAATCAAAACGTACAGATCGTTGGAATGAGCCAGTTGTGGATCAGGCATAAAATGATCGACAATATACTTCTCATAATTTGTAATGTCTTTAATATCTTTTTGGACGTCCTCTTCTGTCCTTGCTATTTGTTTTACACGCACAAATGCTTGCATTAATGCGAAAAAAAGGGATTTCACTTGTTCTTCGTTCCATGTGCGATAATAGTAATAAAACTTAAGATGACTATTTTTTGCTGCCTTTGTGGGAACTTACGATCGGATCGACAATGGACGGGGCTCTAAAGGCAATTGTCTTTGGGGGATCGGTTTCTTTGCCATTGGAATAGTCGACTTCGGCGGTTATCAACGATTTCTTGTCAATGGTCGAAAAGAAGTACATGGCCGCGGTGAGCTGTTGCTTCGTGGGCTTTTCTACTGGCCTGTTGTGAATGATTGGGAACTCTGCGCCCAGGATGTCGGCCAGTTTTTTACAATGTGTTTGCAGAAAATTGACACCATTGTAATCATCTGTATCTTGCGATTTGTTAACGCATTTGTCAATCAAGCCATTGAGTTTGCTTAGGACCGGATTTGTCTGAAAATAAATTACAGTGTGGGACCTGATCCAGTTTTAAAAAAACCGTACTATTTTGTATCGAGGAAGTATCAAAAATGTGGCAAAATACCTCCCTCTCCATGTGAAAAAAACTCCGATTTCAAAAGCGCGTCCGCTCTTTTTGTGAGGGAAAGGGCGCGTCCTTCAAAACGGAGTTCTTTTTACTCGAAGAGGGAAGCATTTTTCCATGTTTCGATACTTCCCGGATCCAAAAATGGTACATTTTTGTCACCGGATCGGGTCGGTCACTGTAATTAAAAGCTACAAAGTAATGATATGCCATCTTACCGCTGTTTTTTCCAGCCCGATTTTCAATTTCCTAAAGCGTTCCTTTACAATTTCGGACATGGTTGTGTAATTCTCCTTCCCGCACACGTAGTTATAAAAGTCGTTGCATGGCGACAAGCTCAGATTCATCGTAGAATTTAGAATCCTTGCAAATTCCGCAAGTCCTTGTGGTGTCGGGTTCCTGGAGACGCCGACATCCCTTTGCTTCCCTAGACATCATAACGTAATACACCTTTGGTTTACTACCTTTTTGGAGAATCTTAATTTTGTGCGGAACCGTTTTGCATACGACACACAATCCGAGAATGCAAACAAGTAAAATAATCCGCATTTTGCGGCGGATCACAAAACTATTCATGGTTTTATATCGGAATCTGAACTTTTTCTTTCGTATTGCGACGGTTTTCTAGCCGATATCATTACTCTTTGCCATTTGGCCAACGAGGTATTCAGTAATGTGTTTGGTGCTTGTCGTAAAGAATACCGTATAAATGTCACGTTTATGATTGGGCCCGGTTTTGTCCCCACCCCGGTTTTGTCCCCAAGACGGTTTTGTCCCCAGGACGTTTTTGTCCCCACTTTTTTCGAGCCTTTTTGTCCCCAGACCGGTTTTGTCCCCAAGACGTTTTTGTCCCCACTTTTTTTATTTTTTTGTCCCCTCACCGGTTTTGTCCCCAGGACGTTTTTGTCCCCAAGCTGGATAGTACGATTAAAAATTATGCATTCAGATGTTAATGCTGTTGGTTTCGTGCACAGTACTGCTCAAACAACATGTTCTTAGCACTTGGTACTGTATAGTACAAGGTGGTACTATATAGCACGAGGTAAAAATTAAGCTATAACGCGTGAATGACTTTGTTTTGGTATGCAGTACTGATCAGACGTTCATTTTGTGCAAAAACAAATTCGTGCTATATAGTACCATGTGCTAAAACACATTTTTGAGAAGTACTGGGCTTCAAACCCATAGCATTGACGTGTTATGGCTTAATTTTTACCTCGTGCTATATAGTACCACCTCGTACTATGCAGTACCAAGCGCTAAGAACAAGTTGTTTGAGCAGTACTGTGCACCAAACCAACAGCATTAACATCTGAATGCATAATTTTTAATCGTACTATCCAGCTTGGGGACAAAAACGTCCTGGGGACAAAACCGGTGTGGGGACAAAAAAATAAAAAAGTGGGGACGAAAACGTCTTGGGGACAAAACCGTCCTGGGGACAAAACCGGTCTGGGGACAAAAAGGCTCGAAAAAAGTGGGGACAAAAACGTCCTGGGGACAAAACCGGTCTGGGGACAAAAAGGCTCGAAAAAAGTGGGGACAAAAACGTCCTGGGGACAAAACCGGTCTGGGGACAAAAAGGCTCGAAAAAAGTGGGGACAAAAACGTCCTGGGGACAAAACCGTCTTGGGGACAAAACCGGGGTGGGGACAAAAACGCCCACTACGCACGTTTATTTACGGGTAACAGCGGAGGCCCCGCGAAAAAGTCTGTGGCGTCTTGTAACAAACAATAGTTACAGGCCGGTAAAGAACTTCTCCCAAACGCCGCAAGTTTTTAGCAAAAATTGCAGCCGTGTCTAGCATTTTGAAACACCCAAAATTTGGAAAATCTTTTGTGTAAGGTGCAATTACAGTGCAATATAAAAATATTTTTTTGGTGTAGGTTTTCAAGCCTCCTCTTTCAAGCTGTAAAGGTTTCGTATCCGTCAACTGCACGTCGACGCCGCAATTGCAGATTTTATAGGCGTGTCTATCATTTTGAAATGGAGTGTAGGGCATACTATTTTCTCGACAGACTGATATAACATAGTAAAAGAAAATCACGACAGCTTCCCTTGAATACCTTTCGCAATACACATGTCAAAGAAATTTTATTTTACATCCAAATACGACTAGAATCACAGATAATTTATCATTCTTTTTTACCAGTGATCAGATCCTCTCCAACGTATCCGTATTGAACAAACTTGGACTGGAAAGATTCAATGAAGGCGGTGGTGACTGGATCCTTGCGGAACGTTTGAACCACGATGGTCCGACGATTCGCCGCGTCCTTCTTGTATTCCTTGGCCATCTCGTCCAGCGAAATGTTCATATATCCACAAATCAGAGCGACCACTTGAATGGGGATTTCCGCATAAGTCAACGACTCCATGGCACCGGGAAGGATGTTGCTCATCTTGGACATCTCATTGGCGACCTGAAAAATTAAAAATATCGCAAAAATTGGAATAGAAAACCCAAAACATAGCAAGAATAGTCAAAAAGTCGAAATCGTACCGTATTTTTCACGAAGAAATAGACTCCAACGGCCAAACTCAACGCCAAAATTGCAAAGACCCCGTTGAAGGCGGCCATGAGGTAGGCCCAAGCGGCGGGAGTCATCTCAGACATTTTCGAACGACCGACCCGGAACGAGAGTAACTTTTCGACTGAGAAGTTGCTTTGTTATTGAATATTTTTTCATTTTTAAACAACAATTATATTTTCGGTCAATTTTCTGGATAAAAAAACTTTTTTTAGAGACAGCAAATGTCTGGCTTACTATACTCTTTTTATGTCTTTCAAGTTGCCTCTGAAGACTATTAAGGCTCATTTGCCTCCCACATGGAAGCAGTAAGTTCCTTACGGCGCTGATTGCATCGTATTAAACGAAAACGCAGTCTGCAGCCGTTTTCCAAGGGCCAGCCAGTAGTCAAAACAAATGGTACCTAACTAATTAAGTCCAACGTCGTTGCGTTTAGGGTGGTAGACTAAGGCTGTGTTTCAAATTTTTGCCAATGCTGACGGCTTTGCGCGAAGTTATACATTGTGGGCAGAATAAGGAACACTTACCGTTACGCGGTATGGGAGTTTGCAGTGCACTTTTCCACTGCATGTTCTTAACGATATTGCAGCCAAAAATTATAAAAAAAAGCTTTTTTTGGCGCTGTCAGTTAGTTAAAAGCTGCATCCCTTACACACATATACGGGATAACTTTTGTTAAATTAAAAAATATTACTGAATGCTTTGCCAACCTAAATGGTAAAAAGTAATGATAGCGGCGGGAAAAACGTCGTATTACGAAAGGTAAAGTTCAATTTTCCATATAAAACCATGAAAACTTCTGCGAGAAGAGGCTCATTGCAAATGCGGACTATTTTACTTGTTTTCGTGCTTGTGTTACCAGTCGCATGCAAAACTCTTCCGAACAAAATTGAAATTTTCTCAAAGGGTAACTAACTATGTCCCCTTAAACTATTCTTATAAACAGGAAAGCAAAAGGATGTCGGTGTGTCCAGGAATCCCATTCCGCAAGGGCTTACGGACTTTGCAAAGATACTGAACGCTACAATGAATCTGAGCTTATCGCCGTGCAATGACTTCTACAACTACGTGTGTGGCAAGGAAATGTTATCAACATATCAAGAAATCGCACTGGAATTACAGAAGAAATTAGCGTTGGGTATGAAGAGGAGTTTGGTGAGTTCACAATGTAACAAAAATTCAACTGCTCTACAGGGTGGTTCAGCCTTAGCTGCCATCCTTATTTCAAGTATTTCTCCGCCAATAATGCATGAATTTCTATAAAATTTTTTATCAAATTGAAGTTGAAGTAAAAGCTCTAGACAGTCTCGCACATTTGTTCACATTTTTAAAAATTTCGGTTAACGAAGCCTGTTACCCCCGGAAGACAAAAGCAAGGTCTTGAAGGTTAATTACGAGTATTCCGTTGACTGCGGACAATTTATTTCAGCTACTTCCAAATGTCTTATTTAGCCAAAGACCCGAATATTTTTCAAGTCCAAGAACTCAATTGAAAGTCATTGCAAAAATTTTCTAAGTTTCACCTATTCCGGACTCCAAAATTTGGAATGAAAATGTCAAGGTCAAGGTACAGGGGCCTCCGTGAACTTGGTCCCGTCATGTGGACAAAAAATGGGGTAGCTCAGCTTCAATTTGATATAAATTTTATAGAAATTGGTGCATTATTGGCGGAGGAATATTTGAAATAAGGATGGGAGCTTCGTCTGAACCACCCTGTATTCACACAAGTTATAGAAAATTCCTGTGTTGACGAAACTTGACGCTCTTCTCGACAAGTGCGTCAATAAATCGCAAAACGTGGACGATTACAATGGCGTCAAGTTCCTGAAGACGCATTACCAAAAATTCAGCTCAATCTTAGGAACCGAATTCCCTATCCTCCTCGACGGCCCCATAAAGAAGCCTACAAAGGAGCAGCTGACTGAAGCCATGTTCTTCTTTTCCAGCATTAGCAGGAAAACTCTGACAACCGCCAAAGTCGATTATTCCTATAGACAGAACGAGGCGGATCCGGTCATGACGATCAACTTCAAATCGCCTTCTCTTTTGTTATCAACGGTAATTTGTTGTCTTTTTTTGCAGTGTTTTTAAAACCGCATTTTTGATTCAGGCCTATTATTATTATGACAAGTTATGGGACAATCAGGTGGCAATGGATCCCGTATTCAATATTATTGCTAGACCAGCGCATAGATTCATATCTGCAGCGAGCGTTCAGGTCGCTAAAGAGAAGCTGAGAAAAGACATCCAAGATGTCATGAAATTGGAAAAACTTATTGTCGACCGTGTCTTACCGAACCCGCAGATGGCTTCAGTAACGGAAATGCAAGTCAAAAAAACCGCAGTCATCCGGTTACACACATATATTTCAGAGAAGCAAAGTTGATGACTGCGCAAGAGGCAAATAACATTGCTGGGTTGCTCGACTTTCCCCAATTCCTCCAGCTGTTCGTCAAGGAAGAGGCCGATGACTTAAAGGCTCATGTTTTGTCCAATAACTTCAAAATTCGCATATACGCACCAGAATCTTTGATGGCAATGAAGAATCTCATAGACAGTGACGAAGTGGACGGCCGGACACTCGTCAATTATCTGTATTTGCATCTGCTGCGCGCCTACGAAACTCGTTTACCACCCGCCGGCGTCTCACGAACGGAAAGTTTAACGTTCAACGATGACTCTTCCTTTGAAAAGCTTCATAGCTTTGTTAATTCAAAAACCGAAGGTAGTGAAATGCAGCAAAAAGAGTTATGCCTTGGAAACATGATGCAAACAGATGCACTGACAGAAACATTCGGTTATCTCTCACCGCTAATTGAACGTTTGTACGCCGAAGGCTCGCTGCCTACGCCAGAGATTCGACAGAAAAAAGTCGAATACGTATCTCAGCTGACACGCAATTTGTTGCAAGCATTTCGAGTAAGTAAGCCTTGAGTTTCAGCAAGTGTGCTTGTGTCTTCCAACAAGTATTTATTCCAGACACAACTTGATGAGCTTGATTGGACAACAAACTCGAAAAGTCACGCATACGAGAAGCTGGAAAATATAGAGCTGAACCTCGTATACCCGGAAAAACTGTTCAACGACACCTATCTGAATGCAAAATATGCCTCCTATGAGTTGAACCCCACATTAAGCTACGAAGACGAGCTGGAACGGGCACAAGAATTGGCATTCAAAGACCGCAAGAGACTCCTGCTGCAGACGGTAAAGGACAGGAAAGACATGTACTTGCCAATATATACCGTCAACGCGTTTAACAATCCGCCGGTGAACGCTATAATCATTGAAGATGGCTTGTTGTCAATGCCCATCTTTTCTGTTGATTACCCAACAGCAGCCGCTTATGGTGGGGCGGGAAGCCTTGTGGGGCACGAAATCGTTCATGGCTACGACAACCTTGGCATTCGTTTCGATAAGACTGGAGACATGAAGGAATGGATGGACCAAGAGACCAAACAGAAATTTAATACCATGGCGCAGTGTGTTGTTAACCAATTCAATGGGTTTACTACGTCTCACAACTCCTCGGTTAACGGTCATGCAACTCAAGGAGAGAATATAGCCGACGCCGGGGGTAAAAGAACCATTGAATTTTCTTGAGCAAATTTTCAGGTCTCTTGGCAGCTTATCGTGCTTACAAAGCTCAAACAGCGAGTGCAGGAGCCGACCCACCAATTCCGCTTGAAAGACTGCAATCATTAACAAACGACCAAATTTTCTTTATTTCGTTTGCCCTTTTCCACTGTCAAAAACCACCAATATTAATGGAGGTTCTAGCCACAGATATGCATGCAGAAAGCAAGTTGCGTGTCCTCGGTGTCTTGCAAAGCATGCCTGAATTCAAAGAGGCTTTTAAATGCAATGTCGGGGACTTATACGCGCCCAAAGAACATTGTAATGTCTATCGAAAAGCTCCATCCGATAAACCTTGTTAAATTTTAATTGTATTATACGTATATTGTTCATACAGATTTTTCATAAACACATTATATAAGGCGCGTGCGTTCTACATCTCAGCGGGCCTCCTCGCAGAAAACCCGCATTTCTTGTCTGTAGGCCCTCTAGACAAGAAATGCGCATTTTCTGTCTAAAATAGAGGCAAAATTTGCAAAACTTGTCTGAGATAACAGACAAAAGGCCTGGACGAAAACCTGAAAATGTTGTCTGGACTCCAGACAAGAAACGAGGAATCCTGTCTGGTAGTCAGACAAACTTTTTTGTCTGATCAGAAACGGAAAATCCCCTAAAAATCTTTATCCACAAAAAGTTTCGATTCTCCCCTCCGTGGAAATTGCGAGTTGCATTTCACAGCCCAGGTTCTACGACGGAACTTGTCCGAACAACGAAATCCAAGGCCAACGACCGTCGTCGCTGACCCCGATCACGGTGAAGGACATGCTTCGCCTTGGAACCTCGGCGTTCCTTGAGACTGTTATCGTTTCTGGCCGAAAGGCCGAACTCCAACAAATTCGAAAAAAACATTGCCCGTACAAGCAAAGAAAATTTTCTCGCTCAGAAAAGAAATGGGTTCCTCTCATGAGCGAGAAACCCAGAGCCGAGAAACGCAGAGAAAAGAACAAAAACGCACGCAAAAAGCGTGAGTGAGAGGGCACTTTTGAACGCGATTTTTTCTCTGCGTTTCTCGCTCATGAGAGGAACCCATTTCTTTTCTGAGCGAGAAAGTTTCCTTTCGTCAATCGAGCAAAGTGCCCTTCGAATTTGTTGGTGTTCGGCCTTTCGGCCAGAAACGAAAACAGTCTCACGGAACGCCAAAGTTCCAAGGCGAAGCATGTCCTTCACCGTGATCGGGGTCAGCGACGACGGTCGTTTGCCTTGGGTTTCGGTGTTCTGACAGCTGCGCCGAAGAAGTCGTGGTCTGACGTGCAACAAGGTAGTCCCAGGAAAGAAGCGCGATGAAAAGTTTTTTGTAGACGAGATTATGCATTTCTAGCCAGACAAAGTTTTCTTGTCTGGCTACCAGACAGGATTTCGCATTTCTTGTCTGAAGTCCAGACAAAAAAATTGTCTGCTTCCCAGACAACTTTTGCCTACTTCTTGTCTGGCTTTGGACAAGAATCGCCAATTCTCGTCTGGACCGAAAATAATTTGGACGGAAAACTGCAATTCTTGTCTAGAGGGCCCACAGACAAGAAATGCGGGTTTTCTGCGAGGAGGCCCGCTGAGATGTAGAACGCACGCGCCTTATATAATAAACCACACCGCTCGGTACACTAAAATACGACAGCAAAAAGCGATCAAGTGTTCTTCATTTCATTTGCATTTGGCCGCTTCTTCCAATTCAGACGTTGAATAGAGATATGCATGCGAAAGATTTGCCACGGATTCTTGGAATTTTGCAAAGCTCTCGGGGGTTTAAAGACGCCTTTCATTGTAATGTTGGTGACGTCGAACACTGCAACGCTTACTGAAAAGTGAGAAAAACACTTTTTGGCCATAAATTTGCTAGCTTCGTGCGGGAAAAATTGGGTTTGGTGGAAATATTACCCGTTACGGTAGAAATAGGGATGCAACTTTTCGTGCCGAAATTCGGCAAAAACTGAAATTTTCGTCGACTTTCGACCTATAAATCTCGGTGGTTTCAGCAAGCGCGAGCTACGATTCTCGCATACATTTTAGAAAAAATTATTCGAAACTTGCGCCAAGTTTTATCAAAATCTGAGGATCGCACTTGGGGTACTTCCCCTGTGAACGGAGAAGGCGCAAACTCAAATTTTTAGAAATTAACCTGTTCCGCATTGATCCGACAGGCCAAATTTCATCAATTTCTGAGCAACGCATCTTGAGAACGTTGCTTGCTGGTCATGGAGCTTTTTTATGGCCAATGTACAGGGTGGGCCACTCGAAACTCCCAAGCTCTTTCCAGGTATTTCTCCGCCAATAAAGCACCAATTTCTGTAAAATTTATATCAAATTGAAGCTGAGACACCCCATTTCTTGTCCACCAAATATGGCCCGTCTAACTTCACGGAGGCACCCGTACTGACCTTTTACATTTTCATTCCAAATTTTGGAGCTCGAAATCGGTGAAACTTAGAAAATGTTTGGAATGATTTCCAGTTTAGTTTCTCGGAATTGGAAAATGTTCGCGCCTTTGACTAAACAAAATTCTTATAAGAAGCAGAAAAAAATGATGGCAGTTAACGGAATAGTCAAAATTATTCTTTTAGGCGTTGATTTTGTGTCCTGGGGCAATAGGCTTAATTATTCGAAATTTTCCAAAATGTGAAAAAAATGGGCGAAACTGTCTGCATGCATGAGCACATCCACCCCGAAGGTGCACAGAAACTTTCCAGGCTTAGATTGCCCGAGAAAACAGCTTTCGTTCTCATTCGCCCAAATTGGTACCTCGCCTGATTGAAATATGGGTTTGACGCACTTGGTACGGATGTAAACTTCAATGTTTTAAAATTTTTTCCGCGAATTTGTCGACTTTTTTCTTGCTGGTAATCCAAAAATTTTCTAAGTCCGAGAAGCTCAATTGAAAATCATTCCAAAAAATTTCTAAGTTTCACCGATTTCGGGCTCCAAAAATTGGGATGAAAATGGAAAAGGTCAGTGCGAGTGCCCCCGTGAAGTTGGCCATATTTGGTGGACAAGAAATGGGGTGTCTCAGCTTCAATTTGATATAAATTTTACAGAAATTGGTGCATTATTGGCGGCGAAATACCTGAAAAGAGGTTGGGAGTTTCGAGTGGCCCACCCTGTATTTTATCATTAGTAAAATGAATACAAAAAAGGTGAAAAGAACGACGTATCAATACGAAAAATCATACGACAAGCGTCCGTAACTTCCATTGTTCTTGGCTTGTTTTATTTCATGTCTATATGCCACTTTGTAGTCTGCTGACCTTCGAAATTGTTGTATAAAAAGTGCACATGAACTGAACGTATCACCAATTTTGGCCACCATGATTTTACTCCGTGCCTTTTTTCTGGTCCTGTTATTTTCCTGTCCGACATCAGGCAGCCCTATCAACCAGGACCACTTTGAGATCCCTGATGACTTTATGAGTTCTCTGAATGATGGAGTTAATCAAAATCCAAGCGTCATCTCTCCGACCGACCCACGCTATGCAGCGTTTTTGGACTACGCCCAACGTTTAAATAGCACATTGAATTTCAACCTGAACCCTTGTACTGACTTTTATGACTACGTCTGCAGTCCAAACGAATTCGCAATCCAGGACTTGCAAGACTCTGCTACACAAGCTTTACTTAATGCATTAAAAAAACCGGCCGTAAGTTTGTCTCTACTAACAAGGAAAGCCCTCCAATGGGGTATGAAGGTACAGGCCGAAACATGCGTGGTGTTACTAATTTTTACACATTCTGAGTCAGAAAAATTTTGCTATTTTTTGTCCATACCCTATAGAAGTACTTTCCTTGTAAAATGCAACGGTTTCAGGAATTTGATGCAACGAGGAAGCTAAAAAAGTATTTTGATGCTTGTCTTAGAGAGCCTGAACCAAAAATTGTGATTGAAGATCAATATCAGATTGTCGCAAAAGCCGCAGGTGTACCCTTTCCAGCGTTGTCTGGTAGGCCAGACGCTGTAGACAAGCCCCCAAAACCCACGCTCACAAACCTATTGCTCGAAGGTAGAATTGTCAAAGTCGGCATCGACGAATTTCCAAAAAAGGTTGATGGATATCTGTACACAGTTTCCCTTTCCGGTCCACTCTTGCTTGAAGCTGACGTACGTCGTAATTTTTTGGCGAAACAAATTTTTAGTCCACATATCTTGTTCTCAACGAATGGCCTACATATCGACCTACCTTGAAGGAGGAATTAACCTCGTTCCTGAAGAAGTTAGCAGCCCGGTTACAATTGCCCGTGGATGATTCTGTGTTATCAAAAGATGTCGACGATGTTTTAGATGTTGAGAAATACCTCGCAGAGAACGCAGCTAACGACAAATTTGTGCGTCTTCAAACACCCGTGCAAAGGTGTGTTTCGGAACGTCGTCAATCGAGGGAAAACATAGTTGGGGAAACTGAAAAAAAATTAGATTTGTCGATGGTGTTGATTTCAAACCAACCCCCAAATCGAGTATTTGTGAAAAAGGATCAAAAAATTGCTGCTTACAGAAATAATTCAAAAAAAAGTTACAATCAAAAAGGAATGAATATGATTTTCGAAATCAACGCCCACGATTATCCTCTGTAATTTTTACTTTTCTGAACGCTGAGAAGTCTGGCTCCGACTTTGGGCTCGGGAGCCGGAGCCGCTCAGAGCCGGAGCCAAGAGGCGGCTTCGTAGCTGTGGAAATCTCTGGCTACCACCCGCGCAGCAAGTCCGGACCAAAATTTCCGATCCCGGCTCGGGTGCGGGCCTGCCAAATTTTAGGAAGCCCGCCCCGGATAAAATAGGCGTTTTTGCGAACCCGATTGAAAAGGTTTACAGAAGACCCTTTCCCCCGAAACCGGCCGCCGCTAGAAATAAAGTCTCCGCCAAGCCTTCGCCAACGTGTGAAAGAGCCGTCTGAGTTCCCAATTTCAGCCAGCTTATGGATTTCACAATCGATGAAGTAAGCGCAATGTTTCCGTTCTTGGATATGCCTACTGTGCTACAAAGTCTATTGAAGGATCTTTCCGAAGAGCAAAAAACCCGGTTTTCATCTGGTAAAGAACGAATATTAATTGGAATTCCAGATCGTTTCTCTAAATTGTCGGACTATATAATGTCAGATGCAATTAGTGGGCGAACGCTTTACAATGTTTTCTATATCAGAGCCCTCTATGCTCTTAAAGACATGATCCCCGTTGTTAATTCTGCTTCTGCAACGACGAGAACGAATGCAATCTTCAAACAGCTTGATCCCACGCCGAACCCTGAAAGAAGATGCCTAGAAAACGTTGCATCGATCCCGAGAGTTAACTTTTTGACTGATAGGTTATATATAGACAGCCGTATACCCAACAAGGCCGACCGAGAGGCCAAATTCTCAGCTGTGGAGAAGATGATAAAGCGGATAATTGAAGGATTTCGAGTGAGTTTTGTTTGAACGCGCTTTTCCTCATGACATACTGTACGCATTTAGATTGAAATCAATAAACTAAATTGGCCTGAATCATTTAAAAAAGGCGTAAACACAAAGCTAAACAACATGCAAATAAATGTCGGCTACCCTAGAAGAGTGGACTCTGACGATTTTTTAAACAATTTCTACATGGCATGGAACGTCACTGATGGTCACGAAGCTGAGTCCCTGTCACTGTTTACGCAAACGCAAAACATTTTAATGCTTTCTCGAACCGAACGCGATCGAACAGACTTCACGGGCTCTGTAAATGAAGTAAACGCAGCCAACAATCCATATAGGAACTCAATCAACGTCTATGATGCGATTCTGTATCCTCCCAATTTTCGGTCGGATTATCCTGCCGCAGTTAACCACGGAGCAATCGGATTTGCACTTGCCCATGAGATTGTTCACAGCTTCGATAATAGTGGAGTGGAATACGATGACCAAGGATACGTAAATCCGTGGCTGGATCCGGAGAGCAAAGCATTGTTTGATTCGATGGAACAGTGCGTAATCGACCAATACAACACCTTCAAAACTTCGCAAGGTTGGCCTATAGACGGGAAATTCACCGCCGGCGAAAACATTGCGGATAATGGAGGTGAGTGGTGTCTGTTGCTGTACGAAATCTTCAGGCATCCGTGCTACCTTCAACGCCTACAAGAAGCATCAATCACTGTTTGGAGAGGACCCCAGGTTGCCCATTGATCGAGTTTCCAGCTTCACCAATGACCAGTTGTTCTTTATCGGTATGACAAAACCATGGTGTGGCCGAGAGAACCCGACAAAATTAAAGCTATACTCCGACGAACATGCTCCCTATAGAACTAGAGTTCTTGGTGTATTACAAAACTTTCCTCAATTCAAAAAAGCATTCAATTGTAAGGCAGATGATTTATACGCCCAGAAACACTGTAATGTATATACCGTGGATGATCATGACTGTTAACCCTTTGAGAATAAACTGACTTATTTCAACCGTGCTCTGCAACATAACATAACATAAATTTAAAGGAATTTCTGATATAGGTATCATCACAAGCATAGACATGTAAGATAATAACGCTTGCCTTTGACCAATAAAATCCATTTCCTTCCTAAGAAGACACACTGAATTTTGCCAATGCATGGAAGTTATTCTATGTATGCAAGGATCCAGTCACCACCGCCTTCATTGATTCCTTCCAGTCCACGTTTGTTCGGTAGTACGGATACGTTGGAGAAGATCAAACCACGAAAAATTCTTTTGTGGAATTTTGATTGATTTCAATGGATACAAAGTGGACGGCGAAGGGTCTAAACGAGCCAAGAAACACGTGGGATTGCCGTGCTCTGGGATGCCCGATGAATTTTCTTGTCTGACTATTTGAACTACGTTCAATCATCAGTGTGTGGACCGACCAAGCTTCCACGATTTTACCACAAGAAACTCTTACGCTTTTTCAAAAGTGCAGACACATTTTCCGGCCGTTTTTGCACCGCACAGTGCAAGTTTCGTGTTCCCCGCGCGACGCGATCCTTTTCGAAACATTTTGCACTGTGCAATTTTCAATTCAAAGAAAAGCTTGCGTCGCAGCGATATCCGGTTGCACAGTGCAAAAGGTCAAAATGCACCCCGCAAAAGGGAGTTTTGTGCACGGTGCGGCCCGCGACAAAATGTGTCTGCACTTTTGAAAAAGCGTAATACCTTCATTTATTAAAATTTGATTAATTTTTCCGTGAGTTTTTACTATAAAACGCCCCCTGAATAAATCACTTGACTCTAGAGCTCTCGCCTTGGTTCGTTACTTTAGTTACCAGACCTTTCGACATTTGTGAAGTTCTGCGGCTATCAACACTTTTCATGAACTCCTTTGATGTGTGAACTAAGCACGATAACTTATTAAAAAAACATCGTTTTGGAAAGAGATTTTTCTGTAACCGTTCCGATAGTAAAACAAAACGCCGCTTATTATTGGCCAAACAATAGAGAACGAAAAACGTCTATACCGACAAACGAACAGATACGAAAATCATAGATAAAAGAATCGTACGCTTTTCAAATGTCGTCGTCAATGTATTACTTTTCTTTACTGTTTCTGTTCGTTTCGTAAACGTTTTAGGCCTATAAAAGGCTTGGGCACAATCAGCGTTTTAAAGCTTGTCTTTATGAAGTTTCTAGGATTGTCGCTTGTCAGCGTGCTTATACTTTGTCATAACTCTAACGTGATATCCAGTCCGGCCAAGGAAAGCAAATTCGAGACCTATGACGATTTCGTGCAGTCTATGAACGAAGCTGTAAATCCCAGCCCTCCAATTATTGCGCCTACAGATCCACGCTTCCCCCTTTTCATGGGCTACGCATGGGGCCTGAATGCAACGTTAAATTTTACTCTTAATCCGTGCACGAATTTCTATGAATACGTTTGCTCTCCAGGTGAAGATCCAAGGGAATCGCTCTTACGAAATTCCAACGATGCTATCTTCAAAGGATTGAAGAAGCCCGCGGTAAGTGCAGTGGTTTGCTATAAGATCTGACCGTGAGGGCCCAGATGAAAAAAAAATCCTTTCAGAAGTTCGATGCCATGAAGAAACTGAAGCAATATTTCGATGATTGCGTCGCGGGGTCATCGTCGAAGGAAATGGTTGAGGAAACTTACAATATTACAAAGGAGACTTTAGGGATGGACTTCCCAGCGTTATCGGGAGATGCAGCCAAAATTGAGAAACCATCAAGAGCACAGATCTCAAAAATTGCGAATTTTGGTGGCCTCATTTCTATACATACGGACGAATTTCTTAGAAAGAATAGTTTTGTAAAAACGCTCGGGATATCAAGCGAGTCAGTGTTGGAAGAAGGCGTAGGTTACCCTATAATAACACGCAACTTTTAGTATTTTTATTCATACCGGTACGAGTGGGACGAATTTAGGCCAACTCTGAAAGCCCAACTTTCCGTGTTCTTGAAGAACTTGTCCAAGTATTTGTCTCTGCCAATGGATGCCAGCATAATTGAGCGAGACATTGAAGACATACTTAATGTTGAGAAATATGTGGCAGACTACGCAGGAGTTGACAGAATTTTGAGGAAAAGTACAGCACCGCAAAAGTAAAGAGAACTAATGTAAAAAATTTCTGTTTCAGTTTGAAATTGACGTTAACTATTGGCGAAGCAAGTCAACGGTTTCCATTTCTGGATTTCCAAAGCGCAGTTCTCGATTATCTAGAGGAAGAGACTGACGAATTAAAGGCCCGTTTCAGCTCTGAAAAGGCGGAGATCATAATTGGTCTACCAGATCGGTTCGCAAATCTTTCTTCTTATGTTCTATCAAACGCGATAACCGGAAGAACATTGTACAACTACATGTTTCTACAACGGATGTATCCTTTGAAAGATATGCTGCTACAACCCAACTCTATTTTGATCAAGCAGAAGGAGTCTCGCGACAGTGTTGCAGTGAATGTTTCTCCTCCCGAACACACGTGCTTCAGCAGCCTAATACAGACACCTATCCTATACCCTTTGTTAGACCGACTATACATCGATGAACGAATACCGAATAAAGAAGAGCGCCGTACGAAATTTTCCTACGTTACACAAATGGTGAAAGAGATCGTTGAAGGGTTTAGGGTAAGCCGTACTGCAACTTGTTTGCGTCATGATATAAACCAAGAATTTTTAGTTGGAGATAAGCAAGATGAAGTGGCCCGAGACGTTCAAAAAACACGTTGATATTAAATTAAACAATATGCAGATAAATGTTGGCTACCCTACAAAGGTTGATTCTGATCAGTTCCTCAATGACTATTACTCTGAATGGAACTTAACTGATGCCAATCCGATTCAGTCATTAAACATATTCGACGAAATTCAAAGCGCAAAGGAAATGATGACATCTGAGCGCGATCGCACAGATTTTTCGCGCCGCATCGCGTCTGAGTTTAACGCATTCAACAATGCGGGCAGAAATTCCATAAATATATTGGACGGAATTCTGTACCCTTACCTTTACCACGTGCAATATCCAGCAGCAGTGAATTACGGAACGTTGGGAAGTGTAATTGCGCATGAAATCGTCCACAGCTTCGACATAACCGGCGTTGAATTCGATGAGCAAGGTTATCTTAATTCGTGGCTTGACCCCGAAAGCAAACGACTTTTTGATTCTATGGCTGAGTGTGTCATTAACCAATACAACGCAATGACGACTCCACAAGGTTGGCCTATTGACGGCAAATTAAGCGCCGGCGAAAACATTGCAGATAATGGAGGTAGGAATAACACTATGTTTTCCATAACGTTAGCTGAAAATGAAAAGTACACACAGAAGGCAACAACACATCTTTGTTGTTACAATTCCAGGTATTCACGGCGCTTTCAATGCTTATAAAGCACACCAAGCCCAGGTCGGTGAGGACCCGCGATTACCTATTGACAGAGTTTCTGGACTTACCAATGATCAACTTTTCTTTATCGGATTTGGAAAGTTCTTTTGCAATGCCGGGATACAAACTAAGCTTGAGTTATACTCTGATGTACATGCCCCGAATAAGAACAGAGTTATTGGCGCGCTACAAAATTCCAATGAATTCAAAAAAGCGTTTAATTGTAAACCTACAGACTTGTATGCTCAAAAACACTGTGATGTGTATACTGTGAGCGATCATGATTGTTAACCTTTGAGAATAAACTTTGAGCTTCCATTATTGTTGCTATGAAAACCAACGGAATTTTGCCAATACGCAGAAGTTCACCAGAAGTCAGTTTGATGCTATTTAGTATCCTTCACTGTGTAATGGTGAAGGAATCGTGTTAGCCTAAGGGTCGAAGGACAATAAATATAGGTTTATTATAAGATAGAAGTAACAAGAAATAAACACCGAGATAACATTCACTGAATAACGATAAATAACGACTGAAGTCCTATTTACCTTCCAAGCTTCGAGAAGCTTCGAATGACACGGAATGCCAATACAGTAATCGTAGTTTACGTGTCGGGATGCAAAGTGGACGGCGAAGGGTCTAAACGAGCCAAGAAACACTTGGAATTGCCGTGCGCCGGAATATCCGATGCATTTTCTTGTCTGACTGTTTCAACTACGTTCAATCGTCAGTGTGCGGACCGACCAAGCTGCGAGGATCCTCATAAGAGACTACCTTCATTTATTATACTTTGATTTGACTTTTTTACGTGAGTTTTTCCCATAAAACGCCTTCTTTCCCCTGAAAAATCACTTGACTCTTGAGCTCAAGTCTTGGTTTGTTACTGGGTTACCAGACCTGTCGGCATTTGTGAAGTTCTGCGGCTATCACACTTTTAATGAACTTCTTTGATGTGTGAACTATGCACGGTAACTCAAAAAAAACCCCGTCGTTTTGGAACGAGATCTTTCTGTAACCGTTCTGATAGTAAAACAAAACGCCGCTTAATATTGGCCGAACAATACAGAACAAAAGACGTCTATACCGACAAACGAACAGATACGAAAATCATAGATAAAAGAATCGTACGCTTTTCAAATGTCGTCGTCAATGTATTACTTTTCTTTACTGTTTCTGTTCGTTTCGTAAACGTTTTAGGCCTATAAAAGGCTTGGGCACAATCAGCGTTTTAAAGCTTGTCTTCATGAAGTTTCTAGGGTTGCTGCTTGTCAGCGTGCTTATATTTCGTCTTAATTCTGATGCACTATCCAGTCCGGCCAAGAAAAGCGAATTCGAGACCTATGACGATTTCGTCCAGTCTATGAACGAAGCTGTAAATCCCAGCCCTCCAATTATTGCGCCTACAGATCCGCGTTTCCCCCTTTTCATGGGCTACGCATGGGGCCTGAATGCAACGTTAAATTTTACTCTTAATCCGTGTACGGATTTCTATGAATACGTTTGCTCTCCAGGTGAAAATCCAGGCGCATCGCTCACACGACTTTCCAACGATCTTATCTTCCAAGGATTGAAGAAGCCCGCAGTAAGTGAAATTACAGTGGCTTGCTATAAGATCTGACCGTGAGGGCCCAGATGAAAAAAATTCCTTTCAGAAGTTCGAGGCCATGAAGAAACTGAAGCAATATATCGATGATTGCGTTGCGGGCTCATCGTCGAAGGAAATTGTTGAGGAAACTTACAAGAGCGCAAAGGAGACTTTAGGGATGGATTTCCCAGCGTTATCGGGAGATGCAGCCAGAATTGAAAAACCATCAAGAGAACAGATCTCAAAAATTGCGAATTTTGGTGGTCTCATTTCTATATATACGGAAGAATTTCCTAGAAAGAATAACTTTGCATACACGGTTGGGATATCAAGCGCGTCAGTGTTGGAAAAAGGCGTAGGTTGCCATGTTATAACACGCAACTTTTAGCTTCTTTATTCATACCGGTACGAGTGGAACGAAATTAGGCCATTTCTTAAAGTCCAACTTATCGACATTTTAAAGAACTTGTCCAAGTATTTATCAATGCCAATGGATGCCGGAATAATTGAGCAGGACATTGAAGACATACTTAAAGTTGAGAAATATTTGGCAGACTATGGATCGAACGACCCAATTTTGCAGAAAAAAACAGCAGTGCAAGAGTAAAAGAAAACGAATGTAAAAAATATGTTTTAGTATAAAATTGACGTTAACGATTGGCGAAGCAAGCCAAAGATTTCCATTCCTGGATTTCCAAAGCGCAATTCTCAATTATCTAAACGAGGAGCCTGACGAAGTGAAGGCCCGTTTCAGCTCTGAAAAGGCAGAGATCGTAATTACTCTACCAGATCGGCTTGCAAATCTTTCTTCTTATCTTCTATCAAACGCGCTAACCGGAAGAACGTTGTACAACTACATGTTTCTAAAACGGATGTATCCTTTGAAAGAAACGCTGCTACCATCCAACTCTGTTCTGATCAAGCAGAAGAAGCTTCGCGACGGTGTTGCAATTAATTTGTCTCCTGCTGAAGAAATCTGCTTCAACCGACTAATATCCGACGAGTCGTCAATCCTAAATCATTTGTTAGATCGAATATACATCGATGAACGAATACCGAATAAAGAAGATCGCCGAACAAAATTTTCCTACGTTACACAAATGGTGAAGGAGATCGTTGAAGGGTTTAGGGTAAGACAAATTACAACTTGTTTGCGTCATGATACATATGTGGGACGTTACTTATAAATTTCAGCACGCTAGTCCATCGGAACCCCGCGGATTTAATAGTTTTAGTAAATTCGGTCCATCCCGCTAGGTGTAAAAATTTTTGCTCCACGAAATCTTTTTTACATGAATGCCTGTAAAATACAGCCGTAATCATAATTGAAAGCCAGGAAAAAAAACATGAAGAAAAACTTGATAACAAAAAATTTTGACAGGCAAATGTGAAATCACAGGGCGCAAATTGCGGCGCCTAGCCTAGTCCCGAAAATTTGTCACGATGACACCCGTTTAAAACGTGCCAGTGTATTAAAAACGGTTGTAAATGACTACTAGCACTCCCCAGTGTACCCTTAAAAAGACACCAGGTTCAAAACTTTCGCTCATCCAAACGATGAAGTCTGGATGATGCATTTTCTGGATTTTTTTGGCGGCGAGAAAAATAAACATGCATTTTTTCTGGCTTTTAATTATGATTACAGCTGTATTTCACAGTCTTCAAGTGTTTTAGCCATTTGCGCGGAGTCAACCATGTTTTAACATCGTTGATTTTTGTTTTTTGTTGACCCCTTGAAAATCGCAGTCCGTTTTTTTGATAGATTTTGCGCTAGCGTTGGTTATTTTGACATTCTAAAGCACATTTAGGATGTCGAAGATAAATGAGTATTATCAAATAGACGGGTTCGTCTTGAGAACTGGCTGAATTTAACCAATAACTCTTAAAAATACCTAGTACAATGTAAGAAAATGCCTGAACTGGCAGTTCTGTAAAACATTTCCTCCTCCGCCCGAAAAATCTCAACAGTAAGCAATGTAAAAATACAGGGTGAGACTTCAAGTCCCAAAACTTGACTATTTTTGGTTAAAAAAGGTTAACTGTGGACTAAATCCGCGGGGTTTGGATGGACCAGCGCGCAGAAATTGTAAGTAACGTCCCATATATAAACCAAGAAAATTTTAGTTGGAGATAAACAAGATGAAGTGGCCCGACACATTCAAAACCCACGTTGGTACTAAATTAAACAATATGCAGATAAATGTTGGCTACCCTACAAAGGTTGATTCTGATCAGTTCCTCAATGATTTTTACTCCGAATGGAACTTAACTGATGGCAATTCGATTGAGTCATTAAAAGTATTCCAGAAAATTCAAAGGGCAAAAACATTGATGAAATTGGAGCGCGACCGCACAGAGTTCGCAGGCCGCGCGTCTGAGTTCAACGCATACAACCGTCCGGATAGAAATTCCATAAATATATTAGACGGAATTCTGTACCCTCACATTTACCACGTGCAATATCCAGCCGCAGTGAATTACGGAACGTTGGGAAGTGTAATTGCGCATGAAATCGTCCACAGCTTTGACATAAGGGGCGTTGAATTCGATGAGCAAGGTTATCTGAATTCGTGGCTCGACCCTGAAAGCAAACGACTTTTTGATTCTATGGCTGAGTGCGTCATTAACCAATACAACGCAATGACGACTCCACAGGGTTGGCGTATTGACGGCAACTTCAGCGCCGGCGAAAACATTGCAGATAATGGTGGTAAGACTAATAGAATCTGCAGGGTCGTAGCTACGCCAAAATCACATCTTTGTTGTTGTAATTCCAGGTATTCACGGCGCTTTCAACGCTTATAAAGCGCACCAAGCCCAGGTCGGTGAGGACCCGCGATTACCTATTGACAGAGTTTCTGGACTTACCAATGATCAACTTTTCTTCATCGGATTTGCAAAGTTCTCTTGCAAGCCCGGAATACAAAATAAATTTGAGTTATATTCTGAATATGCCCCGAGTAAGAACAGAGTTATTGGCGTGCTACAGAATTCCAATGAGTTCAAGAAAGCCTTTAATTGTAAGCCTACAGACTTGTATGCTCAAAAACACTGTGATGTATATACTGTAAGCGGTAATGATTGTTGACATATAAATAAATTTCTTTCTTTTACCCCAGGGTGTTCAGAGAATTATGGAAAAAACTATTCATTAATAACTTTGCGCTCGGTGGTCCAATCCGAAAAATTTTTTTGGCATTTTACAGAAAAACCTTGGAGTTTTTAGAATCTGAAAAAATTTTTTTTTCTTTTATCGGCGGAGACTTCCGTAATCCGCGTTGAATTCGTTGGAGTGTTTTTTCACAAAATAAGGCTGTAAATCGTTGTATTTAAGAGCGAAGGAATAAGAATTTTTTCTCGAGCTCGAGAATATTTGCTGGATTCGCTACCAATTTCAAAAAGTAACGAAATGATCGATTTGCGACGTGGTCTCGGTAGCGAATCCTTCTTTTCGCGACCTCCGAAAAAAGTCGGTCGCGAATCGGCGTTTTCGCTACCTCCACGAGAGAGGAGGTAGCAAAACGGCGTTTTTGCGACGGCACGGAATTGGGAGGTAGCAAATCCGCGGATTTGCGACGTCTCAAATACATATAAACTCCGCCCCCTGAGTTTTGCAGCCAACCACCGCGTTTTGGCCTTTTTTGACAAAAAAATACCATTTATGGTGAAAAATTTTGCTTGTAAATCGTACATTTACGAAATTATGAAAGAAAAACGTCTTCTTCGTTAAAATATTTATTAATAAAAGACGTACATTTTCGTATAAAATATGCGTTTTTTTACAACATTGTCCAAGCATTGCCGGAGAGTTGGATGGAACTGAAGAACATGAAGAACATGTTTTGCCAGATATGGCCGGAGTCGAGGGATGGATCATGACCGCCAAATTACCTTCCTGGAAATCAAAAGCAACGTAAAATTTCCTTATCATTTTCAGAAAAAAACACCTTCATTTACCTCATATTGCATGTGTCTAATCCGAGCATCGAAATGGGCACAGTTTTGAGCAAAAATACGGCCGACGGGAGTGAAACCGTAATTCCATGTAATAATTTATTACCTAAAAACAGAATAAGAATACTTAAATCCAATCTTACCTCCTTTAGCAACTACCACTTGGCCATTCCCTTGTTCGATTTCATTATTTCTGCCTCCTGTAAACGATTTATAAGGCTCTTGCCTAGAAAAAAATTGGAAATCTCGTCTAAAATCAAAAAATAATAAAAGAAACAGCTTACCATGGAGTCAAAACGCCTTGTATGTCCGCCAATTTCGTCCCCGATGTTTATGGCGATCACCTTGAGCCGGTTTATCTTCTAATTCAGCTTCTCTGCATCAATTTGGCCAATTTCAACAAAAAGAAACATAAGAACACAGGAAAAAAAAAGAATTTATGAAGTTGCAAATGTTTTCGCGGCCCGTAAAAACGAAATGCCACGCAGTCCGAGAACGGATTTTAGGTCCAATAACAAGGATGTCTTCGGCCTTATCAATCAAATCAACCGTTTTTTGGCCATGGTAAGCTGTTTTGTTATTATTTTTTGACTTTAGACGAGATTTCCAATTTTTTTATATTATTCATGGCAAGAGTCTTACAAATCGTTTTCAGGAGGCAGGAACAACGAAATCGGACAAGGGAAAAGCCGTGTGGTAGTTGCTAAAGGAGGTAAGATTTGATTTAAGTATTATTATTCTGTTTTTAGGTAATAAATTGTTGCCTGGAATTCGGTTTCACTCCAGTCGGCCGTATTTTTGCTCAACATTATGTCCGTTTCGATGCTTGGATTAGACACATGAACTATGAGGTAACATAGTTCATAGTAGTTCCGGCCGTATTTAGACAATATTGTGGAAAACCCGCATATTTTACATGAAAACGTACGTCTTTTATTAATAAATATTATAAAGATGAACAAGGACGTTTTTTTCTTCATAATTTCGTAAATGTACGATTTATCAGCTAAATTTTTCACCCTAGACGATGTTTTTCCGTCAAAAAAGCCAAAACGTGATGGCTGAAAAATTGAGGGGGCGGGGCTTGTTTTGGGACGTCGCAAATCCATGGATTTGCTACCTGCCAATTTTGCGCCGTCGCAAAATGGCCGATTTGCTACCTCCCTATTTTGCGCCGTCGCAAAATGGCCGATTTGCTTCCGACGTCTTTTTTGGAGGTTGCAAATTGAGGTTTCCGCTACTTTTTGAAATTGGTAGCGAATCCAGCAAACATTCTCGAGCTCGAGAAAAAATTCTTATTCCTTCGCTCTTATTTGTAAAGAAAATGGACGGAAAAGGATACAAAAGATACAATACGACATTCCTTTCAAATTTCTGTGCTTCGGCGGAGACATTTTTTATTCTCGGCGGTCGATTTTTCTTCAACTCCGGATAGTCAAAATTGGCTGAAACCAAAGCGTATGGTATTCCTAGTGGCATGGCGCCTAAAAACGACTTATTACGTCTTCAGGAGGCTGGCAGATGAAAAAAAGGCGAGTCGGCGGAGAAATCGGCGAAGAGAAAATGAACGTATTTCAGAAATTATGCAAATTTATCCGCCGAGCATCCGCTAATAAGAAGAGTCATATTTTTGGTTGATCAGGGCCGTATAAGACTTACAATTTTAGTTTTTTCATCATAATTTCTTAAATGGGTTAACTTTTTTCTCCGCCGATTTCTCCGCCGAATTGCTTTTTTTTCATCTGCCAGCCTCCTGAAGACGTAATAAGTCGTTTTTAGGCGCCATGCCACTAGGAATACCATACGCTTTGGTTTCAGCCAATTTTGACTATCCGGAGTTGAAGAAAAATCGACCGCCGAGAATAAAAAATGTCTCCGCCGAAGCACAGAAATTTGAAAGGAATGTCGTATTGTATCTTTTGTATCCTTTTCCGTCCATTTTCTTTACAAATAAGAGCGAAGGAATAAGAATTTTTCTCGAGCTCGAGAATGTTTGCTGGATTCGCTACCAATTTCAAAAAGTAGCGGAAACCTCAATTTGCAACCTCCAAAAAAGACGTCGGAAGCAAATCGGCCATTTTGCGACGGCGCAAAATAGGGAGGTAGCAAATCGGCCATTTTGCGACGGCGCAAAATTGGCAGGTAGCAAATCCATGGATTTGCGACGTCCCAAAACAAGCCCCGCCCCTCAATTTTTCAGCCATCACGTTTTGGCTTTTTTGACGGAAAAACATCGTCTAGGGTGAAAAATTTAGCTGATAAATCGTACATTTACGAAATTATGAAGAAAAAACGTCCTTGTTCATCTTTATAATATTTATTAATAAAAGACGTACGTTTTCATGTAAAATATGCGGGTTTTCCACAATATTGTCTAAATACGGCCGGAACTACTATGAACTATGTTACCTCATAGTTCATGTGTCTAATCCAAGCATCGAAACGGACATAATGTTGAGCAAAAATACGGCCGACTGGAGTGAAACCGAATTCCAGGCAACAATTTATTACCTAAAAACAGAATAATAATACTTAAATCAAATCTTACCTCCTTTAGCAACTACCACACGGCTTTTCCCTTGTCCGATTTCGTTGTTCCTGCCTCCTGAAAACGATTTGTAAGACTCTTGCCATGAATAATATAAAAAAATTGGAAATCTCGTCTAAAGTCAAAAAATAATAACAAAACAGCTTACCATGGCCAAAAAACGGTTGATTTGATTGATGCAAATGTTTTCGCGGCCCGTAAAAACGAAATGCCACGCAGTCCGAGAACGGATTTTAGGTCCAATAACAAGGATGTCTTCGGCCTTATCAATCAAATCAACCGTTTTTTGGCCATGGTAAGCTGTTTTGTTATTATTTTTTGACTTTAGACGAGATTTCCAATTTTTTTATATTATTCATGGCAAGAGTCTTACAAATCGTTTTCAGGAGGCAGGAACAACGAAATCGGACAAGGGAAAAGCCGTGTGGTAGTTGCTAAAGGAGGTAAGATTTGATTTAAGTATTATTATTCTGTTTTTAGGTAATAAATTGTTGCCTGGAATTCGGTTTCACTCCAGTCGGCCGTATTTTTGCTCAACATTATGTCCGTTTCGATGCTTGGATTAGACACATGAACTATGAGGTAACATAGTTCATAGTAGTTCCGGCCGTATTTAGACAATATTGTGGAAAACCCGCATATTTTACATGAAAACGTACGTCTTTTATTAATAAATATTATAAAGATGAACAAGGACGTTTTTTTCTTCATAATTTCGTAAATGTACGATTTATCAGCTAAATTTTTCACCCTAGACGATGTTTTTCCGTCAAAAAAGCCAAAACGTGATGGCTGAAAAATTGAGGGGGCGGGGCTTGTTTTGGGACGTCGCAAATCCATGGATTTGCTACCTGCCAATTTTGCGCCGTCGCAAAATGGCCGATTTGCTACCTCCCTATTTTGCGCCGTCGCAAAATGGCCGATTTGCTTCCGACGTCTTTTTTGGAGGTTGCAAATTGAGGTTTCCGCTACTTTTTGAAATTGGTAGCGAATCCAGCAAACATTCTCGAGCTCGAGAAAAAATTCTTATTCCTTCGCTCTTATTTGTAAAGAAAATGGACGGAAAAGGATACAAAAGATACAATACGACATTCCTTTCAAATTTCTGTGCTTCGGCGGAGACATTTTTTATTCTCGGCGGTCGATTTTTCTTCAACTCCGGATAGTCAAAATTGGCTGAAACCAAAGCGTATGGTATTCCTAGTGGCATGGCGCCTAAAAACGACTTATTACGTCTTCAGGAGGCTGGCAGATGAAAAAAAAGGCGAGTCGGCGGAGAAATCGGCGAAGAGAAAATGAACGTATTTCAGAAATTATGCAAATTTATCCGCCGAGCATCCGCTAATAAGAAGAGTCATATTTTTGGTTGATCAGGGCCGTATAAGACTTACAATTTTAGTTTTTTCATCATAATTTCTTAAATGGGTTAACTTTTTTCTCCGCCGATTTCTCCGCCGAATTGCTTTTTTTTCATCTGCCAGCCTCCTGAAGACGTAATAAGTCGTTTTTAGGCGCCATGCCACTAGGAATACCATACGCTTTGGTTTCAGCCAATTTTGACTATCCGGAGTTGAAGAAAAATCGACCGCCGAGAATAAAAAATGTCTCCGCCGAAGCACAGAAATTTGAAAGGAATGTCGTATTGTATCTTTTGTATCCTTTTCCGTCCATTTTCTTTACAAATACAACGATTTACAGCCTTATTTTGTGAAAAAACACTCCAACGAATTCAACGCGGATTACGGAAGTCTCCGCCGATAAAAGAAAAAAAAAATTTTTTCAGATTCTAAAAACTCCAAGGTTTTTCTGTAAAATGCAAAAAAAATTTTTCGGATTGGACCACCGAGCGCAAAGTTATTAATGAATAGTTTTTTCCATAATTCTCTGAACACCCTGTATTATACGACAAGCAACGTCTTAACTGGATATCTGTCACCTTTCATTGCAATCTGGCCCTCAGACTAAGCATGGCTCCGGGCCGGGCTTTCCAAAATTTTCCGGCCCGGGCCGGGCCAAAAATTTATTCATAGGGTTCTTGGTTTCTTTTTTGTTTTGCTCCGATTGACTTGATTTTTGGCATGGGGGTTGCTTAAGACCGTCTCATCTTAAATTTGAAAAAAAAAATTCGAAATTTTCAATTTTGAGTGACCTATGACGTCACGAAAAGTCAAAACTTTGAGCTACCATATCTCGCTTTGTTTGATAGGTATCGACTTGAATTTTGGCTTCGTCGCGTATGGTACAAAAAAAGTACAGAATGCCGTGCATAATTATGCAGAAAATGCCATGGTTTGGTGAAGATTCCCAAGAATTTGCATAAATCGACCAACACTGAAAATATAAAAGCGTGGATCGACCGCTTTTCGGTCGCGTTTTCCGCTTTGTTGTGTGCGAGTCAATTGTGCCCTTTCGTTCGAAAGAAGCGTTTGGATTTGTGAAGCAACCAAGAATTGTAAGTCTCCCCGAGGGGCATTTTTAGCGGCCAAATTGTTTATTGAAAATTTCGACCGGGCAAAATTACAGTCCGTTTTTCTCACAGTGTACAAAAAACACTTGACTTTGCGAACAGACTAGTAGTCGTTGGAGTATAGGACAGTGCACATCAAAACTGAGATAATCTAAAACGGTCCGGTGAGCGGATTGGCAATTCGCCAAAAAAAAGACGCGAAAAAATTTTTTGTCGGCGAAGAAATGGGGAATTTTTTGGGCGAGAGAGTATGTTCTTGCGCGTCTTTCCTCTGACTTCTCTGTCAAATCAAGACGAAGTGTAAAAAACCGATAGCAAAGAGTCTATGGAAAAAGTTTCTTATTTTGGCCACAACAAAGGTACTCCGCGAACTGCGCCCAAGCTTGGGCACTAAAGTTAGGAAAAAACGCTTCGACCTACATAGCTGGAACTGAATTACTATAATAGCTCTACAGTTTTAAGGGTGCCTACAAAGGCTATGACGACTCATTTAGTTCCATACGGATTCAATAAGTTTAGTTCCGGACATGTTTCATCGTATAAGGTGTAAAATCACAGGCGGCAGCCGTTTTTGAAGGGTAAGGTGGTACGTAAAAAAGAAGGTACCTCGCTAACTAAATCTACTGTCCGGGCATTGACAACGATGAATTGAGCGTGCACGCTAAATTTGGGTTAATTCCGACCAGTTTCCGCAAAGTTATAAGTTGTGGCCAAAATAAGGAACTCTTACCGAGTCTATTCCGCTCACCGGACTCCTCAGTTTGACGTGCAGTGCCCTTCAAGATCGAATTAGGTCTTATGGAGGTCTTTAACCTTGTCTTATAAATTTTCTGCTTTTTTTGAAAATCGCAGATTCTCAAGTAGGCCAATTTTTTTTCTAATCTATACATTTTCAGGCTGCAATATGATTGGCAAGACATTCCTCTTGCTGACCCTCACCTTCATCGTCGGTACTGCCATGCCTCTCGGCAAGGCCGTCGGAGCCAAAGGAAAGCTGTTGTGTAAGGGCAAACCAGAATTCGAAGTGAGCGTCAAACTCTGGGACGACGGCGGTAAGCTTTTTAGGCCATACCTAGATTCGTATTTTAAAAGCATTTGCAGTAAAAATCTTAAGCTGAGAAAACCAAATTTCATATTTTAGGTCCGGAGTTGGACGACAAACTGGCTGAAACCGCAACCGACAGTGAGGGGCGATTCCAACTGGAAGGGCATATGTTCGGGTCGATTATGGACCCCAAAATCACCATCGACCATGATTGTGACGATAGCTGGGTAAGTATTTCTTAAGCGAAAAATAGCGAAACAATCCTAATTTATTTTTGCGCCATTTCTAGCCATGCCAACGCAGACTCACGATCTACATTCCCGACAGTTTCGTCGACAAGGGCCGTCGCCCGCTGTTTTTGTACGATGCCGGAGTAATCGAATTGTCTGGAGAATTCGGAGGAGAAAAGAGAGACTGCATTCACTAGGATTTTCACGACCTTATTTTTTATGTATTTGTGGATCTATTGCAATAAATAAACCTATCTTTTGTATTGACCATGGTATGTAATTTTTGCCCTAGGAAAAAATCTTGCTCCAGCCGTATTTTATACCATTCCGGCAATTTTTATTGAAATATAAACTCAGACCGGATATTACACTTGACAAGCTGCGTTGGGATGTAGCCTGACTACGTCGCTACGCCGCGGGTGTGCGCGCAAAGCGCCACCAAATTAGCCTAAGCCTGAACTAAGCCTAAGCGCCTAAGCGGCTAAGCAGCCTAAGCAAACGAAGCCTGAGCCTATGCGCTAAGCACCGTGCAGTGAACCTTACCAACGCACAGTGCACCTTTTCACCGCACAGTGCACTCGCGAAAACCCGGAGAAAATAAAAAAATTTCGAACCCGCGCGAACCCAACCGAATTCGCCCTCGGAAAAATAGTGGGACCCGAAATCGACGAGAAAGCTAGAAAAATTTTTGCTCTCTCACGAAAATGCAAAATCAACTTTTGCTACGCCCCTTTTTCCATGTCGCGACACGGTTTGCACAGTGCAATCTTGCCAAACGAAGCCTTTTCCCACTTGCACCGTGCGAAATTTGTTGGCGGAGTGTCTGTCGCAAAATATTTTCAGACACTCCCCTTCGAAACCTGCAATTTGGAAAAATTTGCACAGTGCAATCAACAAAAAGCCTACGTTCGTATTAAGCTTTTTCAAAAGTGCAGACACATTTTCCGGTCTTTTTTGCACCGCACAGTGCAAGTTTCGTGTTCCCCGCGCGACGCGATCCGATTCGAAACATTTTGCACTGTGCAATTTCAAAAAATTCGCGCCGGCTCCGTTGAAAAAAAATGTCAGATTCGGAGTCAGCATAAAAAATGAGTTAGGGTGCATGAAGGAAACGTGTAATGAAAGCTGGTCGTTTTCATGTCGATTCGTTTTTGACTTTTCAGTCCGGGAGGACGCAAAATGTGGGGACGTTAAGCAAATTTTTAAAACATTCAGAAAATTTATTTGAAGTAATGTGTGACAATCGTGACGTATGCGGAACTTGCGAAATCGCTATAAAAATTCACACTGAAAGCTCAAAAAAGGGGTACTTTTGAAAAAGTCGGTTTTTCGCAATTTTCAAAATGACACGCCAACTATGGTGAAAACACGAATACCATATTCAGGTGTAGAATTCCATTCTACGAATTCTGAAAAAAAATCGGCAGCGTAGCTCCAAAAAGAAAGGAGAAAACTCGATTTTTCATTACCGACCGGTCGATAATGACAGAGACTAAAAAAATGACGTTTGGGTATCACAGAGAGACAAAAAAATGACGTATGTAAAAAAAAAAGTCCAAAAAGTCAACGCTAAGTAAAAAACTCCCTCGGCCCTTATTACATATAATGGGGTCTGCGGAGCAGGCCGATAATAACGTTAGATTATTGACTAAAGTTTTACTTAACAACCTTCTGTCCCTGTGTACACGTTGCAATGCAGCGTCGGCGCATACTTATCTCCACTTTTGCAGTTGAACGCAGATTTGAACGCCGGTGTGTTCTGTAGTGTTCCGAGCACCCTTTGCGGTGCCGGAGCATGCTCATCGCTGTAGATTCTAGCAGCTGTTTGTTGTTGTTTTGTGCACCAAATGCGTGAGAAAGCGATAAAAAAGAGTTGATCGTTGGTGAACTGGGAAAACCTGAGCAGCGGCAGTCTGGGGTCCTCACCCACGTTGTTTGCGTGATATTTGTACCCATTATATGCGGCGCGGATCCCTGTAAATTGGATTTTTTTTATCAATGGATAGGCATGGATTATCAGGAACTGGTACGATTTGGGAAACCGAAAAGTATGTTTCTTTGATGCAAGTGTGAAATTAGGATGATCAAGGGTGCTGATTTCGAAAATGACATTCATTTTTTGATCTTTACTTTTTTCCTTAAAAGACGATTTCTGAGTCACTGAAGCAAGCCGTAGTTAGGCCAGGACATAGGATTTTTTCGATGTTGAGTTTTTTACATTATTATGACCCATGGCACCTGTAGAGAAAAAGCGAACCACAGTTTTCCTTAATTCTTCCATTAACTGTACTTTTTATACAATTTTCTGTTTATACAGTAATTCGTCATAACTTTCTACAATGGTGTCCGTTTGTCATAAAAATAAGACTACTATGGTTTTTGGGCATGACGAGTTCAATAAAACGAAAAAAAATTTCATCCGGTTACGGTAACATATAAAAATACTGTATCGGTCGGTAAAAATCGACCATAAAAAGTTTGTTTCAAAAAAGCCACAGCCAATTTTTTCATATTCGTAATCAGCGTAAAATTCTGCTCTAGGACCATTTTTAAAAAGTTCAAAAATAGGACCCCCATTTTCCGTGGTGTAGTGGTTTTTGACCAAAACTGGTAATCTGACCACCCAGGTTCGAATCCGGGTGGGTGCGAATGTAGAAAAAATACCTAAAATCACTTTTAATGAAAACCTGAGAGTTATTTGAAGCACGCTGAGCAATTTTAGGCATTAAAGCTCTCTGAATTTGGGATTAAAACGATTTTTATGTAATTTTAGAGGATTAATGCATCAAAAATAAAACTGCTTCAAACTGGTTGAAATTGATAACACTTATTCTATGGCTAATTGTAAGAAACTTTCCCGTTAACTTTTTTTGGTAGAATGCTGTATCATGGATTACTGTAACATTAAACCCGTTTTCGTTTTTGGTATGCCACAGGGCATAGAGACTTCAGTGTATCACAATTATGATAGGAATGCTTGAGAACACGTTGGTTATCACACAAATGTGTTTTCTATGTCCGTAGGACTTGAAACACGTCCGTTATAACGCGCAGGTTTCCAATCGATAATGATGTCAAGATGCACTATATATCATGGGAAATTTTTTTTTTGAAATATGGAGCGTTGCGATTTCTTGCTTTTTAATAGATCTAATCAAAAAAAGAAAAACATTTACCCAAGAATTTTGAAGAAAACATCTGCTAAGTAGAATAAGTTTTATGTTACAGTAATCCATGATACAGCACTCTACCAAAAAAAGTTAACAGGAAAGTTTCTTACAATTAGCCATAGAATAAGTGTTATCAATTTCAACCAGTTTGAAGCAGTTTTATTTTTGATGCATTAATCCTCTAAAATTACATAAAAATCGTTTTAATCCCAAATTCAGAGAGCTTTAATGCCTAAAATTGCTCAGCGTGCTTCAAATAACTCTCAGGTTTTCATTAAAAGTGATTTTAGGTATTTTTTCTACATTCGCACCCACCCGGATTCGAACCTGGGTGGTCAGATTACGAGTCCTGGTCAAAAACCACTGCACCACGGAAAATGGGGGTCCTATTTTTGGACTTTTTAAAATTGGTCCAAGAGCAGAATTTTACGCTGATTACGAATATGAAAAAATTGGCTGTGGCTTTTTTGAAACAAACTTTTTATGGTCGATTTTTACCGACCGATACAGTATTTTTATATGTTACCGTAACCGGATGAAATTTTTTTGGTTTTATTGAACTCGTCATGCCCAAAAACCATAGTAGCCTTATTTTTATGACAAACGGACACCATTGTAGAAAGTTATGACGAATTACTGTATAAACAGAAAATTGTATAAAAAGTACAGTTAATGGAAGAATTGAGGAAAACTGTGGTTCGCTTTTTCCCTACTGGTGCTGTGGATCATATTTATGCAAAAAACTCAACTTCGAAAAAATCCTATGTCACGGCTTGCTTCACTGACTCAGAAATCGTCTTTTAAGTAGTAAAGTAGTAATTTTTTGAATTTTTTCCATGAATGCATTCATGAAAAGAATTCGAATGCTCGATTTGGGGGTTGGCGTTAGTGCTGCTTTCAAATCAGAAAAAACTATTAGATTTTCGAAACCAGCACCCTCGAAAATCGCTAAATCGAGTATTTTTGAAAGAAATTAAAAAATTACTACTTTACAGTACTACTTAAAGAAAAAAGTAACAATCAAAAAAATGAATATCATTTTTGAAATCAGCACCCTCGATTATCCTAATTTCGACACTTGCGTCGAAGAAAAATAATACTTTTCGGTTTCCCCAATCGTCCAACTCCGGGCCGTACCTCCGGAATCCGCGATATTTTCACCAACTGTGGCGCTTCCATTGACTGGAAGACCAATGCTCGTGTTGATCTTGTTAAACTGATCAATGATGCAAGTTTTCATTTCATCAAAACTTTTTTGACTCTCTTGATCCAACCACGGCGCCACGTAGCCTTCTTCGTCGAACTGCACCCCCGACGTGTCAAAGCCATGTACAATTTCGTGCCCGATTACGGTGCCTACCGCCCCATACAGCACTGCAAGCGGGAAGTCGGCGTCGAAGATCGGCAGTTGTAGGATGCCGGCGAAGATGTTTATGGAGTTTCGTGTTGGAAGGTACCCAGCGTTGGCGTTACAGACAACCTGTGGAAACTCATCCCTGCCACGCTCTTTAATGAGCAATGCTTCTTTTTGCGCCGCTGCCATAGTTGGAGCTATTGCGTACAATTCATCAGAGAAGATGCGGCTTTGGTCGGTCTTGTAGTTTGCATAGGCCTCAGTGATGAGCGTATCATTGAAGACTATGGGTGGATAGACCAAGTTTCTTCGCATATTTTTTAGCTTTATGATTGCCTTTTCTTTGGCCTTCTCCGTCCAATCGAGTTGCGATATTTGAGCCTAAAAGGAATGAGTTTTTACAGTGCCTCAAGTGCTTGTCTTGGCCGACTTACCGCAAATCCATTGATGATGTTTTCTGTTATTCTAGAGATCGCTGCAATCTTGCTTTTCCGGTCCTCAGGGATTGGCAGAGCCGCTTCAATAAACCATCGATCATACAATAATTCTAACGAAACATTCCCAATTACATAACTATTGCATGCAGTCTGCACGTCATTGGCATTGTCCTGCAAAGAAGTTGAGTTTGCTACCTTAACTGGGGAAGTGTGCAAGCTGACCCACACCAAATAACAAGTTTTATATACCATCCGAAAGCCCTTGAATAGTAGTGTTAGAAACTGTTTTCAGTTTTTGCAGAATACCCCAAGGCAAAAAATTATGAGCGATTTGTAACTTTAGTAGTTACAAAATCTGATGCGAGGGTTTTTTTCCGTCCAAGAGAAAGAGAGATTTTTTTGCAAAATGACCTAAAAATAATGAGATCGACAGTATGTCGTCGCAGAAAGGTACTCTGCAAAAAATCAAAATGGTGTTTTGTAACATTTTTCAAAGGCTCTTCAATCATGTATATTACTTCTCATTTGGCGGGGGTCAATTTGAATTGCTTCCCTAGTAAATCCCACCTTCATTAGTCGCCTTTTCTTCTCTGTTTGTAGCCCACCATCTCTGAACTTTGAAGTTATTTGAGTTGGCACCGACAGCAACATTCTTTGAAAATTCAAAGCCAACCGAATGAACAAGTAATTATAGATCGTTCGTCCGTCAACAGAGGTTTGTAAGAAGTCTTGAACCTTGTTGAGCTTGCTCCCAGTCTCTATCAAGATCTTAAAAGAAGGATCGCGAACATGTGCCTTAACCTGATCCGATGCATCTTTGATATACTCGGAGAGGAATAAGTCAAAGTCAATTATACTGTACTCCTTGCTTGCAGCTTGCGGCGTCAGCTCCTCGTAGTCACTGAAATTTTATTGTCAATACTTTTTTATATGTATATCAGGGTGTCGGGTAAATAGTGAGAACTTTGTCGCATCAAAAATCGCATCGTCGCTGAGAAAATGAAGTTTATAAAATCAAGTTGCTTTTCGCTTCAGCGACGCGATCGGCACAGCAACATTAGGCTCATTATTTTCCCGACAGACTGGCTGCAACTTATCAGTACTTTCTTTTATGTAGTAGCGACATAGGGCTCGAGACTAACGCAGCTGCAACTGGTACCGTCTCTCGGGCAATATTTGCATTTATCGCAGGAAACATACAAAAAACACTTACCGCACATAGTCGACTGGATCTGTCCTGTCCGTAAAGACGTTGTCGATGAAGAACTTTTCTAACCTCAAAACATTTTCCACATCGTCGTTCAATAAGCCGAGATCCACCTGAATTGCCAGAACCTTTGCCACTTTGCTAATCAGAATCATCAAACTCTCTTTTAGCGCTGGCTTGTGCTGCTCCCATTCGTATCTTAGTTGATAAAGAGTATACTAAACATTACAGTTACTTCATAGACAACCCTTACAAGTAGAAAAAGCTGACTTGTTGGTCCAAAGAACACGGTGATCACATTGTCACTCCTTTGAAATGTTGCGTGAATGCCAGTGCTTAAGATGCCATTAACTCCATAGTTGTTGAAATGCGCGGATATTCGCGCCATTTCTGAGGACGTTGGCCTACGTTGTGCATGTTTCCCAATCAGTGTGGGGAAATCAATGCCGACAAGATTTTTAAATGTCAGATAATGGGGTATGAACTTGGATCCGTTGAAATCGCTTGGATTGGGGTTCTTTATATCTCTAATGCACTTGTCTCGGAGGTCTCGTAGATAGAATTCAATGGGCAGCCTCTAAAAATTTTTAGTCAAGTTTGAGGTAACGAATAGGTATAGTACATATGGAAATCCCTATAGCATTACTCATAGACTGACAAGCTACTTCCTTAAGTTTTGCATAATAAAACATAAACCACTCAATTCCTTAGCAATTCGTAAAAATTTTAGCTTGTGTTTTTTGGGGAGAGCCTAATATTCAATTGGCGGCCGAAAGAGTACACGAAACGCGGAGAGCGGCCAGAAACAATGCTTTAGGCAATTTCTGTGTCAGTTTTGGGCATAAAAAAATTATTTTTTGTGGGAGCATGGACATCTGCGGTCAAAATAGGTATTAGAATTTTAAGAATTTTATGCCAAAGTTTGCCAAAACGTACACTTTTTGAACTTTCGACCTAAAAAAATTCTGAGCGTCCTCTTGGAGTATTACGCTTTTTCAAAAGTGCAGACACATTTTCCGGCCTTTTTTGCACCGCACAGTGCAAGTTTCGTGTTCCCCGCGCGACGCGATCCGATTCGAAACATTTTTGCACTGTGCAATTTCAAAAAATTCGCGCCGGCTCCGTTGAGAAAAGCTTGCGTCGCAGCGATATCCGGTTGCACAGTGCAAAAGGTCAAAATGCACCCCGCAAAAGGGATTTTTGTGCACAGTGTGGCCCACGACAAAATGTGTCTGCACTTTTGAAAAAGCGTAATATATCCCCGTGAAATCAACCCTTGTACAACAAAATCCGTTTTTATCCCCTTGCAATTAGCTACACAAAGGTTGGAATTCCTAAAAAATTGTAGAGTGATGACTTACGGGTTGTCTGTTCATGACTTGAAGTAACAGTTGTTCGTTTCTTGTTTGTGTATCATCAATTGTATCCTCATTTGTGCCCTCACAAACATATTCAAAGAAGTCTGTGCAAGGCTCTCGAGTCAAGTTCATTGATGCACCTAGCCATTGTGAATATGCTAAGAACTCCGGAAATCTCGCTGAAGACTTGTCGATAACTTCTGGATCATTCACATTAACAGTGTCATTGCCGGGTTGCGGCGGAGCTGCTGTAATTTTTAAATACGAAACGCTTACTTCTATATGGTATGTAGTTACAGGTCGAGACATATATTATATCAAAAAAATCGCATAATTTTTTGATTCAGAATATGTAAAAATTTACTTGCCCAATTTTGGTTTTTCAACAAGTTTTATCAATAAATGTATTTCTTGACGAAAAAAAGACGAGTTCGCTTTTTCCAATTTCGGCACAGAAATCCTTTTTGAATGTAATATATTGGAACTACTATTAGAGCCTAGTCTTAATCAAATTTAATATTGCTCGTCACGACGTCAGGGTTCATTTTAGCCCGAAACAAAATTTTTGAATTTGTGAAAACTTGGTCAAAAAAGCATTTATTTGCGTGCCGTTGCGAGAAATGTTCTGAGGGTTTTTCCACCCCTACAATCCAGAATTAGGAAGCTAATTTTTACATATTCTGAATCAGAAAAGCTTTGCATTTTGTATGTCTCGACCTATAACTCCATGCCCCTTAGAAGTACTTTCCTTGTCAGAAATCCCGACTTACTGGTGGTTGTTATACCCGCTGGTGTAGTACTGGCATTCTCATCCACGCTATTCGCAATGCCGAACACTTTGACTACGGTAATCACACTGGCGACGGCGGTGATCAACAAAAGAACGCCGAGGACCGACGCCACGACAATAGGAATGACTCTCTTGACCTCCATTTAAAGAGGAATGGGGACAAGTTTTTGTTGCTCAGCGTTTTTATACATGCTCTCTATTCAGATGCCGACATTACAGAACAATACGACTACAATGGTAGAACCACAAAAGGGGTTCGAATCGAAATTTTTTAATTTCAAAAATTCTCCATTATTCAAATATGACTAGGGCTCGAGACTAACGCAGCCTGCGGCTGCTACCGTCTCTCGGGCAGCCCTGCGCATAAAGGCAACTTTGCGTGCGATTTGGACCTGTTCAACGTCGAAAACAGCACAAACGCTCGCCAAAGCTTTGCCGACGGCATCCGGCCGCGGCAGAAAAACGCTACGCGTTAGACTGAGCCTAGTAGAAACTTGTGGCGTTCGGAACGCTCAGCCGACCTTGTTTTAGATCGAACAGTTAATATCGCTACCCTAATCGCTAAGCTCAGGTCAGTCCCAGATCGCTAAGCCCGGCTAAAGAGCCCGCCGGCATGAGGCGACGGCCTACGGCCGCCGCGAGACTACATTTTGTTACCTACAATAATTTTTCTTCCACCAAAAGCTGATCAAAGGCACATAAAATAAGCAAAAATCAACTAAAAAACTCGAAAAAATAGACTCAGCACTCAAAATTATCCAAATCCAATATTTTTCCCGAACTCCCCGTCAAATTTGGCCCTAAAACGGCCAAATCCCGAGAATCCAGGACCAAAAAATAATTTTACAAAAATTTCTCAAGAAAATCCAGAAATCCCCGTCATTACGCGTCACGATGACAATTTCCGTACCGCCCTCCTCACACTCAGCACTCTCTTCGCCTTATCTCTAACCGGAATCGAAAGAGAAAACATTTCTCTCACCACCCTCCAACCCTTTCCCACTCTCTCTTTTCTCCCGCCAAACGAAGAGGGAAGCGGTTCTCTGCCCACTCTCTCTCTTCCCCGCGCTCTTTTTTTGTGTTTTCGTCCGTGGAAGTGGGCGTTTTTTCAAAACTGGCACTTGTTGCACTAAAAGCACCGGGGAAAAAGATACGACTATGTCCGAAATTATATGGAGATTCCGAATATGTAACTTTTAGACGACTTTTAATTGGAAATTTTCGAGTTTTGACGGTTTTAAAAGTTTTTAGTTTTGTCACCAAAATTTTTCAAAGATGATCTGGCCTTAGGGTCGAAATCAAAAGGCTAGATTCAAAGGGTTTCGTCAAGCCAGCCAAATTACCGAGGGAACGCGAGAGCCGGATTTTTGAATTTCGACCTTGTTTTCGAGATAATTTCACTTTCATACGTTGAAGTAAAATCGGAAAATTCCGAAATTCGAATACCGCCTTTTCACCTTGTCCGTATTTTATGAATCGATACCTGTTTCTGTAGCAGTTCAATGTACTGAATACTATGGTGAAGATTAAAATCCGAAAAAATTCCGTTTCAAGCCCTCAGGGCCGAAATTCGGCCGAAATTTCGAACTTTTTTTTCGGAGACACAGTGCGCACGGAATATTGCAGGTAGAAAACTGAAACTTGGCACGCTGGTAGTTGATTCTGTGTCCTATAGCACCCGTATGATCAATTTTGTCAACTCCGCGCAATGCCCTGAGGGCAATTTTTTTCGCACAGTGCACCAAAAATCGGCCAAAATTTCCGGCCGCTCTGACGGCCGTAATTTTAAAGATAAGCTGAAGATGTAAGCGGGTAATTTGTAGAGCTCTTCGAGCTCTACAATCTATAGTTGGACGTTTTTGACGTCGTTGTTGTACATCAAGGAGGAAAATTTGAAAAAGTCAAAATTTTGAAAATTTCGAAAAATTGCGTTTTCCGTCCGGAGATTTGTTTGAGGAGATGGCTACGTAGAATGTTCTGAAAAAATTTAGGGACAATCTTTGGCCAAAAAAATTAGGATTTGCGAGAGATTTTTTTGAATTTCCACCTGGGAGCCGAGAACGATTTTTTTGAAATTTGCACTGTGCAAATCGTGTTTTCTACAGTAAGCCATGGCTAAAATACGAAGTGCACTACGAAAACGAAAGACACGACCTAATAGGAAGTTTGGTACGTAGAATTCAATGGAATCGAAAAAATCCAGAAAATGCGTCATCATGACGGGGTTTTCTGGAAGTGTAACGTTGTACATGGCCGTATCTACACATACATTGAGATATCTCTTAGTTATGAATTTGCTTTCCCGATATTGACCTGTAGAAGCTTGCATTTGAATATTCCCCGGTCTAATTAAAAGATACGAAAAAAGGTCTTTTTTTGAGATTTTTTTCGTAAAATTTGAAATTTCGAAAAAATCTCGACAGTGATTGTCCCATTATGTACCATACGCGACGAAACCAAAATTGAAGTCGGTAGCTGTAAAACGGAGCGAGATACAGAGACTCAAAGTTTCGACTTTTCATGACGTCATAGGTCACTCAAAACTGAAAATTTTGAAATTTTTTTTCAAATTCTCAAAGAAAGCAGCTAAAGGAACCCCCATGCCAAAAATCAAGTCAATCGGAGCAAAACAAAAAACAAAGGACAAACCCTATGAATTGATATATTTTAGATTCTGTTGTTGATCAAGTTTTATTACAGACGAAAAAATGAGTATACTCTGGGCTTCGCGATCAATTATAGACATTACAATGTATTTTTGAGACGTATGCGAACGTATTTTTATCGAAAAATAAGGTTGAAACTCAGAAATAAACATTGCAACGTTTTGTTGGTACATAAGGGCCTGTTTCCTTGCATCCAAATGCTTTCTGAAATGGCTCTAAGCTCATCAGCGAACCCTGAGCAGGCAACTTGTCCGGTAGATGTTCAGGATCATCGGGTTCGGCGCGTTTTGATTGACAAAAAGATCTTGCAAAAGCGATGAAGAAGAGTTGATCATCGTTAGGGTTTTGTGGACCTTCTTCAGTTTTAGGCAAGGATTTGAAAGCATTGTAGGCAAGATGGAGACCTAGAAAGAAGACTCGGTTCATGGTAAATAAAGCTGGAGTTTTTTTTACTTTGAACTGATTCCTAAGCTATTACAAATAAACTTCTCACGTCTTCCATCTTTACCAGTCTGCCATGAAAATAATCAGCTCAACGTCGCATCAAAAGTCAATCGCTACGGAGAAAATGAGCTGTGTTGCGGCAAAATCAAGTTTCTTTTCAATAGTAATTTCGACAAGTCAAAACCTGGTGGATCTTGGTACCTAGTAAAGTACCGAAGATATATTCAAGTACAAACAAACGATTATACAAAGTATCAACCCGCAGGGATAAGTATAATATTTATTTATACAAGAATAAAATAGCGCGTACACGGAAATAGACGTCTAAACAACTGAACACCCACAAAAGCCTGAGAAGGCTGACTCCAGGTCGGAAAACCTCGGAGGATCGATCCAGTGAAGAATTCGGGAGGGTTTATATAGGGGCTTGATCGGGCTTCGAGAAAGTTCATCGCCCACGGATCAATCAGCCTAAGTGGCCGACTTTCATCACTAAGTGGCCGACTTTCATCATCGGAGTTACGAAAAGGGGCCTGACATTTTCTGCAGCGTTAAGTGCTTGCGGCCCACGCGCAAGCACGCCATTTGGGGCGCAGGAGGGAGCCACGTGACTTTCTCGGCTCGATCACGGGCCTCGGCGGCCTCTCTTCAGGTCGCTCGCGGGATGGAGATTGCGTCGGGTTGATAAAGGTCGGGCCAAGAGAATGCGGGAGCACCACATTCTCACTACTATACCCTTTTCCTTTTTCTTGGACTGGACCATCGGCTGACATGCTATACCACCCAATTCAGCGACGCGATCGGCACAGTGACATTGTGCTCATTATTTTCCCGACACGCTGATAGAACCTTAATTGAATTTTTAAACGATTTTTCAAAGGCTTTTCATTTTGTCGGGAAAATACTGTGGGTTTTTCACTCCATCATTGCCTTGGAAAATTAGCCGCGGCTGGACATTTGGTACTCGACTGCGGCCGGGCTTGACGTTTTGCTGCAAGAATCCACATTATTTTCCCGATAGACCGGTAGGTACGACTGATGGAATGGACGCCGCCCTACAAACGACCACTTGGACGCCCCAGACTCAGATGGACCAACGATTTTCGAAAGCACCATGGCCTGAGATGGAGAGACCTTATACTGACCAAACACTGGACTCCCTGATACACTCCATGATTTTACATGTGATTAGTGTGAATAAATTAAAATTGAGACCGGTAGGTCAAACGTCTACTTCGTCAATATATCTTCTTCGTTTCCCAAAAAAATTTTTGGCTTTACGCAACTCACCCGCAATATCCGGGATATTTTCGTCCAAGGAAAACTCCGCTTTGCTTCCAAAGCTTTCTTTTTCTATAATTGAACGGTATTGCTCAACGACGCACACTCTCATCTTCCTCACATATTCCTCTGTCTTTTTATCCAGCCAATACCCGATATCTCCGTTTGCATTGTATCCCAAGTTTCCGGTATCAAACGCATGAAACATTTCATGGCCAATCACTGCCCCCATGCCTCCGTAATTGATAGAGTCGGGATATTGAGGTGAGAAAAGGTCGGAATCATAGACAATTTCACTAGGATTGATTAGATTGTAATTGAAGTCGTAGAATGGGGAGCCACCAATCTCATCCCCCTCTAATTCTGGCAATATTTTACGACCTTTTTGTAGTAAAAGACTTCGTTGTCGCTTCATTTCGAACAAATGTAGGGCCTCTACGTTGTCGAGGTAGGAGTCATTGACACTTGGGATAAAGGTCTTATAGTAATCATCAAGTTGAGTGTGACTTAGCAGATGATTTGCAATCGTCGTATCAAACCGTATTGCCGCTGCTTTGGCAATCATCTTGTTTTTGGCTATTGACGAAAGGGGTAATTGGGATATCTGGGCCTGAAATTTGAAATTTAAAAAGTATACTAGTGACGGACCTGATCCAGTGGCAAAAAACGTTCCATTTTGCATCCGGGAAGTATCAAAAAATGTAGCAAGATGCCTTCCTCTTCAACAAAAAAAACTTCGTTTTGAAGGTCGTTCACAAAAAGAGGACAAAAAACCTACAATTTTGCATCCGGGAAGCATCGAAAAATGTGGCAGAATGCTTCCCTCTTCAAGTGAAAAAAAACTCCGATTTCAAAAGCGCGCCCGCTCTTCTTTGTGAGAAACCCTTCAAAACAAAGTTTTTTCACTTGGAGAGGGAAGCATTTTGCCACATTTTAAATACTTCCTGTGTGCAAAATGGCACTTTTTTTGCCACTGGATCAGGTCCGTCACTGTACAGGGTGTCCAGAGAAATTCCGCGGAAAGTGTTTGCCGATTTCTCGGCGCTTAGGTAAGATATCCAAAAAATTCTTTTTGCATTAGAAAGAAGAATATGGGCGGTTTTTTTTCTAAAAAAGATTTTTTCTCCGCCGACACGGAACATACTGTCTTCGGCGGAGACCTTTGATCGCTTTTTTGGTCATCACACCAATCGTAAAAGCTTCAGTACAATTTCTGATGCTTAAGAAGAGAATTTTATCTTATTTTTATGTTTACCAAAAGTTCGGCAATGGAATGGAGAGCTTTCCGTATCGGCGGAGGCCACAACTCAGCTTCGGATAGGAGATGTTCCAAACATTATGTGGCTAGAATTCTTTGCTGATCCCATATGCTCTCCAAAATTTCGTCGCCAAGCCTTGGCAGCAGCTTAGCCATCAGTAAACGACTTGGTGTACCAGAAAACAACAAAATATTTTTTGTTTGAACTTCTCGTTGCCCCGCTGTTTAAAACCTCCGCACGGTGCGGTCGGACTTTATCGCTGTTGACGCAACTACACAGTGCGGTGCAGTCGCTAAATGCGATTGCATAGCGTTGTCGTCGGTTCCCTGATCCTCTGCGGAAAAAACTGAAGGCTTCCCGATAGTTTCAGGATCATAGTAAAGCGCTTAAGATTGGTGTGATGACCAAAAAAGCGATCAAAAGTCTCCGCCGAATACAGTATGTTCCGCGTCGGCGGACAAAAAAACTTTTTTAGGCAAAGAACCGCCCATATTCTTCTTTCTAATGCAAAAAGAATTTTTTGGATATCTTGCCTAAGCGCCGAGAAATCGGCAAACACTTTCCGCGGAATTTCTCTGGACACCCTGTACATCAACGAATTTTGGTATTAGTCTGTCGGCAAAATAATAAGAACTCTGTCGCATCGAGAATCGCTTCGCTGTTGCTTTTCACGCCAGCAACGCGATCGGCACAGCGACATTGTGCTCACTACTTTCCCGGTGGGCATGATACAACAAATTGCAAGAGACCAAAATTTTTGTTGAAGAGTTTTCTTACATAAAAAGATGTAAGAAAAAACTCATTTTGGCACAATAATGACAACTTTGGTTTTGTTGCACAGGGGCTCTAGAACACTCACCTTCAAAGCTTCCCTCATAGTTTCGATCATTTTTAGCATGTATTCTTCTTGCTTCAACTTCTTTTCCACATCTTTTTGAATATTATCATAATACAATCGAGCAGTCAGCGGTAAGAAGTTTTTGAATATAACGTCGGTGCAATTACACTGCGCAAACTCTAGTGTAACATTTGAATTTTCACCCTTTTTCAGTCGATCATTGTACAAGTAAATAAACTTGATATAAATGTAGTTGTAGACTTCTGTGGCGGTCACATTGTCTGAACGAAGATACTTTGCCAGTCTGGTGGCCTGTTCCAATTTTACAATACTAATGCCATGTTGTAGACGTTCTTTTATCTCGACGGAGGCGTCTTTCGAATACAGTGAGACAAAATGCGTGTAGTTTAGAAGGCCAATGGCAGCTGTAGCTTGTTCTGGAGTGAGAAGGATGAATTTTCTGCAAAAAAAAGCCTTGTAAATATTACTGTTTGAAGTCTGGCCAGAACATTGCCAGAAATGAAATCTTGTAAGAAATTTGGCGGCATTTTGGCAGTAAAGAAACGACAACATCCGAACTTAAGAAAGGCAGAGTTTCCAGCGATTACTTCTGCAGAGGTTGAATCGTACGTAAGACGAAAATTATGCGACGTTTTTTTTACACATTTTCTAAATACTAGGCCTTAAACAATAATGTCTTATGTGCAGTTGGCTACAGAAAAGTTCGTGCACAACAAATCGCATGGAACCAAAAAATATAGGGGCTTTGAAGCTAGTCTTGATAGACATGTTTTGCCGCAACAACAGCTCGTGGCACAGCGGTTTAACTGAATTTTTATTTGAGGTATACGAAATCTCAATCCGGTGACCATCTTCCTATTAGCTACTAGACCGTTCACAAAGTCGCTGAGGTGATTTGGCGACATGCAGTGTGCGAAAACAAAGGTTCACTTTCCACATTGCCATATACTGGGCTTTTTGGACTTTCGCTTGAGACCTGACCTTTCTTGCACACGACAAAAATTACTCCAGAGAATTTGCAAATATACTAGTATAGTAATCAAAATGTTGAACTTACTTATCCGGTCGAATTTCCTTCCTAGAATTACCGATGACTTGTCACACAAGTCTTTTCTCAAACTCCAGCACACTTTCAACTCCATCCTCTACTACCGAAGTGTCAATTGTGATATTCAAAAGCTCAGCAGCTCTTGCAATGATCTTCACAAGTTCCGTCTTAGTCTCATTTCTCTTTTCACCATCTTCTCTTCGATGATAGTAATCGTCCAGCAGCAGGTACGGCTCAGCAAATTCTAGGACAAAACTGTAGTCACTCGTGTTGTAATGAGTCGTTCTGACAGTAGCCTCCGTAAAAATATTGATGTCCTCCGGCATTAGGAATAGCAAAATTTCCGCCATCCTTTCTGGCAATGGCTTATAAAGGCTTTCAGAGGAGTTGGTCAGCAATGGGAATGCAACTCCAACAACTTGCTTGAATTTAAAATATCGAGAAGGGAAGCCGGTGTCGTAGGTTGAATATGGAGAAAGCTGATCGTCCATGCATTTGTCGTAGATTAGCTTTGCTTTTCCATACGCTCCGAAGCTCTGAAAATGTTTGGTATGTACGATAGAGCACATCATTGAGGTATATTAGGGGAGATTTTGTCATCCTTTTAAGCTGTGACTTAAAAGACGATTTTTGGGTCGCTGCGTCAACATGTCGACGGTAATTTTTATGCAAAAAACTCATAATCGATTTTTTTCTATGTCCACCGCTGATAGCCAAAATCGTCTTTTAAAATTTGTAGAAAACCGAAAATGCATTAGTATTTTCATAAAGTAGGACGATTTTTTCTCTTTCGTGCAGTGTATTATAAAGCTTTTTTCACGCTTGTAGCTACAGTGGCAAAAAACGTGCCATTTTGCATCCGGGAAGCATCAAACATGTGGCAAAATGCTTCCTTTGAAATCGGAGTTTTTTCACTTGGAGAGGGAAGAATTTTGCCACATTTTTGACACTTCCGAGATACAAAATGGTACATTTTTTCCACTGGATCATGTCCGACACTGTATACATGACGTAGTTGAAAGACTGATACTTAATATAAGCACAAAAAACCGAGCAGCCCAGTCCGGCAAAAAATTCGAGAGCTTTGACTAAACATTTTTTTGTAACAATGGCTGATTTTCATAAGATTTATGTATACCCTCACACAAGCAAAATTTGTAAAATACGTTGTTGACATTTTTACTTCTTACCGGTAGATTTTCCAAAACCTCTGCCCATTTCTTATCCATAGTTTTCGGAAAGTCATACCAACTTCCGTTTTGGCTGTCACACACATATTCATAGAATTCAGTACACGGATTCCGGCTTATGTTTAGATTAGCGATAAATGAGTAATCAAATTTTTCGTTTCCAAAACTTGTAATATTTACAAAAGTAGACTTGACAGTAATAAAAATTACAATGGTGAAAATAGAAATTAAGCTTTTTGAACCCATTACGTGTAGTGGAAGGTGCTTTACTTCCGTCATTGCGGTAAAATCGGCCATTAAAGTGGTTAATTGAACCTGTTCTTTTCGAGATTTATGAGTTTTGATCTTTTGTGGTTCAAAGGTTTTGATTTTTTTAGAAAAAGTTTATTGTTTACAAGGTGGGGCATCTTTGTGGCCCGATTTGAATTGTCTATAACTTCCTTATTATTGGGCCGAATGTGTTCTTTTTTCCCTTGAATCCTCAGACTCCCCCATTTTGTTTAACACCAAATATGTTATATATATGTCCGGCCAGTGTGCAAAATTTAAAGAAAATCTGAGTGTCGCACTAGGGGTACTTCCCTTGTCAATTATGGAAATTAGAGCTTTTTATTTGTAGTTAATTTATGCTGTAGGTTAATAAATGGGTATAACATATTTGGTATTTGACAAAATGCGGACGTCTGAAGATTCAGGAAAAAAAGAATTTTAACATTTGGCCAAAAACTAAAAAAGTTATAGCCAATTTAAATCGGGGCACAAAGATGCCCCATCCTGTATAAAACAAACCAGTCTGTCGGGAAAATAATGAAACGAAAAGCGATTTGATTTTTCGCAATTGTTAAAGAAAACTCAGTGCAACAAAAGCTGTCGATGACAAGCAATTTGAGCGATCTCAGAAACCAGTTTTTCGTCGAAATGCACTTGTGTATATCAATGTTGCTTATCAAAAATAAATTTTTAGTACTTGGCGATCTGTGTTGTACCGTGGTTTACTGTGTATTTCCGCTTAAAAACGCTTTGAAAACGTTGAAATTTTTTTTGACAGAAAAAATAAAGGGTGCCACGATGACTGTCTTTTAAAAGATAATAATGAAGAGTGTTTTATCATTCTAGGTTTTCATAACGTGTATCCTTCAGAAGTTTCAATTGAAGACATTACACTTCTCCTCTGGCGCATATGCATCACCAATTTTGCAGTTAAACGCTTCCTTGAAGGCCGCTGAATTCTGAAGCGCGCCTTTGATTCGGAGTTTGCCAATCATATGCTCGTCCAGTTTGTCAAATTGTTCTGGATCAAACTCACCGCAAAACTTTTTTGTAAAGGAGATAAAAAAGAGTTGATCGTGGGTTAACGATGACAAATCGCCTGGCATCCGAGGCTCTTCTCCGTTCCTGGCAATAAAGTTTTTGTAGGCCAAGTAAGCGGCGTGCATTCCTGAAAAAGAAAGATTGCAAAAAAAAACATAATATGTATAGGTCACTTCTTGAAGGCAAGTCAAAAATACTCATTGTCAAAGGCGTCAAATAATATGCGCTACAAATTTTCGGGTCCAACGATACTATTGATCGTGTCATTTTGTCGTTGTATGCCTGGCTAGGAGAAGGCTTAGTTATATAGTAGAAATAATGAGATTGATCGGGTCGTAGGATAGCTTATCACCTATTTTGAGGCATTTTTCATCTGCTCACATCAATAATATCTATAGATAAAAGTTACGGATCCTCGTTTTTTTGCGCAAATTTTGGTTTTTTATATGTTACAATAACTTAGGGTAAAGAAATCTAACGTTAATGACAGCTACATAAGCTTAGAAAGTGGAGATATTGGAGGTCCTTGCCTAGACACCGCGGAGCCTTCGCCAAGCGCCCGCCGACCATCTAACGGCCAGCACTTCCCACAATCATTTTTTAGGATATTCACCACTTTTTTGGAAATTTTGTGTTGACCCAAATTGTCGTCGTCGACCAAAAAAGACGCGACGCATAAAAAAACAAATTTTAAGTCACCCTACCTCCATTATCAGCCATGTTTTCGTTTTCACTGTACTCCGGATTGGTCTCCAAATCCTCCTCATCCACGAGTCTTCCATACTGTCTATTGATGCATCTGCTCAGTTTTTGCAGATACTTTTTACTACGTTTACTGAGCCATGGGCTCACATCGCCATTCTCATCGAACTGAACCCCATTTTTGTCGAATGAATGTGTGATTTCATGGCCAATTATTGAGCCCAGACTTCCGAAATTTATCGACGCCGGTAGATGAGGTAGAAAGAAGGGCATCTCAAGGAGCGTTGGGGTAATTGTCATCGAATTATAGCGTCGTGGATGGCCTCCAAACGGGTAAATTAGAGCGAGAGGACGCGGAGTTTTTGGCCTGTTTTTCCGAAGCAATTCCTCTTTTGCCATGTAGAATTGCAAAATGTTAAGCTTTTCTATTTCATCGGAGTAAGTGAAGCCATCAGTCAGGTTGAAATAAGCGTATTCGTTGTTCAGTTGAGTGTCGTTGTAGAGATAAGACTCAACGGCAATGTCAAGGGTCAGATGGTCAAGTTTTAGGCTGGCTTTGGCTTTTTCGGAGACGCTCCAGGGAAGTCGCGAGATTTGTTGCTAAAAAAGGATTGTTAGACATTTTGAGTCAACGACAGTTCGGGTCGACGATACTTTGGTCGCCTATATTCGTCATTGTATGGGGGAGGCTAGACGAAAGCTTGGTTGATAAAAATAGTAATATCTATCATGTTCTAGGACAGTGTATCATCTATTTTGAGGTATTTTCCATGCATTACAGCAGTAATATTTAGATTAAAAGTACTGATCTTCGTTTTTTAGTCAAGATTTTGGTACTTTCTATGTTACAATAGCTCAGGGTAAAGAAAACTAATGTTAGTAATATTATAGCTAAAATTAAAAAAGTGGACCTGTTGCAAGCCTTCGCCAGGTCTCCGCCGAGCCTTTGCCGAGCGTCCGCCGACCAACCAGCGGCTTTTCCAGGCCTCGTAGGCACTTCCTACAACCTTTTTTTGGGTATTCCCCTACCCTACGCCCCGCACGGCAACCCAGGGAGTCTCCCGCCTCGTTTCGGCGCTTCGCCCACCTAGTATCGGTTGAATTCAAACGAAATGTCAAAAATGAATTTTCGTGTGGTTTTCCGACCGAAAAATATTTTTCTCGGAATTATTTTATTTCTTTTGTGAATTTTGACACTTCGTTTGGACGAAATTCAAAAGTGGGCGGGAGACATTTTTGTTCTATTTTGGGTTGCCGTGCCCCGTACCGATCGATTTTGCGTTGACACGAACTGCAGTCGACTCAAAAAGTATGGATTTTTTGAGGTTTTGAAAATCAAGACAGGCTTGTAGAACGGTCAAAAAATCATCGTTATGGATAGCTTTTGTGGTATGGGAGTTCTCAGAGCTTTTACTCCATTACATATCCTTTTTTGTTATATTCTATGAACCAACCCCGTATTTTACTATAAACTTACCCGAAAAGCCTCCGCGATTTTTCTGACCATTTCCTTCGCATGATCAATCTTATCCATTCTCTCATCTTTGTCCGGTAAATACAGATCATAGTACATCCGAAAAGTGATCAATTCAAATGTGTCGAACAACTCTCGGCTGCAGTTCTTTCTGGCTTCGACTTCCATCGGTTTTGTGATGTTTTTTGTCTCGCCAGAAGCTATTTTCACATCATCAATAAGTCCACTGAATTCCTCAACGAATTTGAAATAAATGTAATTGTAGATTGTCGAAGCGTCAACCTCATCGCCGGCCAAGAACTTGGCCAAACGTGCGGTCTGTTTTGCTTTTTGGACAGTGATTTTGAAGTCCGGAGAACTAAGACGCGCTTGGATTTCCGTTGAGGCGTCTTCAGCATATTGGTTGACGAAGTGAGTGTAGTTGATAAAGCCTACTTTTTCGGTGGCTTCGTCGGGAGTGAAGAGCTTGAAGACCCTGGAAATTTGAGGGATATTAGCTATATATTGTTGAGGAAAAAGCGTTTACTTTAAAAAAATCGATAAAGTAAACTACGGTTGCCCTTTGGTATCCCGTCGTCTCCTACAAAGCTCTTCGGTTTGCAAGGCTGCGGCTAAAGTTAAACGGCAAAGGCTGCGCTCGAAGCCCCGGGATACGAAACTCGCCTTGAAGGAAGTATTTTACAAATGAAGAGAAACCAGAAAGCCGCAGCTAATCTCAATTGCCGAAAAGTTGAAAAAAGGCGCATGGAAAGCGGTATGACAGGAACACGGTTTTGGCCCTTTCGAAATCATATGAATTTCTAGAACTTTGAGTCATAAAATTTCGGATATTGCAGAGAAGCGATGACGGCCAGAGTTAGCAATCTCCCAGCTGAAGCAAAAGCGGCCCAGCTCTTCGTACTTAAAGACTCACTCATTATATTCAATCGAGTTCATCGTGTTCTCCATGACCTCTTCGGCAATTCTCTTTTCCATTTCCAAGATTTTTTCTATTTGCTCATCCACATTGTCCTCATCTATTTTAGCATCAAACAAAGACGTCAATATGTCCACCTTCTCCCACAAATCATCCTTCAGCTCTTTCTTTTTCGCCTCCCATTCTTCTCGATAGTAATATGGGTCCAAAGACAAGGAAATCTCCGAAAACTCCAAGGTTTTTACAAACTTTTTCGGCTTTTGTTGAATGTCGCTGACACTTGCTTGAGAGAAAATATTGACGCCAAAAGGCATCAGCCACAGGATAATCTCAGCCAACTTCTCTGGGCTGGGTTTTTCATCAACGTTTTCGTCGCGAAACAAGGGGAAATCAACTCCAACCACGTCTTGGAAGCTTTCGTAACGAACGAGAAATTTGGTACCATTGTAATCATTGGGGTCTGGATGTAACTTATCGGCGATGCATTTTTGTCGAAGCAATTTGAGCTTGCCATAGGCGCCCGTATCCTGTAATAAGACGTAATAAAAGTAATCTTAGGTTAGAAATTTTTATGTGGCCAATAAAAACGGGATTTTGTTCTCCCATCTTACCGGCAAATTCTCCATTGGCCCATCGATAATTTCTTTCCTGACCCGAATAAAAATATCTTTCCAGCTCTCATGCTGTTTGTCGCATACATACTCGTAAAATTCAGAGCAAGGTTGTCGGCTGGTATTAAGCTTTTGAAGAACAGACGAAGCATATATGCTATAGTCGCTATAGCGAACGTCATCCTTCCGAATAACGTTGAGCTTTGAATCCTCGGGGATGGGATACACGCCGCTGGAATGCTCTTTCGCTGCGTTGACTTCATAATTCGGCTGACGGGCCACTGAAATGATTTAGCGTTACTTGGAATGTCTGACAAGTCTACCTTATGAATTCACTTCTAATTGTCCAATTTCAGCAAAAGCGACATTTTATACGATGAAACATATTCCATCGTATAAAATGTCATGAAACTATGATGCTTAAAATTACTGTAAGTTCTGACAAGTCTACCTAATTATTTCACTTCTAGTTGTCCAATTTCAGCAAAGGCGACATTTTATACGATTAAACATGTTCCATCGTATAAAATGTCACCTAAACAGTGATGTTAAAAATTAATGTAAAGTCTGACAAGTGTTCCTAATGATTTCACTTCTAATTGTCCAATTTCTTCAAAAGCGACATTTTATACGATGAAACATGTTCCATCGTATAAAATGTCTCTTTGGATTCCGCGAACTTCAGATTTCCAGAAGCTCCTACGGTAAGATAAAGGTCCATGCACTTACAGCAACACTCTCCACACACAACCAACAGGAATGTAGTAAAAAATTTGACCTTTGCTCCGTTCATTATCAACGATTCCAAGAACACAAAGATCAAAGCTTTTCAAACTTCAAGTTTCCTTTTATAATCAACCAAATGACCGGCCGTAAACAATGATTAAAATTCTTAATTGCAAGTTAAAATTTTACCACAAGCGTGATTTCAACGGTGTTCGATCAATAGTACATATAATTACATTTTGTTACCCATTGAGTTCAATGACTCAAATTGATGTCCAATCAGTTCAAATTTATTTTTAAAACATCTCATTTTTAATGTCATCGCTGACTCGACGCTTCGCTTCCACTCTCTTCCTCCTCAATTCTTCTATCCAAAAACCTCGGATCTTCAATCAATTTCCGTCTCATTGTCTCCGCGAATTCCAACAATCTCTCCGAATACCATTTCTTCTTGTTCTTCTCGAATGGCGCTGTGAAAACGTTAGTCTTTGTGTCAATGGAATCCGGATAAAATGCGTAGAGAATGAGGAAAAGGAGGAGAACCACCCCTTCCCTGGGGGCATTCACATCCAAGTGACGGTATGGGCAGGTGGGGAAATGCTGGAAAAAAGAGAAAAAAGTCAAAATTAAAGGGAAAAAATATCAAAAATCAAAAAAAATTTTTTTTTCGATTTTTTTTTTCAACTCAGATTTTCTTTAAATTTTGCACACACGTCAGGCATAGCCCGGATATCAATTCCTGAAAGTTTTAGCTCACGCTTTGCAGCCGCAGCCGAGATATTGAACGATCTTTGTGGCCGAGAGAGTACGGAAAACGCGGAGAGCGGTCAGACAAAAACTTGGTTTCGCTATAACTTTGCTAGTTTCGCGGGGAAAACATTGATTTTTTGTAGAAACATTATTCTCTCCGGTAGAAAGAAGTGTAAAATTTTTCATGTAAAAATTCTCAAAAAAAAATGTCACATTATTGCCAACTTTTGATCTAAAAATCTCGGTCATTTTCGCAAATCGCGAGCTAGGACTCTCGCATATGTCTTTTTAAACACTAAAAAAAACTTCAAAACCCCTTTTTTATGATCCCAATTATTGCCATTCCATCGGAAAGGCTTTCAGAGCAAGACGCGCGCATCGGTTCCATGGTGTAGCGGTTAGCACTCAGGACTTTGAATCCTGCGACCCGAGTTCGAATCTCGGTGGGACCTAAGCCCAAACTTTTTGAATTTTATTGTAAAAGGTTATTGGAAACTTGTAGTAAACCATTTTTGTTACCGCTAAGATTAATCTGTCTCTGTTTTACATCAAATGAATAACATTTTTTGCGAAAAAATTGGGGAAAAAAGACTTTTTTAGTTAAAAAAGTATCAAAAGGTATCAAAAAGCCTCCAAATAAAAACAAAATTTACCTGAATCAAGACAGCAAGATCCGCATGATCATAAATAATCTTTGGAAAAGGGAACGGTTGATGTAATTCCTCCCAAATTCTCATCATTTCTCTTCCATCCACCGATTCCAAATATTTTTTCCTTAAATTTTTCTCAAAGCTCTCCCTCAGATCGGTCCAAACCTTCCGTTTCCAGGAGAAAAGCAAAGTCCGGAATTTGTAATCCACAATGAAACGGAAATTCGGCGATTCCAAGTCATCATCCAGAGAGACCAGAAGGGATCGGACTAAAGATGCCCTCAGGGCACCACCGGAGTTCACTTCGGCGTACAAATCTTTGTTGAAGGCCTCTTCAGCTTGGAGATTCTTGTCCTGAAAAATAAGGCTAAATCTTTTTGAAATTTTTGTTTTTTTGAAGATTATATTATTTTAGGCATCTAAAATAATATAGCTCCAAAAAATGTGTTTATGTTCCTTTTTCTGCTTCCAAATTTTCTCTAAATAATCTTCAATCATACCTTAAGAACTGCCATAGTCCCTCGAACAAACAACTTACATTCAACTGCCCCCAGGGCGGCCTGCAATTGCTCCTTGTCATAGTAGCGCCCAATTCCTTTCGATGCCAAAGCAAAGTAATCGTCGCTGAAAAAATGTTCAAAACATACTTCAAATCACCAATCAGGACCTCAAATCTCACTTCAAAAAAATTCGCACTTTTCAACGCCCGCGGGCTTGGGTCTGGAGAACATTATATCCGTGAACATCATTTTCTCCAATAACCCAAAGTTTTCGCCTTTTTTCAGATCAAAAATCAAATTCGGGTAGGGGATGAACCACTCGCTGATCCCACTATGACCACAAAGAACACTTTTGACGGCCGAACTTTGCGGAATAATTCGCGCAAGCCATGGCATTTGATTGAAAACCAAGTGGAACAGCTCGAAGAAGCCATCGCCAAGTTCGAGGCACTGAAAACAACTTAAAAATAAACTGTAAAATCATCAAAACATTCGTTGTTAGTCTTTTTTCTCTACATTCAATCAATTTTCATCGATTTTTTCGATGAAATTTTTGAATTTTCGTGTTCCCGCAATTTTTGGCATTCTGTTTCAGGCCTTCAAAAATGATTGGAAATGGCTGGAATTGATAGCCAAAGGGTTTCAATTTGGTCACTAAGACTTTTTAGACATTTTCATTTGGTTGCAACAGAATGCCACCAATTTCAAAATTTGGCGGGAATTTTTATTTTTGAATTTTCAGATTGCCAACTTTGAGTTAAAAAAGGGGTAAAAATAAATTTTAGGGTCACTAAAAGCTCTTAGAGCTGTTACAGCGTATTCTAGACTTTAAATTCGCCAAAAAATCCAATAATTTATATTATCCATAACATATGATATCTTTCCATTCAAAAATCCGCCTCTTACCTCTTTATAAAACGTTCCTTTTACGGCTACTTCGTCGTTACATTCATGCCTCCCTCTGAGCAGCATGATGTCTTCAGGGAATGCAATTTTGTAGAGCAGTAACATCACCATCACTTCAACTCCATTCTCACCATAATCAATGTAACCGCCGAGGAAAATGTAGCGCGTTGTTGGTGGGGGATCGTTCTTCTCGAACCATCTGAGGAGCTGAGTGAGATTTCCATGAATTTCGGAGCAAACAAGGATCGGTTTCGACTTTTTGAGCGCCACATCAACAACCGTTGGCTCGGCCGAAAAAAGAGCTGCAGCGTGGAGGAGGAGCTGAAATGCCGGGAGGTTTTGGTATTTTTGGAAAGCGCAGAGAATAAGGAATTAGGAAATGGCTCAAATTTTTTAAATAAAAGCGATTTTTTGGTAGAAAATGACGAAAAATTGAAAATTTGACCTTATTTTAGGCAAGAATTTGATGGCATGGTCGATTTTTGGATTGTGTTTTGTCAAAAAGTATCTATTACTACTTAATAAGTTAGAATCTACGATTTAACAGCCTATTCCTGGAATTTAAAAGTCAAAAATGTAAATTTAAACCTTACTTTAGATCCAAAAAAGCGAAACTTCCTTTTTCTGGCCCCAGCGAAAAGAAGGTTTTGCAGCTTCCGCCCGAACAATTCCGGCTGCAAGGAATATCAGGCTTAGGTAGGTTAGGCTTAGTTTAGACTTTGCCTTAGGCTGTTTCCCATTTTTATTCGCAGTCTGTAAGGAACCAGAGCTGCGAAGCTTGCGCTCCGGGCCAGAAAAAGGAAGTTTTTCGTCAAAAATTTTTCAGTCTTCCGCCCTTTTCTTCCCAAGCCCCTGAAATTGCTACGAATAAGTTTTCAGGTACTGCAGTCCACTATTAACCCTCTAACTTACCCTTTTCAACTTTTGAGGCCCTAGAAATTCGCTCAGATTCCCTTTTCGGAAGCTCTTGGAATAGCTTCCGAGCGCGTAAAAACACTCGAATATCTCATCGGAATTCAGCGGATACAACATTCCATCGTCACTCGAACTCGTCGACATCGCAATGCCGTCGATGAACTGCCGGTTACAAATGAGTGAATATTCAAAATGAAAATTCAAAATTTTTTGTCCTTTGAAGATAAAGTAAGGTCAATTGTAGCCGTAGATGAGAGTTTTTGTGAACGAGATTTGTTGTAAATAGTGGGGAGTTGAATATAATTTTCACAAGTTACGTATTTTACAAAGTAAACTAAGTTTTTCCTCAAATTTTTGACTGTTTTATATTACTCATGACATCTTTCATAGATAATATAAATTTGATATAAAAATCCATGTTTTTATACAAATTTAAAGTTAAAATACGCAGATCCAGAAGTCTTCTATCTAATTCTTTCATCTTCCACCTCCACCTTTTATTTTTCCCGCGAAAATTTCGATTCAAAAAACTAAAATTATTTTTTTTCGTCGAAAACAAAAAATTGTTGTTTTCCCAAATTCGAACGTCGTTTTCAACCTCTAAAACCTTGTATATAGCTCCCACCTTTCAAAAAGTACTTTGGAATGTCAGTTGCGGACGTGGAGAATCCACCGACGAATCTCTATGGCCCTCCGGAACTTTGCTCCGAACTGAAGGAAATAGAACAACATTATCCGGGCGATGTCTCCATCGACTACGCAAAATACGAGTATTTGAAGGATCTGGGAGAAGGTGAGAGTTTACTGGTTGGATTGTTTTGATTTTAGGAGAGAACGTAGGACGAATTTTTTGAGTTCAGCCTTGATCATGGATAAGATAATGTCTTGGCAAATTTAATGGTGAAGGTATTGACCAATTCTTCTGGCTTCTTTAATATACCTCAAACATACCATGCATAAGATATTTTTTGCAAAAATTCAGTGAAGTTTCATTTCGAAGCGGCTGAAATATTGTCCATGAGGTATCCGATGGATAGGATAATTTTTATCTGATTTTCTGCCAAGGAAGCTATCTTTTTATATTCCAAATAGGTTAGACAGCTGCAGAACATCATGGAGAAACTCTGTCGAATCAAATAATCTTGTTTTAAACAATGTTTGATCACATTCTTGCCTTAAACTTATAATTTTATGTCTAAAGTTAGACCGTTTCCAATTTTTTCACGAAAGTTCAATGTAAAAATAGCTCAAATCGTTTATGAAAAGCTAGATCAGGGTCCTGTACACCTATTTACATTTTCCCTCGTCTATTTCCAGGCCAATTTGGAGTAGTAAAGCTCAAATACAGCACTGAGAATCCTAATGAAAACGTTGCTGTAAAAACCCTGAAAATTGATGGAAATCCCCAACTTCTCCGAAAATTGGCGTCAGAATTGGCTATACTGATGTTGGTACGACGACATCCCAATATTGTCTCATTGAAAGGGCGAAGAGGCTCTCCGGCATTGCCATTCTACGAGATCTACCTGGAATATTGTGATGGAGGAGAACTTTTCGATAGAATCGGTAAGTGTTTGACGATTTGGCTTCTGTGTTTAGATTGCAAAAGATGCGTGATGTGTGGTAAAACGTGTTTTGTCAAATACGATCGCGCTATTTGTGGTTTACAAAGTTATTTTGCAAATTTTTATCAGCTGGGTCATGGAGAATATAATTTTTGAGCGGCTCCCCGTTTTTTCGCTGTTTTATAAAAAGTGACGCATGTTAACATATAGAACAGAGTATTTTGACAGTAATGTTAAATTTTTAGAGCCAGAAATTGGTATGGAATTTGATGACGCCAAATTTTTCTTTATGCAATTGGTCCAAGCGTTGGACTACATTCACTCCAAAGGAATCTGCCATCGCGATATCAAGCCTGAGAACATTCTGCTCACTTCAAGAGGTAAAAATGACAAAATTTTTTTATATTGTTCATGATGACTTGTCATGGATAATATAAAAATTGTTCAAATGTTTAGTTATTTTGTTGTAAATAGGAAATCGAGGGCTGTTTATAATCATATGTGGCCAGAAAATTGGTGTCAAATACCTTTTTGATATTGTACTAGGCCCGTTTTTCAGATATCGTCAAATTGAGTGATTTTGGATTGGCAACTATATATAAAACCGCTGGAAAAGAGAGAATATTGACTCAGGTCTGTGGAACACCTCAGTATGCTGCTCCAGAGGTTCTTGTCGAACAGAAATACAGGTTAGTTGTCTAGTACAATATAAATTATGTCTGGAAAACTGCGGGTTTATACTTAAAATGAGGAAAACAAATGGTGTAAGACAATTATTCATTGTTTGAACATTCATTTTTATTTTTAAAATACGATATAACAAAGATTTTTTCTTTTAGAGGTCCACCGGCCGATATCTGGTCAGCCGGAGTAACAATGCTGGTCGCATTAACGGGAATCATGCCTTGGGAGTACCCCAGTGCCGAATCGCACACATTCAAAGAGTTTGCAATCGAGAAAAAACTCACTGGCCCACCATTCAACAAACTGGACATTGATACCTTGAGTAAGATCATTTTTTCGTTTTTTTTTTCTTATGTTTAGAGCTGAAGTGGCATGTTTTACAAGTCTGTTTTGATATTACAACAATTCACGGTGGTTTTTATTATGAATTCCGAAGTTTTTTTTATTTTTTTCCACTTGGATTCGAACCAGCGCCAAAATTTTTTGAAATTCTTATTTCCATTTCACCATGCGAGTACATTGGACAAAAGTCGTTGTAAATTGTAAAATACGACAAATGCTTTAAATGCGTTTAGTTTTACAGCCGGAAATTGATTTCAATTAAATTTTTCGGACCTTGTTTTAGTCTTCCTCCAGTCCCTCATCACGATGGATGTGGAAAAACGCACAACGATCGAAAAGATTAAGGAAAGCCGATGGTTCACGACCGATCCAGGCCGACGGTCGCCGAATCCAATGGCCGCTGATACGAATGATTCATCCGCAGCCACTCAGCCGGCTCAGTCGAGGAAGTCCATGTACGATCAATCGCTGTCGCAGCTGGAAAGAGCATTGTAAGTGGGGAGTTTTTTTGGGTTTATTGGAAAGTTTTGAGCATTTGGGTCATTCAGAATGGCATAGTTTTGATTTTGCAACTTGTTTTGGTTTTTTGAAATCGGCGAGCTGCGCCCTAAGTTTGAGTGAAAACGAAGGTTTTACGTGTCGGAAATAAGAGAATATGGTAAATAATGAAGATACACGCTGTAATTATTGTAAATTTTTGAATTTTAGCGTTTTTTCAAGATTTTTTCTTGGCAGACTGCGCCCTAAGTTTGACAAAAAAAGGAAGATTTTACGTAGCGGAAATAATAGAGTATGATAAATAATGAAGCTACATGCTGTAATTATTATAAATTTTTGAATTCTAGCTTTTCTTTCAAGAGTTTTTGTTGGCAGACTGCGCCCTAAGTTTGACTGAAAACGAGGATTTTACGTAGCGGAAATAAGAGAATATGGTAAATAATGAAGCTACATGCTGTAATTATTGTAAATTTTTGAATATTAGTTTTTCTTTGAAAAGTTTTTGTTGGCAGGCTGCGCCCTAAGTTTGACTGAAAACGAAGATTTTACATAGCGGAAATAATAGAGTATGGTAAAAATGAAGCTAAATGCTGTAATCATTTCAAATTTTTTGAATTTTAGCTTTTATTTCGAGAGCTTTTGTTGGCGAGCTGCGCCCTAGCTTTTTTAAAAAATGAGGGATTTGAAGTTTGAAAAGTTTAAAACACGATTTTTGAGTCAGGGCACCAGCGGTGGTCTTACAAGGAAAGTACTTCTATGGGGTGTGGAGTTACAGGTCGAGATATATATCAAAAAATTCGCAAAAATTTTCTGATTCAGAATGTATAAAAATTAGCTGCCTAATTTTGGTTTGATGACATGTTTTTGTCCTCAGAAGTTTTCTCGCGACACCATGCAAGTGTCTTTTTGACCGTGTTTTTACCAATAAAAAAGTTTTGTTTTGTGTTAAAATAAATTCTGAGGCCTTGGCAAGCCTTAAAATATCAAATTGGATTACAACTACACCTTAAAAGTAGTTCCAACCTAAAAAATGGGTTCTAGTGTGGCAAAAAGAACCGAACCCGTCCCCCTTGGATTTCCAATCTAGCGCTCTAACCACTCGGCCACACCGCTCTCTTCCGAAGGAAGAGACCGAGCGCGCTTTTGTTGCCGCAGATTTTTTCCTCGAGAAATACATTTATTGATAAAACTCGTTGATAGACCAAAATTAGGCAGCTAATTTTTATATATTCTGAATCAGAAAATTTTTTCGAATTTTTTGATATATATCTCGACCTGTAACTCCACACCCCATAGAAGTACTTTCCTTGTTAGAAAAAAATCGATTTTGAGATTTTTGGCTTAAAATAGTCGGTAGCACTTGTGGAAGAAAAGCTAAAAATATTTTTGTCCAATTTTGCCCGGAAGGCATATTTTTTTACAAAATACGTTTTTACACTTCAAAGCCTCTGGAGGCCGATGTGATCCGACCACAGAGATCAAACCTGGCATACAGGGGTTTTTGACACCCTGGAATCTGAAAATCGTAGCATTTTTACCGTCAGATTACTGTAACATGGTCATACTATAAACCGGTCGACAAAAATCGACGATAACTTCTTTAGATCAAAAATGCCACAGGATTTTATTGCAGATTCGGAATCAGCATAAAATTCTGCTTCGGATACATGTAAAATATGTTCAAAATTCCGTGGCCCAACGTCTGTAGTATAGTGGTTGTGCGCCAGGATTATCAATCTGGCGACCCAGGTTCGATTCCCGGTGGCTGCAAATGGCAGAAAATGGACTATAAAAGGGCGGAAACTTGGAAAAAAGGGAAAATAAATTACAGAAAATTAATTTTATGCTACTTAGGACCAGTTTAAAAGTTTTTGCAAGAATTACGCATAAATTACGGTTTTTATGGAAAACGCCTTATAGCTTGCCGGAAAGTGGAGCAATCTGGTTAAAATTTATAGAAGAGGTTACTGAGGCTTCCTACTACAAAATAAGTCCATTTCTGCTTATTTCGTTAAATTTTTGGGATAGCCTGGATTTTCTTTCAAATTCGGGATTTTAAGAAGGCGAGCTGCGGCCGAGGTTTATTGAACGGAACAATATTTGACCAAAAAGTCATATAAGATTCACAAAAAGTCATATAAGATTCCCTAACAGCACCGGGATCACACAGCTTGCAAAACTTAGGCCGTCTTGCGTATCCCACGAAAAACGGAGCGCGTGGACGCTCTAATGATAAATCTACATGAAGACTCAGTTGATAAGGAACAGAGGCTAAATTACGGGACTGTAACATGCGTGCTTCCTTCTGAAAACCAAATAATTGTTTTATTTTGTTTTGTATTACATTCCTCGACGGATTTGAAGAATATTGCATAGCAAGCGTTATCTAGATTCACCACAACTCTTTAGTTGCCATTTGGGGCGATCTTACGAATGCTGTGAGGCGTTTTCCATAAAAACCGTAATTTATGCGGAATTCTTGCAAAAACTTTTAAACTGCTCCTAAGTAGCATAAAATTAATTTTCTGTAATTTATTTTCCCTTTTTTCCAAGTTTCCGCCCTTTTATAGTCCATTTTCTGCCATTTGCAGCCACCGGGAATCGAACCTGGGTCGCCAGATTGATAATCCTGGCGCACAACCACTATACTACAGACGTTGGGCCACGGAATTTTGAACATATTTTACATGTATCCGAAGCAGAATTTTATGCTGATTCCGAATCTGCAATAAAATCCTGTGGCATTTTTGATCTAAAGAAGTTATCGTCGATTTTTGTCGACCGGTTTATAGTATGACCATGTTACAGTAATCTGACGGTAAAAATGCTACGATTTTCAGATTCCAGGGTGTCAAAAACCCCTGTATGCCAGGTTTGATCTCTGTGGTCGGATCACATCGGCCTCCAGAGGCTTTGAAGTGTAAAAACGTATTTTGTAAAAAAATATGCCTTCCGGGCAAAATTGGGCAAAAATATTTTTAGCTTTTCTTCCACAAGTGCTACCGACTATTTTAAGCCAAAAATCTCAAAATTGATTTTTTCCTAACAAGGAAAGTACTTCTATGGGGTGTGGAGTTACAGGTCGAGTCATATATCAAAAAATTCGCAAAATTTCTCTGATTCTGAATATGTAAAAATTAGCTGCCTAATTTTGGTTTGTAAGGGTAAAAAAACCCTCGGAACTTTTCTCGAAACACCACGCAAATGCCTTTTTGACAAAGTTTTTACCAAATCAAAAGCTTGCTTTTGAGTTAAAGTAAACTCTGGTATCTTTACAAGCCTTAAAATATCGCATTTAATTTATACTACACCTTAATTAGTAGTTGCAATGTAAAAAAGGCGCATTTTCATGGTGTTGCGAGAAAAGTTCAGAGGATTTTTTCACCCTTACAAACAAAAATTAGGCAGCTAATTTTTACATATTCAGAATCAGAAAAATTTTGCGAATTTTTTGATATATGACTCGACCTGTAACTCCACACCCCATAGAAGTACTTTCCTTGTAAGACCGGGCCCCACTACTGGCTGACGCAGTGACTCAAAAATCGTGTTTTAAAATTGAATGAAAATGGGTTTAATGGATTGCGTGATGGGGCAGAATAAAATATTTTTATTTTCAGCGATGCGGACCGACCAAAATACGCCTTCTCACAGCCCTTGGAAAACGAGCTTTTATTGTTCTCGCAGGCCCATATTGGAGCTTCTCAAGCCACTGTTTTTGTAAGTGTGGACTTGTCATTGTGTTTCACAACGTATTTGATAATTTTTAAAAAATTTTGAGCTAGATTTTTGAGCAATTTTTTATTGGCCCACCTAGTGTAATATAAATTAAATTTTAGCATCCTTTGCACAGTTTCGCCCGAAGAATGACCCGGTTTTGTGCTGAGGACACAATTGACGAATTGGTCTGTCGAATTGAGGAGGCGTGCGCCACGTTGGGATACTCAACTTCAGTCCAACAGTCACATCAGATCTTGGTGATGACAACTTATGGCCGAAGAACGGTCCATTTTGTGATTCAAATATTCGAAGTCAGAGGTGGAAAGCTGTTGGTGGATGTGAGAAGGTGGGGCTTGGAGATTTGGGAGATGAAAAATGGATTTTTTGGGGGAAATTGGAGAAAATTGAGGAATTATGTTGTTTTAGGTTGAAATATGGGGTTTTTGGTGTGAAAAAGGTTCTAAAAAAGTTCATAATGGCCTTTTATAGATTTTTAAGGACATTTTCTTATTGAAAGATTATTTTATTATTTTAAAAATCAAGTATTTTGAGATTTTTTGTCCAAAAATTCTCGATTTTGAGGGAAAATTAAAATTTTTTTTGTGTAAAGTAATATAATTTTTGACTCGATGGCATGCAGGATTTTTTTTTATAAGCCATGACTTCTTTTTTGACTACAAAACTACAAAAAAGCAAGATTTTTTAATTAAAATTAGAATTTTATTACCTAAAATAATATAATTGCTCATTTCTCCCATTTTTTTAGATCAAGAGGTCTCGGAATGGACTTCAAAAACGTCTACAAGGCCTTCAGATCCGCGATTGATCCCTTTGTCCTGGCCGAATCGGACACATGGCTCAAAGAACTGGGTTTAATCCCGGAAACCCCCAAATCCGCCCCATTCGCCTCGAGCAACGGACCTCTAAAGGCGTCCAATAGCAGCGCTGTAAATTGTAATTGATAATACAGGGTAAAATACGATTGGGTTAAATAAGTGCACGTTATTTACGTTACCTCTCAAAAAATTATGATGAATATTTTGAAATTTTGTACTTGGTGTATGATACAAAAAAATAAGATTGGTTATAACTTTTTATATACCTCTATGTTGAAAGAAAAATATTTAAAAATGAGCCCGGAGATGTGCGAGGCATGAAAATTAGAAAATTTTTGGGGTAGAATACCCCGAATAAATGATGAGTTTTTATCAGTCTGTCGGAAAAATAATGGTCGCAATGTCGCATTGGAAATGGCTGCCGAGAAAATGAATTTTACAGCTCCAAATTTCGGTCACTAGTTTTACCTATCCGTCTGTCGGGAAAATAATGTCGATTTATCGTAGTATAAAATGCCAAACATGGCCCTGAAATGCCCAATCGCTTATCACGCAAAGCGATGATAAGCGATTCTGAGGCATGAAAAACCCTCATTATTTTTTCCGACGGATTGATAAATAAACCTTTGTGAAATGCCTTATAAATTCAATTGATGTTCTATCAGTCTGTCGGGAAAATAATGAGCACAACGGCGCTCTCGCCGATCCAGTCGCTGAGGAAAAGAAATTGGATTTTGACACGAAAAAAAATCATTTTCTCGGCGGCGATTCGATTTTCGAAGCGACAGAGTGCTCATTATTTTCCCGACAAACTGATATTGCACTAGAATTTGAGATTAAAAATTTTGAAGACCTCCCATTTGCGTGAAGGATAGGGATTTAGCGACCGCGACGAATAAATTATTAGCTTGTCTTTTTGACCAGTCTTTAGCTGGCTCAAAGCGAGGAATTTTTTTGCGCTAGAATGTCTCAAAGTTTCAGTCGAGCGGAGGTTTCGAAACACAACAAAGAAGACGATTTGTGGCTGATTTTTAACGGCAAGGTAACGATTTTACTTTTTAAAATACGCATTTTTGGTTATCGTTCAGTTTGGTTGTAGATATATACCCTAATAGACTAAATTTAATGTTTCTCAGGTGTATGATTTGACGTCCTATTACAAGCAGCATCCGGGTGGCGAGGCTATGTTGAAGAGAGCCGGAAAAGTAAGTTTTTTTGATTACCGTTTGTGTTTTGTAATTCTAAAGTACGTTTGTTTCCGAAAGAAAAAGATTTATAACTGAGCCCTGTGATGTGCGAGGTATGAAAATTAGAAAAAGTTTGGGGTGAAATACGCTGAATAAATGACGATTTTTTATCAGACTGCCGGGAAAATAATGAGCACAATTTCGGTGCGGCGATCATGTCGCTGAAGTGAAAAGAAATTTGATATTGCCGCGACACAATTCAGTTTCTCCGCCGTGATGCGATTTTCGGTTCAACAGAGGGTTCATTATTTCCCGACAGACCGATAGCACCTCCCTTCTGAATTCAACTCACTCTAAATCCATCCAAAATGTACTCAGTCACCTCCTTGACCGCCGCCAATTTCCGATCTCTTTTTTTCTTTTCTAGGCAGTCTTGTTTCCATACAAACGCAATCGATTAGATTTCTAAAATACGAAATTACCTTCAGTTGCAACTTGCAAGGCACATTTGAATTTGGCCTGTTCTTCGACAGGCACTTCGGCCAACATGAGATTCAACTTTTTCTCTTTATCTCTAAGTCTTTTCGGTAGAATATCGCTGCGCCGATGGGGTCGCTAAATTTGAAAACAATTTTATTTTGCTGCGACACAATTCATTTTCTCGGCGGCCATGCGATTTTCGAAGCGACAGATTGCTCATTATTTTTCCGACAGACTGGAGATGAAGAGAAAAAGCCGAGTCTCAGTTTGGCCGAAGTGCCTGCCGCAGAACAAGCCATAAAAAATTCAGGCCAAATTCAAATGTGCCTTGCAACTGAAATGAATTCCGTATTTTAGGAATCTAATCGATCGCGTTTGTATGGAAACAAGGCTGCCTAATAAAGAAAACAGAGATCGGAAATTGGCAGCGATCAAGGGGCTGGCTGAGTACATTTTAGATGGATTTAGAGTGAGTTGAATTCAGAAGGGATGTGTTACCAGTCTGTCGGGAAAATAATGAGCTCTCTGTCACATCGAAAATCGCATCGCCGCCGAGAAAATGGATTGTGTCGCGGCAAAATCAAATTGCTTTTCACTTCAGCGACTGGATCGGCAAGAGCGCCGTTGTGCTCATTATTTTCCCGACAGACTGATATTATTTCAGGACGTATCGATGGTCTTGGAGAACGTTGCTGCACATGGCTTCGCCCTACAGTTTATTCATAAAAAGTTGGGCGAACTTTATATCGGCGACCTTGTATGAAAACTTTTTTATTTTCAATCCTTTTATTATCTATTTTTATGATAGCTTACACGTAGAGTCGAGGTATTTGAATAAATTAAAAATTTCAAGGCCCTTCAGAAGAGGGGGAATCCCGCTGAAAGGCACAAGATAGGAGCCCGTTTTCTTTGTCATCAATATGTTATCCATTCCGGCTGTTTAGGCTATGACGCGTCGCTGAAACAAAAAAAATGTTATGTTGTGAAAAAAACCGGCAAGAATTATTTTTACAATACTTTGGAAAAAAACGAAAAGAACTTGCAAATAAGCCTCAATCATTTTGTTTTGCGTCGCATGGTTCATCTTCTCGAACTCGTTGGGATCGCGCGCCAGCAGCATCCCCAGAATCGCGAGGCCGACTTGGATGAGGAACAGGCCATAGTACTAAAAAGTGTTGGGTTTATGATGACAATTACATATGTTTGTCGGGAAAATAATGAGCACAATTTTGGATCGCGTCGCTGAATTTAAAAAAAAGCAATTCGATTTTGCCACGACACAATTCATTTTCGACGACAATGGTATTTTCAATGCGACAGTGCTCATTATTTTCCCGACGAACTGATAGTTCCAATTTATATACGGGTTTTTAGGTGATTATTGCCTCTTGCCTAGAAACTACCCGCTCATAAAGGTTAAGGTGATATTGTAAGCCGTCAATTTATCGGTAGCATCGTCACAGTGACGGACCTCATCCATTGGCAAAAAACGTACCATTCTGGATCCGGGAAGTATCAAAAAATATGGTTTGAGATCGCAGTTTTTTCACTTGGAGAGGGAGGCATTTTGCTACATTTTTGATACTTCCCGGATGAAAAATGGTAGGTTTTTTGCCACTGGATCAGCTCCCCCAGTGTAGCAACCCTAGGCAAAAGTTTGTGTTGAGAAATACACTTACCTTCATTACAAGCAGGAAAGCCACTATCGAGACTAGGCTGGCTCCGGCCATTTTGCCCTCTGAAATCGTTCCAGCATAATAAAAAGATCGGAGGAATTGATTCAGAAGAAACATGTAGCGACAGATCAAGTTTGATACGGAAGGTTACCAAAAAAATTTGGAATTTTAACGCCTTTATTCGAATTTAACTGTAACGGTTTCAAAGTCCACGTAGAAATTAGTCCGTCTCGACGGGAAAACAATCACAGTTGGGCCATTGTGTTGGCGAACCTCGAACTTTAAGTTTACAGTAAAAGTAGAGTCAGTTCGAAGACAAATAGCCTTGAAAGGTATAGCGAAAAGAGGTCAATCTGTCGGGAAAATAATGAGAATTCTGTCGCGTCGAAAATCGCATCATCGCCGAGAAAATGAATAGTGTCGCGACAAAATCAAATTGCTTTTCACTTCAGCGACTGGATCGGCGAGAGAGAACTTGTGCTCATTATTTTCCCGACAGGCTGACACACCCCGTTACGAAAGCAAGCCTATCCCATGGAAAATTGCAGAATCTAAGGTTTGGTAAGAGGTATAAAAAAACTGCTAATGCCATTCGAAAGAGCATGTCGAAAAACCTATCACAGTATGTAAAAATAAGCGGGTTAAAAAAATTTTGGTCAGTTTGGCAACTATTTTAGTTTTCTTGACCGTTTCAACAGTGTGCCTTCCCCGACGATTTTTGGGCCAATCTGGCTCGGATTTTGGACCTACTCCCATTTTATTTCATGGTATTCTCTAACATTGGACTCATTATTTTCCCGACAGGCTGATAAACAGACGACATGCCGTTAATTGTGCGATGAAAACCCGCGTTTTTACGCGTGTCATCGGCGACAAAATTCTACGGTCTTTAAACATGTACAGCAAGTAGTGAGTAGGTCAATTTTGGCCGAAAAATTTGTCCTAGGGACCTCAAAATTTGCTTCTTACAAAAGTGTTTTGTTGTATATAAATTCGCTTTATGGATGGTAAATTCTTGGAAAAAGAATAAAATTTTGAAATTTTCAAATTTAAGAGACCTATATAACAAATTACATATCCTGAATTACCTTTTAAAAGTCCCGTTTCCCCGTCAAAATAAACAGAACTGTTGAAAAAACACACACCAAAGCGAATAAGGCGAGGAGAAAGGTTCGAAAAAGGAAAGTGAAAACGATTTCTCTTTGTCGATTTTTCCCTTTTTTGCTCTTCTCGCAATCGAGGTCACATAACGCAAGGGGAAGGGAGGGGAAGAGGTTCCGTTGCTCCGTACAATCCACAACGCAATCCCATTGATCTTCGGATAACTGGTTTCGTTTCGAAAATGATGGAAACTAATTCTGACCAAGTTAGAAGCTTTTGTATCAGTCTGTGGGGGAAATAGTGAGCACTCTGTCGCATTGAAAATCGCATCGTCGCCGAGAAAATGAGTTGTGTCGCAGCAAAATCAAATTTCTTTTTACAGGGGAAGTACCCCAAGTGCGACGCTCAGATTTTGATGAAACTTGGCACAAATTTAGAATAATTTTTTCTAAGATATATGGGAGAATCCTAGCTCGCGCTTTGCAGAAACAACCGAGATTTTTAGATCGAAAGTCGGCCAAAATTTAGGACTTTTTGCCGAATTTCGGCGCAAAAAGCTTCATGCCTATTTCTACCGTAAAGGATAATGTTTCTACAAAAAATCAATTTTTTCCGCGCGAAACTGCCAAAGTTATGGCCAAAAAGCGTTTTTCTCCCTGACCGCTCTCCACGTTTAGCGTGCTCTCCCGGCGGCAAAAATCGTTCGATATCTCGGCGGCGCCCGCAAAGCGCGAGCTAGAACTTTTAGGAATTGATACTTAGTTGATGCCCGACGTGTGTGCAAAATTTAAAGAAAATCTGAGTGTCGCAGTTGGAGTACTTCCCCTGTTAATTCAGCCACGTCATCGGCGCAGCGACATTATTTTCCCGACAGACTGTTATTGCTCGTGGCAAAAAGCCCTCAGAATCCCGCGAATTTTTGCCTGTAGGTACAGTCAAACGTCGACTATTTTGTTGAAAACAGCATTTCGGGAAAGTAAGTCATCTTTTTTGCTTTTTTTTGGCTGGCCAAAAACATTACCTCGCAAGACATCGCAAGACTATTTTTACAAAAATTCATGCTCTTAATCGGCGCTGAAGCGACCTTAGGAAAATTATATAAATCTGGCATTGAAACGATTCCAAAATTTGGAAGTTTTGCCGTCTTCTCCAGTAGTCGCTATCCACAATAAAACCTGTGTATAACGAATCCCAAAAAACCAAAAAATGTTCGTTTATTTTGAAAAATAATTCCAACCAAAAAACACTAGAAACCCCATACTCCCACATTATTTATCGCACCGCTGATAACTGGTTATCAGAATCGGGTAAGTAGCTTTTCGCTAAAATCTTTTTTTTTATTCGTTTTTTATCGTACATACATTATACGTGACCAAATTAAGGAAAGATTTTAAAAGTTTATTCAAATCGCAACGACAAAGTCACATTCGGAACAAGAATTTTTTGAGGGTAAAATACAAACTTCGTAAAATCTATACAACTAAATATAAGTCTGTCGGGAAAATAATGAGCAATATTTCGCTTCATTAATTGTGTCGCTGAAGTGAAAAGAAATTTGATCTTTGACTCATTTTTTCCCCAATTTTTAATGCGACAGAGTGCTCATTATTTTCCCGACAGACTTATAGACGTTTTGCTTCTTCTCTAAATACCGGGATTATATTGTTATTACTCGAAACAGAGGTAAAAAACAGTAAAAAATTGAAAATTTTGTAGAAAATTGAGTACTACAAGCTATAAATATTATGCCCGTATGACCAGTGGAAACTACACAGAATATAACGAAACTCTCAGCTATCTGGACGTCTTGTGATGCCGACTCTGCACGGAGTGCGCGCGCTTCTGCATCTGGACTTTGGCTATCCGCTCCGCCTCCCGTTGAAGTTTGTATTCGATCTTGTAGCCGATCCTCATTTGCTCCACGCAGAACGCGCCCAACACCATGAAAGCTTCGTAGGCGTCGGCGGAGATCTTGCCGGCGTCCACGACGTCCACAAGGGCTTGCATGAAGGTCTGAAAGTGAGGGTTTTTAAAGATGAGAGTAAAATACGCAATGTTTATCTTTATATGTAGTCTTCTTGATGCATGTATGTACATATAATACATAAATTCCAGAAAAATAAAAAAAAATTTGACTGAAGTTTTGCAAGGAAATGTTTTTCAACTTGCGTCAAATCAAAGAGTGAAGAAATGAGATGGATTTGGGACTTTGAAAACGACGTTAAGTTTGCATTTATGTGATTTTTTCACATGTCGACCTCATTATTTCCATTCTCTTTTTCTAACAAGGAAAGTACTTCTATGAGGTGTATAAAAAATCATCTTTCCGCACGACACAAAGTAGCAAAGACATGGCCAAAAATTGTTTCTCTTTTGACCGCGTTTAGTGTACTCTCTCGGCCGCAAAGATCATTCAATATCTCGGCGGCGCCTGCAAAGCGCGAGCTAAAACTTTCAAAAATTGATAATGATTCTATGCCCGACGTGTGTGCAAAATTTAAAGAAAATCTGAGAGCGGCACTTGGGGAAATTTTTTTTGGAAAAAAAAGTATGAACCTCAAAAAAAAGTCTCGAATCTAGTCAAACAAACTATGTCGAAACTTTTCTCCTTTCGAATGGCTAAATATCAGGCAAAAATCGTCATAAAATTATCTTATTCATCATCAAATATAAAATAAAGTCAAAAATGTTGTTTAAAATACGTCCTCTTCAGGTTCTCTTTCCAATTAACTAATCAGCAATATCGATTCCTTTACAAAAATACCTAGATTCCCATTAAAAACGTCCAACCCGAACAAAAGTTATATTCTCCATGACATCTGACAAAACTGTTCAAAAACCGTCTCAAATCCTTCCGCACAACCGCTAAAATCAAAACTATTATCACATATGGCCTCTGCTTTCACAAAATACTCAAATCTCCAAGAAAACACCAATCTCCAGGAAAACTCCCTTGTCGGTGTGGAGAGAAGGGAAGTGCCCTATTGGTTATACCGTATTTTAAAACGCCTTCTTTTCCGATCAACGTTATCTCACCTTCCAGTAAGTGCTCTTGTAAGTCACTCCCGTATTCTGCACATGCCTTCCTCCAAGTTGTTGCAAATATTTGCTCAAAGTTGTCGCATTCCCAGGGTGTGACATCACGTGAATCAGCGTTGGTTCAAAGGCCTAAAAACGTAAGAAATAGTCATCTCAAAGTAGGGTTTATTTACCTTTACATGTCGCATGAAAATTGGGTTTTGTCGGAGCTCATTCAACGGCACATCAGTTGGGAGGCCGAACAGAGCAACGTTCCGGGGCTCCAGTTGGAAGAAACGAAGGAGCAGGCGAATCGCGATCTCTTGTTCATCATCGTTGATGGATTTCATGAGCTGAAAAAAATGGAAATTTAATTTGCTTTGAGAGAAGGAAATGGTTAGATTTTACTGAAACTTTGAGCAAGTTCATAAGGGAAGTGCTCCAAATATAATGGTCAGATTTTGATGAAACTTGACATAGATGTAGAATAACTTTTTTAAAGACATGTCCACGACTTTTAGCCCGCGCTTTGCAGAAACGACAGAGAGTTTTGGCTCGAAAGTTGCAAAAAACGTGGAACTTTTTTTTGCGAATTTTGGCATGAAAACTTTCACACCTTTTTCTACCGTAGAGAGCAACACTTCCTCAAAAAAAGTATTCCACATAAAAGTGGAAAAGATATGGCCAAAAAGAGGTTTTTTTCTGTGACTGCTCCCCAAGATTCTGCGTACTCTCTCAGCCGCAAAGATCGTTGAATATTTTGGCTGCCCCTGCAAAGCGCGGGCTAAAAATTTTAGAAATTCACTTGTGGCCTGTGCTCGAAAACGCAAAAAAATTTATAGAAAATCTGAGACATTAAAAAACAATGTAAGCCCTGTAAAACGACTCCCAATGTCGCCAAAAAAAATTATTAGTCATGGTTATTAGCTTCTTAAAAAAATCGTTATGGTCTTTGACACAAGGCAAAACTTGTTTTTAAATTTTTTGTTCGTTTTTTGTACAGTGGGGCCTTCCAGTGGCAAAAAACGTATCATTTTGCATTCGGGAAGTATCAAAAATGTGGCAAAATACCTCCCTCTCTAGCTAAAAAAACTCCGTTTCGAAGGGCTTCTCTCACAAAAAGAGCGAGCGGCTTTTGAAATCGGAGTTTTCTTCACTTGGAGATGGAGGCATTTTGCTACATTTTTGATACTTCCCGGATTCAAAATTACAAGTTTTTTGCCACTGGATCAGGTCCGCCATTGTGGAAATTGTGTAAAATACGCCGCCACATATACACTTACATTTTTCCAAGTCCGTTTGACCAAATGTATTTGCTGCGGGTTCAAATCGCCGCTGATCTGAAACATTGGTTGAGCCGATTGCCGTAGGCAATTTTTGTCATGTCCAAGATACGAGTTGGATGAGGAGGAGTGGGAACTTGAGGGAGAATGAGTCCCACTCTGCTCCAGGGATTGGGACCGATTATTTTTGTGGAAAGAGGGACTCCGTTGAGTTCCATTCGAAATTCGCTCGTTACTCCCGAAATAACTGCCGGATCGGACTATCTGCAAAGGAAGATGTGCGTATTTTACAATTACAATAAAATTTTTTTTTATTTTTAAAAGAATTTTTTGATAATTTTCCTTTTACTTACATCGACTGCATGTTTTTGTCGAGGAGACCCGAAGGACTCGTCGCGTTTAATAAAATGACCGTTGGCGGACCCGCTGTTACCCATGATGATAACTGAAAGTATTTTTAAAAAAATAGGTTTCATCAAGAAGTAGAGCGAAAATTACACGATTTGAAGGTCTTAAAATACGACGTTTTGAAAATTCATTTTTTCTTTGTCAAAATTTGACAAAAAAATCGATGCATTTTTACATGTAAAAGGATGGAAAATTGGTGTTGTGCCCCTTATAGGAAGAACAATACATTTACAAAAAACTAAAGTCAATTTCTTTATTTTCTACCTAGTACAGCGACGGACCTGATCCAGTGGCAAAAAATGTACCATTTTGCATCCTGGAAGTATCAAGAAATGTAGCTCAATGTCTCCCTTTACAACTGACAATGAAAAAAGGAAGAGCTGATGCGCTTTTGAAATCGGAGTTTTTTCACATGGAGAGGGAGGTATTTTGCTACATTTTTTGATGCTTTCCGGATGAAAAATGATACGTTTTTTGCCACTGGATCAGGTCCGCCACTGTAAGGGATGGATAAAGGTGATTTCTCTCTCTCTGACTGCTCTCTTAATTTTGAGTAATCTCTCGTCAAATAAGTTTTGTTGAATATCTATATAAACCACGACCTTCAGAGGTATGGAAAAATAATTTACTGTCAAGGGATCGGCAAATAGTTGCAACTTTTAATTTTAGCAAAAAATATATCATTTGAAAGAGCATTAAAAATAGTGCACAACGCAAACAAAATCGCTGCCTAATTTATGTTTGGAAAAAGTTATGGCCGTTTTATGAAAATGGTTATATGCGGCCAAAACGCCGGTTTCTTATATTACAGTAATCCTGACGGCTTGAAATCGTCTCCTTTGATTTTTCGAAAAGAAATGGTAAAGGGGGACCAAAGTAATTTTAATTTTTTTGTATAGTGACCGCGCTCCAGTCTCCCCCTCTCTCCCCAAGAATTTTTGGTCAACTACGCCCTGCTGAAGAAGACACCTTTTCCACACACCCCCAAAAATTTGACCCAAACCCAGCTCAATTCCTTCACAAAGCCCCAAAAGAAAGATTGACTCAAACTTCCAAATTTACCCTTCTCCCCTCCCTAATCTTTTTGCCCTCAGTTTACGTAAAAGGTCAGTAAATCCCAAACTGTTCCTTACGTACAACTTAAATCTCAATTTTATGGCTGCCGTTCCTTCCAACGGCTCGTTGCAAAGGGTCAAAGAAGGAAAGGAATGGGTGAGATGACATCAAATATCGGAGATTTTAAGAGCACCCCCGCAGGATAAAAAATGGCTCCGCGAAAGACGTCATATTCAAATTTATGGGGATTGCAGATCAGGCTAAAGCTCAGTAGACGGCAAGATTAGTCTTGGCTGAAGATGGCTAAATGCAGTGTTGAAATTTTGATGACAAATGGCGGAAGTTAACAGAGGATGTACCCCAAATGCGAGGTTCAAATTTTGATGAAAATTGGTAGAAATTTAAATAAATTTTTTTGAGAGATATGCGAGACTCTTGGCTTGCGTTTCACAAAACCGAATGAGATTTGTATGTCGAAAGTTGGCAAGATGTGACTCTTTTCTTGCGAAGTTTAGCATAAAAATTTCATGCCTATTTCTATCGCAGACGGTAATATTATATGATACATATTTTTTCCGCCCGAAATTTGCAAAGATACGGCCAAGATGTTTTTCTCTTTAACCACACTCCTCATTGCACGAGCTCTGTTGTCAGTGAAGAAGCGATAAATGGCCCACAGAGAAAATAAATAAAGTGGAAAAATTACTCTTTACAACAAAGTCCCATAAAATAAAATTTGTGTTAATTTATTTGAAAACAATTCTAGCCCACGTTACAACTAACAAGGGAAGTACCCCAAGTGCGACGCTCAGATTTTCTTTAATTTTTGCACACACGTCGGGCATCATCTAAATATCAATTCCTGAAAGTTTTAGCTCGCGCCTTGCAGGCGCCGCCGAGATATCGGACGATTTATGCCTCATAGAGAGCACGCTAAACGTGGAGAGCGGTCAGAAAGAGAAACGCTTTTTGGCCATAACTTTGGCAGTTTTGTGCGGAAAAATTTGATTTTTTGTAGAAACATTATCCTTTACAGTAGAAGTGGGCATGAAAATTTTCGTGCCGAAATTCGGCCAAGAGTCCTAAATTTTCGCCAACTTTTGATCTAAAAATCTCGGCTGTTTCTGCAAAGCGCGAGCTAGGATTCTCGCATATATTAGGGTGGTCCAAAAGTCTTTTCGTTTTTTCAGGTGTATTTTTGTCCAATTGTTTTTGTACAATATAAAGACTTTTAGATGAATGTATTATATATATTTTTAAAGGTCTTGAGCTGCTTTATCATAATATATATTAAAAATTTTAATTGGTCTTTTAATTAAAATCTTTTAAGCTGTAGAAAAAACATGGAAAAATCCGAAATTCGTGTTTTTTTACGTCATTACTGGAAACAAGGCTTCAACGCAACTACAGCAGCAAAGAAGATAAGCGAAGTTGAAGGCTAGAATGTGGTCTCAGATCGTACTGCGCGATTGGTTCAAACGATTCAACGACGGCGACACGGACCTCGAGGGCAAGACATCTTAAAAAACAATTTTGAAGGCGTAATTCACTTCGAGTTGGTTCCAAATCGTCGGACTAGCGACGCAGACCTCTACTACGCTCCACTCAATCGAATGTATGCAGCGATTGGCAAAAAATATCCCGCTTTGATCAATCGAACCCGCGTACCCCTGCAACAAGACAGCGCAAAACCTCGCACCGCCAAACAAACGAAGGAAAAAAATCAAAACTCTCGACGCCAATGAACTTCTTCCACATCCAGCGAATAGTCTGCACATTGTGTCATACGACTATCACCTTTTTCGCTCCATGGCACACTTTCTGCGTGGTCGTAGCTTCAATGATCTGGACGATGTCGAAAACGGGTGCCGCGAGTTTTTCGCCTCAAAGAACAAGGAGTGGTACCGCAGCGGGATCGCACAACTTGCCGATAGATGGGTTGAAGCCATAGATTCAAATGGCCTTTACTTCGAAACTTAAATAGTTTTTGTTTGTTGTAAAATTATGTTTAAAGTTTTAATCAAAAAAACGAAAAGACTTTTGGACCACCCTAATATCTTAGAAAAAATTACTCTAAATTTGTGCCAAGTTTCATCAAAATCTGAGCGTCACACTTGGGGTACTTTCCCTACAAATCTTTTTTTGAATGAAAAGATATAACAATAGGATAATTTTTCGCTTTCAAACCTTGATGATTTCTGAAAAGTAACAGCTAAAAATTTTGCATCTGACATAGAAAATCATAAGTCTAATTTGTGCCAAATCTCAACAAAATCAGTGGGTCGGACTGCGAGGAAATTTGACTTTATTCCGTTAACAAGATTGCCATAAAAATGGCGAACCGAAAACAAAATTCGAAACAGTTTCGGAAAACAACTTTTGATCGTAATTCCAGAGAGCTCAAAGTATCCGAAATCCCTCCCGAAAACGCGCAAATGGCCCCGCAAATCGGGCAGTTATGAGGCCGCGGAAGACGCGGGAAGAGAATAACAAAATTGGGGAAGAAGCGGAGGACTGGCGCCTTCTGGGATCACGTCGTTTGGGAACGTCACGACGCCCAAGAACACAGGGTCCCCGAGGAATTGCGCCCTCCAAGAGAGGCTGGAAAAATTTTCGTAACCAAAATTCGGAGGGGACCGGTCGAGAGAAACATGTTATAAAAGTGCAGAAGAGTAAAGAAGATTGGAGATTTGAGCAAATTCGAAGAGATCGACAAGTCCAATAAGAGTGAGAGAGTGATGCCAGAAGGAAATGGTGAGCCAATAAACCAAATTGTAATGCAATAAAAAATTGTAACTGGGAAAGAGTAACGGGAAAAGAATTGGCGTTTATCATGTATCATATAGAGTGGCGGACCTGATCCAGTAAAAAAATGTTTCGTTTTACATCCGGAAAGTGTAAAAAAATGTAGCAAAATACCTCCCTCTCCAAGTGAAAAAAACTCGGATTTCAAAAGCACGTCCGCTCTTTCTGCGAGGAACCCTTCAAAACGGAGTTTTTTCACTTGAAAAAGGAGGCATTTTGCCACATTTTTTTGATACTTCTCGGATGCAAAATAGTACGTTTTTTGCCACTGGGTCAGGTCCGTCACTGTATATAGGAGTTGCCTTTTCTTCGGCTCTAAAAAACGATGTATTTTAATCAGCAACGTATGAATGTGACTCGTATTTCCCATTGATAGAAAAAGGCTAGAACAGTTAGCTTTTTATGTAGCTGTCGGGAAAATAGTGAGGGCCCTGTGGCATCCAAATCGCATCCCCACCGAGAAACTGAATTGTGTCGCAGCAAAATCAAATTTCTTTTCAATTCAGCGACGCGATTGGTGCAGCGACCTTACGCTCACTATTTTCCCAATAGACTGATATCTTGGGCAAATAAAAAATTTTTTTTAAATTTTTTGGCACGCGGTTTTACAACAATATCTGCCAGGGCGTATTTTAAAACAAAGATGTCCACAGGCCTAGCAACACCACATCTTCCACAGAATGTTAATTTCTTTGGTCTAAAAATTACAAAACAAGGCAAATTTCAGCAACTTTCGACCAAAAAACCTCGGTTAATTTGGCGGATCATGAGCTAATGAGGCCGCAAATGTCATAATAATATAATACATATATCCAAGGTTTAATTTGTGCCAAATTTCATCAAAATACCATGGAATCTCAGTACAACGCATACCATGTAATTAAACATGTCTATAGTGAACAATTTTTATATGGTCAAGGGGCTAATTACTATATGCCAAAACGCCCTTAGCTCAACAAACTCTTTATATAGCAAATAAATCTTAGGTTCCTTGCTATTCAATGTTAAGATTTTTAACTCCAAAATTGAACTTCTGAACTTGAAACCCGCTTCAATACCCGCTTCAATATTCAAATCCTCTTCAAACAGCGAAAACCCACTCTCCAAAAATAGCCCTTCCGCTCTCCGGCTAATCACTGGAATAAGTCTGATTTAAAATTTCCTTGGCAAATTGCCCGCGGGCCGACGCCGAGAAGCGAGAGATTTTTGGAAGCGTTTGGAAGTTTGAGCCCGACTGAGCCCAACAATCTCATCGGGGAGGCGGCTGGAAGAGGAGCACGAGACTTGTGAAGGCCGCGATATGTCTTTATTCCTTCGACAGTGTCGTTCATGTCGAGGAGGATCGGAGCGTTCGGCCGCGCCCTCCGGAAACGTGGGTTTGACCCGGAGCCATTCTTTGCGCCCCATTCCAATCTTTTGGTCTTGGAGGCAGCGTTGATGCAAAATTTCAATGTTTTTGCAGCGTGCTGACTTTTTGCTAGCATTAAAAAACATTTATTTAGTCGCGGCCTAAGAGAACAAGCGAACATTCCCATCAAATTTTGGGACTAATGCAAATGTCCTTTACAGTAAAAACCACAGAATTGGACTCAAGGGAAATGTGTTGAAAAATGGGAGCGGGCAAATTCTTTGCGAGTAAAAATCGATGGAATAAAACGCGGTAGAGAGCTTATAATAACTTGATATGCAAAAAATAGGAAGTTGTTTGGATTGCCAAGCACGGCATTCTGTACTTTTGGGACACAACCGGTCTCCATGATTTTTTTCTATTTTTTCAAAGTAGACCTCCTTCTTTAATACATTGCTCGCTAGCCGTTGAAGCTAGAGACTTGCAAATTGGCACGGATATAGAGTAAATGTTCCGCTTCCAGAATATATAACTATTGTAATGAACCCCGCGCTGTAAGCTCCACAATAAGATGCGAAAATATTTCATTCTTAAAACTTTTTGCACATAAAAGGTCATTATGCAAGATCGAAATGACAAATTTTAGAAAAAAATCATGGAGACCGGTTGTGTCCCAAAAGTACAGAATGCCGTGCCAAGATATCTACGTTTTTTGGACTTCAAGTTTGTTGATTTTGCAGCTAGAGTTTTAGGAGAAAAGAAGCTGCAAACTCTATGCCGTTGCGATGGATATAAAGGTGGTCATATAAGATCTCGGATTTTTTTTTCCCAAATCGCGATTTTCGGTGGACAAAAAAGTCGACGCCCAAATCGAAAAATTGGCGTCAACTTAATTTTTTCAGCACCGAATTCCGAAATGCGGTGCTGACTTAAGCACTTAAGTCTTCGGTGCAGACTTAAGACTTTGTGCACTGATTTCGAAAAACTTAGAAAAATTTACCGAATTTCAGAATTCGGTGCCGAGAAAAAAATAAGTCGACGCCAATTTTTCGATTTGGGCGTCGACTTTTTTGTGCACCGAAAATCGCGATTTGGAAAAAAAAAATTCCGAGATCTTATACTAGGCGGGCCAAAAAGTCTTGACATGTTTTCGCACCGTGCGGGCGCATGAATTCGGCGTTGCGACAAGGTGTCGCGCGATAAAAATTTGGCGGGGTGCAAATGAAGAGCGCACTGTGCGTTGTTTACCCTTTTTCAAAACAAGCTTTTTGCACTGTGCGGGGTCGCATTGCACCGTAAATGTTTCTTGTCGCCGCGCGACAAATTTCATGCACGACGGTGCACTGTGCCGACATGTCAAGACTTTTTGGCCCGCCTAGTATGACCACCTTTATATGACCGATGGTTCATTACGTGAAGAATTCGCCACGTATTTTACAAATTTTTTATAAGTATTGCTTCTGAAATATGTTGTATTCTTTGTTTTTTTTGTCAGAAACGTCACTTTCACACAATTTTAGCTGGTATTTCCAAGAAGAAAAACAATAGAAATTGGGACTGAAAATACAATTTTTTTTGTTTTATCAGTCTGTCGGGAAAATAACGAACACTCTTTCGCATCGAAAATCGCATCGCCGCCGAGAAAATGAGTTGTGCCGCGGGAAACTCAAACTGCTTTTCACTTCAGATTGGCGCAGCGACATTGCGATCACTATTTTCCCGACAGGCTAATATCAACTGTTTGTGTCCTCACAAACAGGCGAAAAAATCGTAAGTGTCTAGCAATAAAATATTACGGACCTGATTCAGCGGCAAAAATTTACCATTTTGCATCCGAGAAGTATCAAAAAATGTGGCAAAATACCTCCCTTTCCATGTGCAAAAACGCTGATTTGAAAAGCTGACCCGCTGTTTTTGCGAGGGAAAACGGCGCGCCCTTCAAATCGGAGTTTTTTTTCAGTTGAAGAGGGAGGCATTTTGCTACATTTTTTATACTTCCCGGATGCAAAATGGTACGTTTTTTGCCACTGGATCAGGCCCCACTGTAGAAAAAAAGAGCAAAAATTTAAAAAAACAAGTTTTGCGTCACTGTATTTGTTATAGAAGAGCTTTGGTGGAACAGGCTTGAAACGGTTTTGCAATTTTCCAACCAAAAAATTCCCTTCACCAAAAAGTCCCTCACCCACCCAAAATGTGAGTCCAAGAATCTCTTTCAAATTTTCAAACGGAGATAAAAGACAATCTTCTGTGACGCAGATGCCAAGTTTCCTGTTGTTTTTATCTCCTCCGAGCCCCACAGTCATTCCATTCAAACTTTGCAGTCGATGCGCTCGCGCTTCCTGTGGCGTCCACGCGACGGCAATGCCAAAAGCACAAAAAGTTGGGGTTCGAAAATTGGGAAGTGCGTCAACAAACAGCTGATTGTGTGGAGACTGGAGCTGTGTTGTTGTGTTTCCTTGGTCTGGGTTCATAATTTTTTGTGTGGGTAGTATTTTGTTACTACCATGGATATTTATGTTTGTGGAGGACTCACAGGGGAAGTTACCTCGCTCAGATTTTGATGAGACCTGACACCAATTTAGAAGATTTTTTTCTAAAATATATGCGAGAATCCTAGCTCACGCTTTGCAGAAACAACCGAGATTTTTAGGTCGAAAGTCGACTAAAATTTGAGACTTTTTGTCGACTTTCGGCACGAAAAGTTTTCATTCCTATTTATACCATAGAGGGTAATATTTCCATAAAAAATCAACCTTTTTCGCACGAAACTAACAAAGTTATGGCCAAAAAAGTGTCTTTCTCTCTGACCGCCTCCGCGTTTAGCGCACTCTCTCGACCGCAAAGATCGTTGAATATCTCGGCTTCGCCTTCAAAGCGCGAGCTAAAACTTTGAGGAATTGATAATTTAGTCTACGCCTGAAGTGTGCGCAATTTAAAAAAATCTGAGCGTCACACTTGGGGTACTTCCCTTGTTAGAAGAAGTAAATTAGAAAAGAAAAATCATCATGTTGGTCGAAAGAATCTCTTCTGGAAAAGAAGTAAACCGTTTTTTTTGAAAATCAACGTTTTTTCAGAATCCTCTGCTAACTTTCTCTATGTTTCGTTAGTAATTGCATAAAACGAAATAGTCCAACACAAATCCCTCAAAATTTTGGTTTGCGTTTTGCAGGCACAGAAGATATTTGGTGATTTCTGGCGCCGTGAAAGCCATGTACAGTGACGGACCTGATCGAGTGGCAAAAACGTACTATTTTGAAGCCGGGAAGTATCAAAAATGTTGCGAAATGCCTCCATTTCTAACTTAAAAAGCCCCGTTTAGAAGGCCGCGCCCTTTCCCTCACACGCGCTTTTGAAATTGGAGGTTTTTCACTTGGAGATGGAGGTAATTTGCCACATTTTTGATACTTCCCGGACGCAAAATGGTAAGTTTTTTGCCACTGAATCAGCATCGCCACTGTAAGTGTACACGGAAGAACAATAGCTGCTTTTTTCTATACAGGCAAATTTAGTTATGAGTAAATTTTCTGTATAAAGGCTTTACTGTTTGTCTATTCAAATCCTTCTAACACCTTTCTTTATTCATCTGTTCCACAACACAATCTTTTCTATTTGTCACGTTTGCAATGAGCGTTTCATATACATGTACATAGAACACACGGTTCCTCTGGCGTATCTCTCTTATTCTACATGTCTTATTCCGCTTCTACGGAAGTAATCGCCACTCCGGTTGTGCGAAGAACAGGCGATAATTCATCGCCGCGATAGACGACCCAATCGCCGGACCTCCCCAATACACATAATGCTGGCTCCAAATCATCGTTGTTGCGTTTTTACTAGTAGCGAAAATTGTCGCAACTAATCCAGGGCCCAGCGCTCGAGCCGGATTCAGAACGGCCCCACTGATCGAACCTCTGAAAATTGTATTGTAAAGTTATCTATTTAAAACACGATTTTTGAGTCACTGCGTCAGCCAGTAGTGGGGTCCGGTCTTAGGAAAAAATCGATTTTGAGATTTTTGGCTTAAAATAGTCGGTAGCACTTGTGGAAGAAAAGCGAAAAATATTTTTGCCCAATTTTGCCCGGAAGGCATATTTTTTTACAAAATTCGTTTTTACACTTCAAAGCCTCTGGAGGCCGATGTGAAATGACTACAGAGGTTAAACCGGGCATACACGGGTTTTTGACACCCAGGAATCTGAAAATCGTAGCATTTTTACCGTCAGATTACTGTAACATGGTCATACTGTAATCCGGTCGATAAAAATCGACGATAACTTCTTTAGATCAAAAATGCCACAGGATTTTATTGCAGATTCGGAATCAGCATAAAATTCTGCTTCGGATACATGTAAAATATGTTCAAAATTCCGTGGCCCAACCTCTGTAGTATAGTGGTTGTGCGCCAGGATTATCAATCTGGCGACCCAGGTTCGATTCCCGGTGGCTGCAAATGGCAGAAAATGGACTATAAAAGGGCGGAAACTAGGAAAAAAGGGAAAATAAATTACAGAAAATTAATTTTATGCAACTTAGGAGCAGTTTAAAAGTTTTTGCAAGAATTCCGCATAAATTACGGTTTTTATGGAAAACGCCTTACAGCTTGCCGGAAAGTGGAGCAATCTGGTTAAAATTTACAGAAGAGGTTACTGAGGCTTCCTACTACGGAAATAAATCCATTTCTGCTTATTTGGTTAAATTTTCGGGATAGCCTGGGTTTTCTTTCAAATTCGGGTTTTTAAGAAGGCGAGCTGCGGCCGAGGTTTATCGAACGGAACAATATTTGACCAAAAAGTCATATAAGATTCACAAAAAGTCATATAAGATTCCCTAACAGCACCGGGATCACACAGCTTGTAAAACTTAGGGCGTCTTGCGTATCCCACGAAAAACGGAGCGCGTGGACGCTCTGATGATAAATCTACATGGAGACTCAGTTCGTAAGGAACAGAGGCTAAACTACGGGGCTGTAACATGCGTGCTTCCATCTGAAAACCAAATAACTGCTTTATTTTGTTTTATATTGCTTTCCTCGGCGGATATGATGAACATTGGATAGCAAGCGTTATGTAGATTCACCACAACTCTTTAGTTGCCATTTGGGGCGATCTTACGAATGCTGTGAGGCGTTTTCCATAAAAACCGTAATTTATGCGGAATTCTTGCAAAAACTTTTAAACTGCTCCTAAGTTGCATAAAATTAATTTTCTGTAATTTATTTTCCCTTTTTTCCTAGTTTCCGCCCTTTTATAGTCCATTTTCTGCCATTTGCAGCCACCGGGAATCGAACCTGGGTCGCCAGATTGATAATCCTGGCGCACAACCACTATACTACAGAGGTTGGGCCACGGAATTTTGAACATATTTTACATGTATCCGAAGCAGAATTTTATGCTGATTCCGAATCTGCAATAAAATCCTGTGGCATTTTTGATCTAAAGAAGTTATCGTCGATTTTTATCGACCGGATTACAGTATGACCATGTTACAGTAACCTGACGGTAAAAATGCTACGATTTTCAGATTCCTGGGTGTCAAAAACCCGTGTATGCCCGGTTTAACCTCTGTAGTCAGATCACATCGGCCTCCAGAGGCTTTGAAGTGTAAAAACGTATTTTGTAAAAAAATATGCCTTCCGGGCATAATTAGACAAAACTATTTTTAGCTTTTCTTCCACAAGTGCTACCGACTATTTTAAGCCAAAAATCTCAAAATCGATTTTTTCCTAAGACCACCGCTGGTGCCCTGACTCAAAAATCGTGTTTTAATATGTATGTAGACTGATGGAACGTATTTTAAAAACCTATTGTAACATATTGTCACTCAATTAAAGTCTAATTTCTCCAGTCAAAAAATTACCCAGAAAGTGCACTCATTGCGACGGTGAAGCCGATTCCCAGAGACGCCAATTGGTTTTTGTCCGTGTCAACAGCACACATCAGGACTGTGTTACACAAAGCCATAGACAACACAGCTTCTGTAATAACACTCTGCCACCACGGATTTGCACCGGGCATCACGGAGCCGCCAAGGATTGAGTCGTACTCTTCCAAGGTGGTGACTGCCTGAAAATACAGATATTTTGGTAAAATACGAGCTATTATCCTAGCTAAAATATTATACATATAGCCTGGTGAGAGGAAGTAAAATCTTACTCTGACCAAAAGCGCTCCAATGAATCCTCCGGAAAGCTGGGCCATAAAGTAGGGCATGAGCAAAAGGGGATTCAATTTTCCAGCCAAGGCAACTGCCAATGAGACTGTTGGATTGAAGTGACCTCCGCTAAAAACGACTCATTAGTTGTACCTAGTAATTTTATAACTATCAGTCTGTCGGAAAAATAACGGCGGATCGTCGCACCAAAATGTCTCGCCTCGCCGCTATCGCGCACCAAATCCCAAGCCGCTGCTTGCAGTCGCAAGGCGACGATGGGTGATACCGAGGCGCGACGATCCGCCGTTATTTTTCCGACAGACTGATAGTAAAAATTTACTAGTAAAAAAACGTTTTTTATTGACCTTTTTATTGAAAACAATTCGTAAGCTATCCGTCTAACAAGTGAAAAATTACTGTAAACATGACAGCATGATTTTTTTCTATTTTTGAATGCGTACTCTAAATACACCGTATACAGTTTCGGACCTGATCCAGTGGCAAAAAACTTATAATTTTGCATCCGGGATGTATCAAAAATATAGCAAAATAAATACCTCATTCTCCACGTGAAAAAAACTCCGATTTCAAAAGCGCGCGCGTTTTTGTGAGGGGGCTTCAGAACGGAGTTTTTTTTAATTGGGAGGCATTTTGCCATATTTTTTGACAATTTTCAGATGCGAAATGGTACGTTTTTGCCACTACACATATCAGTTCGGTCACTGTATATAGGAGTTGCCTTTTCTTCATCTCTAAAAAATAGTATTTTGCCATATTTTTGCTACTTCCCTGATGCAAAATGATACTTGGACCAGTTCCGTCACTGTAGCTATTCCCTAGACTTTTTGCTTACTCGTTGCAGGAGCCTGGACGATATTGCATAATCGTTTCCCATTCTTCTCTATTTCCCTGATGCTGTTACCCCGTTTCGCCCACAAAGTCGTATTTTACAAAATTTCCTATGGAAATCTTCAAATTCCCTTACCTTATATGCCCAAAAGCGCAGGCCAGCACGAAATTGGCAAACCCGTGAGCCAATGCCACTCTAATTGCCCTGTTCGCAGGCATGGTTTGCAGCCCTGATAGCGAACCAACGAAGATGAAAACAATGCATCCCAGGAATTCGGCTGCCAGTTTGCTGGCATTTGAGTAGCCAGGCTTGAGATTCTTCTCGGTGACTTCTGTGTTGGCTGGGACTTTGAAGCAGACCTGGAATAAAAGAGGATAACATGGAAATATAAATAAATACATTTGCAAAAAGACTAAAATCAATATGACTAATCAAGTGGTCCTTGGGGGAAAAGGATCGGCTGAAAAAAAATCTCGATTACGTTCGACCAGCTCTCATCTGAAGAAGCTTCAAGGTCTTACGGAGGCTTTTTATTTCGCTACCAGGCGTACTGGAGCTCCGCCGAATCTATGCATCGAAGACTCATTCTTTGATGGAGGCAAAAAAGTGTTGATTTAATGATATAATAGTGCCTATCGGGGCTGAGCAGGTTACTATACACATAAAATCCCAGTCATCTAAACTTATAGCGAAAAAAAGTAAAGGGTTTCCCAGGACAAGGAATAGTCTTAGAAGTCTCAAATGTCACTAAAAGCTAACATATGGATTTGTATTCACCTCCGTTCAACAAGACCCATTTATAATGAGTCATTTTTTAGCGACTTAGGATTTGTTGAACGGACTGACTGTAGTGTTCTATATTGTAAGCAAATCTCTAAACAAAGTTTGATTTGTCGCAAATTGCACCTGAGTTTCTTAAGACACAATTGAAAAAAATACGACGTCAACTTCAAGTCCTTACCACTTTATCCGGTGAATAAGTTGGCACTCTTGGCACCCTCTTTGTGGAAGAAGTCATGTTGAATGTTATATAGATTTAAATAGATGATACAGAACGCTTCTGTATCACACCGCTACCTCCCCAGCCAACCGTCCACTCTGCCGTAAGGCGACAAATAATGAGTCTTGGCCGGATATCTCATTAATTTCCGTTGTTTTTTTATGATCCCATACCCAAAACGAACCTACATTTTCCCACAACAGCAGCATGGGAGCGAACCTCGATTACCCGATGATTCACACTTCTTCGAACATTATCCAGCATTTATAGTTTACGGTAAGAAAACCACATGCCGACCGATATATATTATATAGTATAGTGAGCCGTGGGTGGGAAGGGAAGTATTAAAATGTATGTTCAAAATGTTGTTTATAGTTTGTTTCATTCAAATCGAAATTACAGTAGGACATAGTGATATGAATCGGCAAGATTATTAAGTGAAGATTGGGGAAAGAGGAGAGAAATTACAGCGATTGTAAAATAGATAAATGAAAATAAAAGATAATACAAGCGAAGTCTTTGTATAACGGTGCTGATAAAAGAGCTGTATGCGTTGTATCGACATCAAAATTTATTTTTTGGCTATCAAGAAATTTCTCACAGAGCGACACAGATTTTTTCTTAAAAATTTCGCAAGTCTAACTTCTCTATGTCACAAATAAATTGTTAAAATTCTCAGCTAAAACTATGAAATTACAGCCGACATATTCGGCGATCTTTGCTGAGTGAGTACGGAACCTGTGGAGAGAAAAGTATGTCTTTTTGCAATACCGTTGCGAATATCGATGATGAGAAAAAATTTTTTTTTGTAAAGATAAATGGAAACTCATGATAAAGTTTTGAAAAAAAAGGATGTCCCGTATTTTAACAATCTATTTTTCGATCAAATTTAAACAAAAATTTGCAGCTTGCTATACAAAGGACCCCTGCCAAAATGAAAAGAAAACATGGTATTTTAGAACAATAAAGGCTAACAGGGGAAACAGGGGAAGTACTCCAAGTGCGACGCTCAGATTTTCTTTAAATTTTGCACACAGGTCGGGTGTGGACTAAATATCAATTCCTGAAAGTTTTAGGTCGCGCTTTGCGGGCGCCGCCGAGATATCGGACGATTTTTGCCGCCGAGAGAGCACACAAAACGTGGAGAGCGGTCAGAGAGAAAAGCGCTTTTTGGCCATAACTTTGGCAGTTTCGTGCGGAAAATTTTGATTTCTTGTAGAAACATTATTCTTTACGGTTGAAATAGGCACAAAACTTTTCGTGCCGAAATTCGGCAAAAAGTCCAAAATTTTCGCCAACTTTCGATCTAAAAATCTCGGTTGTTTCTGCAAAGCGCGAGCTAGGATTCTCGTATATATCTTAGAAAAAATTATTCTAAATTTGTGCCAAGTTTGATCAAAATCTGAGCGTCGCACTTGGAGTACTTCCCCTGTAAGTTTGACAGAAAAAGCGTAAAGTATAGTTCTTTTAGGCACAAGATGTTGAATCAGAATAAGCGAAAAGAAAATAATTTATCAGTCTGTCGTGAAAATAATGACCACAATGTCGCTGCCCCAATCGTGTCGCTGAAGTGAAAAGAAATTTGATTTTGTCGCGACACAATTCATTTTCCCGGCGGAGATGCGATTTTCGATGCGACAGAATGCTCATTATTTTCCCAACAGAACGAAAATACAAAAAAAATAATATTTTCAATCACAATTGCTAATGTTTTTGTTCTTGGAATACCCGCTAAATTTGTGTGTAAGTGACGTTGCTGATAATAAAAATTAGTAACAATAAAAACGACATATCTCAGAAGCAATACTTATAAAAAAATTGTAAAATACGTCTCTCTCTAAGAATTTGTTTTAAATTTTCTACTTCATCGTAGCACAGAAGCTTCTGCTCTGCTGAAACCGTTCAATTTGCTGATGCTGCAACTTCCTCCTCAGCACATTCACCAGCCGTTTTTGTCGTTCCAGCTCCGCATGGACGTTTCCGTTCTCCAAAGTTCCGTTCGAACCCAGAGTCGCGGTGCTTTCGTCCGCCGACGACGTCTCACTGGTCGGAATGGAGGTGTGCGAAGGCAGCGTGGAGTAGCCATTGATCTTCCGCGGCTTCGGCTTCGGGTTGTTTTGGCTGAAAATTGGGGTAAAATACGACGAAACATGATCTTTATATATTTAAAAATAAGGTAAACCTTTTCTGTCCACCAAAAAATCAAGTTTTTTTTGAGAATTTTTGTGAAAAATGCTTAAAAATGCATATCAAAAAGTGTGAAATTTTTAGTGCAAAACATTTACAATATTTAACACTATTTTTAACGATTTTTTTTGGGGTTTTCCAGAATTTTTTCTTAATTTTTTTGAGGAAATTTTAAAGCAGAAAATTTGATGTAGGTTTCTTTGAAATTTTAATATTTTTTAATCACGGAAATTGCTTTTTTACTTCAACTTTTATGGCAGTTAATGTTTATTTTTGAAATTTAATTTTAAAATTGTAACTCTTTCGCAAAAAAACAAAAAAAAAAACAATTTCCGACCACAAATTAAAAAATTTTAAAAATTAAATTTTCAAAAAAAAAAATTTCAAGAAAAAAGCAATTTTTACAAACTAAATCTCTCGACTATTTGTAAAATACGCTCTGGTAACACATCCATTAATTTGGAAAACATAAACCCAACTAAAAATAGTCCCAATCCTCACCTGTTCAGTTCACTCCTGAGCTCCTCAATTTGATTCTCCAACGCCATTCTTTCCCTTCGCCAATTCTGAGCCTCCGCCAGATACTTCTGTTCCAATTCTCTGAGCTCTCGACTCTCTCCATCGCCTCCAAATCTCTCTTTTTTCAGCAAATCAGCTGCTAATTCAGCGTTCTCTCTCATCAACTCTTCGCATCGTGCTCGGAGCTCGGAATCGGTCTCGGGAATGCGCGGTTTCTCTTCGAGAAGACGTCGCTGTTCATTGAGGGCGTTTTTGAGGTCGCGAGCCTCCTTCTCCCAATGCTCACGCTCGTTGTTGGCGGCTTGAAGACGTTTGGTTTCGGATTCGAGCAGGTCGCTGAGCCGGCGGATATTTTCGATCATTTCGTCGCGCATCTGAAAACATGAGGGGGTAAAATACGATGTTTTGTCATGCATGCCATTAGATATTAAATTTTTTTAGCAAACCGAAAAAAATTTGTTCATAATAAAACCTCTGTACAACAAGTCTTACGAGACCAAAAAAAATTTGCACATGTCTTATCAGTCTGTCGGTAAAATAATGAGCGCTCTGTCGCATCGAAAATCGCAGCCGAGAAAATGAATTTTGTCGATCGGGTCGCTGAAGTGAAAAGAAATCAAATCGCTTTTCACTTCAGCAACCCGATTGGTGCAGCGAAATTGAGTTCAATATTTTCCCGACAGAAAATAAAAAGGATTATTGTTTAACTTGGATCAAAGCAGGCTCTTGGTCCTCTAAAATTGCTTGCCATAGACAGATTTTCTAAGTTTTACCCATTTTGGGATCCAAAATTTGGAATAAAAATGTCAAAGGTCAGTACGGGTCTCTCCCTAAACTTAGACGGACCATATTTTGCGGACAAAAAATGGGGTGTCTCAGCTTTAATTTGATATAAATTTTAGGGAGATTGGTTCATTATTAGCGGAGAAATACTTGAAATATGGATGCGAGGTTCGAGTGGCCCACAGTGTACAAATCATTCATTGAAAGCTTTCGTTTTCAGCGGCAGCCTTTTTTTCCACAATGAAAAAAGAGATAAAAAAATCTCGGCGGTTTTTGTAAAATACGAACTCAATATCTGATAAATTTCTTGGAAAATAACGCTCTAAATTTTAGCTAATTTTCATCCAGAAAACTGAACAAAATTTTTTTTATTATCACCTAAAAAATTTCTCTTTCAATCGACTATAAAATAACTATTTCCTCTACAAAAATCGACAATATAAATCCCAATCCCCATTGTTTCTGACTGACAAAGTCAAGACGTAATAATGAGCCGAGCGACATTCCGATCGCTCCTCCATATAATTGCTACTTGCAATATAATTAACGTCAAGTGGGATGCATGACATTACAAAGTGGCGTAATTAAAAAGCAATATCTTGTGGGGAAAATATTGTAAACAGAAAAAAATTGTGGAGAGCAAAATACGAAGAGTAAAATTGCTTTGTTTTACAAAAAAAAAAACATTTTGATTTTGTTAAAAATTTTTGAAAAAATAAATAAAATAAATGATCAAACTCACATTTCTCATCTCGTCGTCGTACCGCCGCTGTTCGCTCAACGCTTTCTCGCGCAGAAGTAGTATATAAGGGCCCTATGCCCCCTTTTTGCCCCCCTCCTCTGGAGGAGGGCAAAGACAGGCTACTCTAACAAAATAACAATTGATACTGTAAGCGTACTGTATTAAGGTATATTGTAAATTCAAAGAACTGTATTTTTGTACAAAAGGACCTTACGCACCCTTTTGACCCGTCCTCTTGAGGGGAGGATAAAAAGAGGGTTACTGTAACAAAATAACAATTGTTATTGTAAAATTACTGTTCGAAAGGACTGTGTTACAGTATTAAGGTATATTGTAATCAAAACTCAAAAAAATTAATCAATCACGAAGGCAAATGAGGTCACAATGAAAGTTTAACAAATAAATTAGGACAGACAAATCACTGAACTAAATTTCATTCAGTCTCAGCCAGAGGTCGATATGGCAGGCAATAGAGATTACGCAAAATTTTTACTTCAAAAAACGGCGTTGCATACTGCTGCAACACCAAATCGATTCCGATCTTGCGTCATTTGTCGCTATCATCACTGTTACTAATTAAAAATTAAAATTTTTATTAAGCAAGTCAGAATTGTATCGATTTCTTAATATAAGAAAAATTTCGCTGTTAATACACCCGTTTTGGCAAGAAGCAGATACTATTTTAGGACAGTCACAGAGCGCAAATTTTAGAATTTTAGGCTAGACATGTGGATTTTTGAGGATAAAATTGGCACACGCCCGAATCACACAATGGGTTATAAATGGAAAAAATTAAGATATCATATAATTAAATATTGCAAATTTTAATGGGCGGAGTCAAGTTAGTGTAAATCTTTCCATTTAACAACTGTTAACTGCAACAACAGTTGTCCTAAGGGATACCAAAGAATGTGTCATAAAGTCCACGTTAAAATCATTCCGAGCTCACGTGAATAAAATGATTGCCGGAGGCAGGCATGTGTTAGATTTCACAACAAGAAACCGAGACAGCATTAGACAGTTGAGGCACAAAAACTATTATACTATTGCTTTTGTTGAATAGTTGTTATAATAGGAGCATTTTTCTTATAAGGAATTTGCAAAAATATGTGAAGAAACCTTTGGATAATGAAATTGCACAAAAGCTCACGCTTGTCCAAAGAGAGATAAAGATTTTTCCGAAAATTTGCATAATTTATGCAAAAAAACCACAAACTATTCCGCGCATTGAGCGAAAGTGTTATCTACATGATCTTTTGAATTTTCGACTTTTTATTTTGATTAAGTTTACAAATTATTCAAATTTGTTTTTAATTATTCAATTTTTTAAATATGCAAATTTTAGCGCAAAGGAATCGTTTTTTAATATCTTTGATGAAGTTTGGATCACTCAGTAGTCGTCATGATCTTCGTCTAGACTCATCTCTTGTAGCTTACAACAGGGACATCTGAGGGACAGCACCTTGATGGACGAGGTAGCCAGCAGTGAAAGATAATGAAGACCATCCATTTTTCCGCGGATAATGAACCCTGAAAGAACGATTCTGTTTCCGATTTCAACCTCTTCTAACAGGGAGCGCTCCGAGTCATGAGCCACAATCATGTAATAATCATTTTCAGCTAGGGCCAACGCAAAACTTGGTTTTTCGTCGCTATCTGAATAATGACAAAATTCAATTGAGACGACTAGAGGAAGCGACATTTGAAGACAGAAAAAAACTTGCAATAGAATTGGGAGGAGCAATTTTGCAACATCCCAAATTCCGCCTGCGCAGCAACTGTTTCCTGCCAACAGTCTGTCACAATTGTTTGTCAAAATTATATGTCACAACCACAGATTAATTAGACTTAGGAAGGTTCTAGAAAAGTTTTTTAAGCTCTTAGCTATCACCTACACTACAAATATTATTACTTTTTGAAAAAATCTATGTCATAATGACAATTGTCGATGCCTTTACCATTTAACAATTCACCATATAGCAACTGTTTAACAACTGCTAGAAGCCTGGCAACAACTGTTTATGTCAAAATCTGTCACAATCATTTTGTAAATGTCACAACTCAGGCAATACGGAAATAAGTCAGGCAATACGGAAATAAAATATTTCCTTCCGTTCGCACCGCGGTGAGCGGTTGGGTTTCCTGCCGACGATGCCGTTGCTGGCAACAACCCCTCCGGAGGATGGCAGAAGCTCAACCCGTGGCAGGACCTTCTTGAGGATTGGCACACTGGAGAACCGACGTGACATCCCCATCTTGGCCCCGAATCATGGCCCGTTTCTCTACTTTTGATAGATGATCAGCGGAAATAAATTGAATTGAAATTGAATACGGAAATAATGATTTTCCCCGTCAGGCAATACGGAAATAATGATTTTCCCCCTTTTCTCTGCTTTGATTTCGAAAGGAAATCGAGATCTCTTAATTTTTCGTCCTATCTTCGTCACATGACGAGAGGCAGAGGGCGCTCGCACAAAGCAGGAGAGAGAGGGCAGAGAAAGAAGGAAAAGATCGGGGTTTCTTTTCGCTGTGACCGCCGACAAAATTTAATGAGAAAGGACCCAGCGGAGAAAAAGACCGAGGTTTGGAAATGCTTTTCGTTCGCCGAGAAGCAACTGCTTAGCGACTGCTAAAAGCCTGGCGACTCACAGATGCAATAAGTTCAAATCTTTACTGATTAATTAGGCTTAGGAAAGTTCTAGAAGAATGTCACAATTGCTTGACAACTGTCGAAAGCATGGGAGAAACTGTTTTATGTGATCACCCTGTTAAAAATCTTTATCAATTGTCTATGTCACAACTATTTTGTCAATTGTCTAGGAAAATTCCGGAAAAGTTTGTGAGCTTTTAGTCATCGTCTAAATCACAACACAAAAACCATTTTTTGATTCTTTGATCCACAGACTTAGAAATTCTTTCCCTTTCTAGAAGATTCTAGAACAAAAATTTACATATGCCTAATTAAAGCGATGTGAGAAATATATTAGCCTTGCAAAATTTTGGGTTTGAGAATTAAAGTCTCATTGCGAGGGCCTACATCACTTCACCCCTCAATGTTTGTTACTGTTAAAACCACCATATCTTACACTCATAAGAAGCATAGAAATCTGAACGAGCCTCATACCCGCAGAGCAAATGTTTAATATTCTTTAATATCATCCACTTCAGGAAGGGTTAAGAAAACGATTCCGTTCTTTGCAAAGTGAGGCTGCACCTTTGCATCTACACTGTTTAATAAATCCACTAAGTACCCTGTATCTATTAAAATAAATAAGCACTGAATTGGTGCTTATGACGCTCTCCTGCAGGCTTCCTGTATCAGGTGTAATGGTGAATACTGTGATGTACATTTGCGTATAACATTTTTTGAGGGTACTTGCTCAGTTTAATAGGATAAAAATCGAATTACATTTATACGTTTTAAGTATGAATCGCTGGCTACCTTGCTCTGAATTACCGCTAACCCAAGAAAATTTGAAAAAAATTTCACAAACAAGCGTAAATTACATATAATGCACAGCTACAGGCAACCATTTCTACCATTGGAAATTTAGGTCAGAAAGACAAGAGTGCAACAAAGTTCATGTTAGTTATACCCCACAAAGCCCCATTGCGGAGTCGCGGCGTCAACTGTAATAAGATCCAAGCTCGTCCTATTTTCTTGTTTAATGGGCTTAGGCTTACACGTCTAATTTTCCAAGGCCTATATCCTTTTAACATCAGCAAAATTTTTCAATTTGTAGGACAATATTGGGGCAGTGTGGGTAGACATTATGTGACTTCAGTATATACGATTTAGAAGCTGCCTGAGCTTCAAAACCATATATACAACATATCCCTTAATGCATCTCAAAGCTCACATTCGCACAAATCGAGGACCCAAAAATTTACAAGACAACATCCTAATACATTACATGCTCGTTTTGCTTCAAAGATAACATAAAATTTCGAAACATTAGGATCCTATTTGTATCCATAGGCCAGCAGGTTCGACTTGAGGACTTCAGCGGCAACACAAGTTTTACTCTCCTCTCGCACAATACGTATAGATTAGAAATGGGGTAATATTCCATCACCAAAAATACAATATTTGCGCTACTGAAAGGCATGGGCAACATTTTTTTGCACTAGGTGCACTACTTGCAAATTGTGGCACCTAAGAATCTGACATATTTTTATAATCTTGCTCTAAATTTCGTCCGACTTTTATCCTTCTCTGTTGTTTTCATAAATTTCTTTTGGTCTTAGCATTTTCACAAAGTGCCTGGACATTTTTCGCTTTCGCACAGTGCTTCTTGAGCTTTTGAGAGCCAACGCACTGTCGATTTTTGCCTTTCCGCTCCGTGCAAACCTCAAACATGCCGGTTGCACTGTGCATATTTTGGGGCAAAACCGCAGCGGCGCAGTTGAGAAAAGCAGCGTTATTTCAATTGTAAAGTGCAAAACCAGAAAAAAAGGTGAGTGAGGGGTGCAAGAACTCGCTCATTTTTGTGCACAGTGCGGACCGCGACTAATTTGCAGGCACTTTGTGAAAATGATAATAATATTATACAGAAGTTAATGATGGAGCAACACTGAGATTTTGTAAAGAGACATTACAAAACAAGCTTTGCTACAGGTATAAACTCAAATCGCATAGAACCTAAAATTTGTTTTTAAGAAAAGTAAGTGTTTTTAAAAGACTTGTGTTTAAAGACTGTTGAAAGTAGCCCGCAGAACCATTAAATTGGTCATAAGAAAAAGATTTCAACTTATTTTGACACGGCTTCACATTACAGTGCGCGAAATATTTTCCTTCAATACATTTTAAGTAGATTAGCCCTGCTAATTAAAGAGTTTCGGAAAATTCCACGTTACATGGAACCTGACGCTTCCATAGCAAAGAATTGAAGTTAGAAGCAGAACGGGAGGCTCATTATTTAGCAAGATATTCACCATTCAGGAGGTGTTGCAATTCCGAGAATTATCCTGCTGCGCTTTCAGAAAATCAGATTTCAGACAATCAGATT